TGTGTGTGTGTGTGTGTGTGTGTGTGTGTGTCGTTTTGGAAAAGAGAGTTTGGGCGATTTGAAGGCAACGGGTGGACAGAAGTTGAGATTTCTCCTTGCTTGTGTTGGAAGCTTGTTCGTTGTTGATTGATACTCAGCTGCTGTCGTGGTCTCCTGGGCTCCTTATATACACCACGGCAGAGCCTCCTTTGTTGATCTTCTCCCCAACGTCATGTCCAGGAGACATGAACCTTTGGGCGATCCAACATCCCTCGATGAGACATTCTCACCGCCGGCACCCACATCGCTCGTCTTCCGCCACGTCGCATCGACGATGTTTGTCCCTGACGTCAAATCGATTCCTTGAAACCGGGAAGTCCAAGATGGGATCTTTCGTCTCTGTCGCCCGAGATCCCCTTACTGTCGCCCGAGATACGACACGGTACCTCACATTACCCAGTACTAGAAGGAAGCAAAGACCAACGTGTACACAGCATTAGAAGGAGGAAAAGATCATCGTGGCCACAGCATTAAATGGAGGAAAAGATCACCATGTACACAACCACATTCTCGCCGGCGCCGTTTTGATGTTATACATTCTCCACCGAGGTTTATGGCACGCCGACTGAGATACCCGCTTCCCCCTAACTAGGATGCTCATTGGACAATTGGGGGTCGCGAATCGTGCTTTGGACAGTATCCCCGGTCAGCATATACGAGCCTCGCACGGCTGCTTTTTCATTCCCGAAGGGGAATTACCGAATGGGGACGCCATTGTATAAATAGACGCACGAAGTGTGTGAACTCCCCAGAAATGGTTGTTGGGACCACCTTCCCAGCATGGTACTCGAGAGGACAGTACGAGTACGACTGACGCAAGGAAATGGGCCGGGGGCGGAACAAATTGTGGGTGCACACACACACACACACACACACACACATACGAGTACACTTACAGTAAGCGGCCTGTCTAACTACACAGTACGAGTACGGTACTCCGCTGTTGCATATTGCCATGGACCAGTGACCGGCAATGACAAGGACACGCCCCATCTGTCATTCGTTGCAGAAGGATCGATGGATCTCGCGGAATGATGCAATCCCACGCACAGATCTTGCTTGGAGTTGCCACTGGGGGCCAATACTGTAGCGACCATGACGACTCTCAATACCAAGACATGCTTGGAATCGACGTGGCGAATGGGGTGGCACAATGCCAAAGCTTAAGTATTGCTTGAATGGTGCTTATCAAGAGTCAGATTGTACGAGGACGTGATTTACGCTCGGGTATTATCGATTGGGAGACGGGCTCCGGCAGAACAACAAGAGTATAGGGCCAATCCATCCAACGCTGAGTTGCAATTCCATTGTCAGAGCCAGTCGACTGCTGTACTGGTACCTCGTGGATATTGTGACGTATACAAGTCTCTCAGACGGGCCTCTCAGACAGGTCTCGTCACCACGATCCATAGTCCTGCTTAAAGGACGATAGAAGTTCCAACACAGCCCCTTCTCAGTTGGTGATTTGCGGCCGCCAACCCGTGTTACAACCCCATGGCGGCCGCTTCATAGAGATATCTGCCATCCACGCCAAAGGAGCGCAGTCTCTACAGTCAACAGCAGAGCTATTGCCCTGCACTGTCAAGAGGTGGACTATACAGATCAGGCAGATAGAGGTTCGTCCTCTTGCAGGAAAATAGGAGACGAACGCTTGAGTCGAAGACGGCTTCCCGCAGTCGATATTCACCCGAGAAGCCGCAATGCGAAAGTCTATGAAGCATCTGCACAGTTGAGCCCAGTTGCAGTCGCTCTCTGCATCGCTTTGGTGGAATAAATGGCTAGCAATGATGCTCAATCAGACTCCGAAATCTGTGTTCAGCTCTTCGGACTGTATGTCCTGACTGGTCTCTCATCTAACCCATCAATGTCCGCCCCCAGCTGCCAAAGCAATGACGGTCCTGTGTCCTGGCCGTCTAACCACCAGCAGAGCACTACGCCGTGACCCTCTGGGAGCGCAGGAAAGACGGTCCACCAGGAAAGCGTCGTTGTGGGAACCCATGTTCTGTGCTCCTTCCCACATAAGTATCCCATCTGCCGAGTTCCGAGTCTACGACGATCCGCACATACCGAAGGGCGAATGATGCACACTCTGGCTCTTTCCACCTCTAAACAGGATTCGGGCCTTGCGACCATGCGAAATCCTTCAAATGCTTAGTACCATGCAAGGAGAGTACTCGCCAAACGTCGCAGAGCATCTCGGGCGTTCATATTGCCAAGCGCACGCCTGGCCTCGTCATTGATGTCATATGTCTCAGGGGCGGAATGTGCGGGATCTGTCGCCAGGATGGTATACTGCATACAGTCATGCCAAAGCCTGCCGCCGATATGCTTGTAATCTCCCAAGCCTGCTTTGTTCAGATAGTCGCCTGGAAGCGTGCCTGGCATTGTCAGCAACACATAGCCACAGGATGCAGTCAGTCTTACATGAATTGACTATGTATTTGAAGTTTCTCGCGCATTGACCGGCAGTGTAGTTTCCCATGGGGACACCTAAATCATACTTCGTGATCGAACCGCATGCGTTGACGTAGGTGAGCCCAATGCTCAATCTGTGACCGGTCTGCGTGATTGGAACCATTGAATTATTCTCGCTCGAAAACTGGTTGCATTCTCCCAGAGTGGTGCCCGGTTTGTCAAGTGTGCCAGCCCACAATGTCGCATTCCGGCTAGCAAGATTATTGCAGAAGCTGTTGATGGGTTCATCGACATCTCTAAAAGGCTGAAAATGCTCATTTAGAAGAGATCACGGGGTGGGCAGGGCGCTGGTAGACTGCAAATCGGTAGCCGTGGCGCTCTTCATGTGGTGACCCCTCGTCCACTCAATTGTGGCCGTTGGCAATGGTGTCCAGTTATAGCAAGCTGTTTGACGCTGGGTCAGAATGGGAGTTGTATGCGACACACTCGACGTTGTCGTTACAGTTGAGCCAGTGGACTGCCGACTAGAGGCAATGGCGGAAGGCGTAGAGCTCCTCGACGGATCAGAGACGTTCTGAGTCTCACAGACTCCGGAAGAAGGGCTAGCGCAAGTAGGGTTGGATGACGTGGATGCTGTAGTGACGGTCTCTGAATCTGATGGCGTTGAAGTCGCGTTTGAAGAGCCGGAGGACGTGCTATTCGACGTGCAAGATGTAAATGGAATGAGGGGGAACTGCGTGATCCAATTTGCGATTGAAGATGAGATCACCGGATCATTCCACCATGCACTGAAAGCGCAAGAAGCTCTCGATTCCGTCTCTGTGGTTATCGTGTTCCGACCAGAGCACGCTGTCTCCATGCTGCACGTTGTCGAACATGACTCCGTCGCCACCGGAGCAGCAGTCCCGTTTGTGCAAACGACGACGCAATTCGAAAACGTCTGCGAAGTTGAACACGTGCTTGAAGATACTGGCGAAGAACTCGCAAAAGAGGTGATGCTGCCTGATGGGGTGGTTGCAGTCTTTGAAGGAGTGGGTGTCTCAGGAGGATAATGCGTTGTCGGTAGAGTCTGAGGCGATAAGGAGGGCGGGCCAATGGGCGGGATAATCGGGATCTGAGCGGGTCAGAATGTAGCAATCAGAGGGCGGTGACGAACTCACCGGCGGGAATGGCCATCCTCCCTTGTTGTTACCCTGCGAACAAAGGAATGGTACAAGACATTTCAAAAGGTTCAACAAGCCTAAACCAGTTCCTGGATCGCAAAGATCCCCGAGGCACCACCAGATTCGGAATGGAAACTCGATCCAGATACCATTGTCGTGTTGTAGAGTGCTCCTCGAGAGAGCCGCTGTCCACCTTACACTTGTGGTGCTGTGGGATCCATCAGTCTTTGTGATCGTCTGCCACGTTTCGTTCCATGGAGTAAGTGATGTAGTCGCGTAGGTGACTTCCGGGGGTAAGTGGAAGCCAAGCGTACCGCCGGAGGTTGATGTAACAGAACATAACCAGCCAAATGGGCAGTCATTCGTGTCTGTGGGTTTGGAGGCGTCACAGAGCCAGGGTGAGTCAAGCCAGCAGAACGGGCACAGGCAGTAATCACTCAGCGATGCTGAGGTTCTCGGAGGGTCGAGGCACCATGGGACAAGACCGTTCCGTCCACAAGGCTGGGAGCCGCTCGTGGGAGTTGGGAAAGGCCATAAACCTCCATATGTTGAACTGAAGCCGGGCAGTGAGAGGCTTAAGAGCTCGCCGCCGCTCGTTTCCGAAGTGGACACACCACTGGAGGATGCGGAGCGCGAAGTGCTGCTGCGGGCCGTTGTGGGATTGGTGCCGCTACTCGGTGCTGGGCTCGAACTTGATGAGGTGGCGATGCGGGATGAAGCAGCAGCAGGTGGGCTCTTGGATGATGATACCTGTGCAGTGATGATGGTGCTGATGACCGTAACGAACGTTGTCGACGACCAGTCAACTGTGCTAGTAAATGTGGAAAATACTTCTGAGAAAGAGGTTGAGTCGGACTCCCCCAAGCTAGAAGAACTCGACATAGTGGAGGTTGACGACCCCGGAGACATTGTCGAAGCCGAACCTGTAGGTTGGGATGACGTCGAGGTGGTGCTCGTGGAACCCGACGGAGAAGTAGTAGTTGACGTTAAAGCCGATTGCGACTGATCCACGGGCGGAGGCATTTGAGATGTTGATGTGCGTAGGCTTTGATCAGAGCTTCCACGTTGACTGCCGGTAAATAAAGAAGAACTGGTCCCAGAGGCAGATGAAGGGGTTGAATACGGAGGGCCGGTACTGGGAGACTGGAGACTGGCAGTGCTTGCCAAACTCGACAATGTTGAAGGGGAGCCATGGTTGGGCATCGCGGAAATCGACGTCCAAGCAGGAGAGGAGGCCGACGACAGTGCAGAACCAGTACTGCTAGTCGACGGTGTCCAGTTAGGGGAAGAGACGGTTGAGGTACGCATTGTGGTAACAGAATTGCTGCTCCAGTCCTCCCACTCGTTGTTGCCTATCCGCGCATCAATACTTGTATCCGCATGAGTTTCTCAACGACTTACGAGAGGAACTGGTTTGAGATCGACATGTTGAGCAGGTCTCGTCCCGAGCGGCAATGGGATAAGCTCGGCGTTCTCGAGCAAAACAAAGAGCTTTGCAGGTCCAGAGAAATAACAAGGTTGCCAACCATAGCTGGACCATTGCGTCCAAGACCGAGAGGATCTACCTATTCGATTAGTGCGTTGAGTAGGATGACACGAAGGCCCTGAGAATTGATTGAAGAGTCCGATAAATGTCAGCCATAACTTGTGCAGAGATTAAAAAGGTAGGGCGACTTGAAAGAAAGGTATTAATTGCTTTATGTGCAGGAAAGGCAGCTGCGACTCGAACTTGCCACCAGCAGCGTCGGCGATCGTGTCGGACTTGCATGTATCGTATGCGAATGCCTGGGAAGCCGCGGTCGAAATTCGTACGAGAGACCACATCGCCGCTGCTACAGTATGCTGCTGTGAGGGCACGATTGCCCATCAGTGGTAGACATATCGGGAGGCGAGGCAATAGAGCCTAAGAGGGAAGAAAAGTCGAATGCATGTTCTTCAAGATCTTCTCAGCAGCGTAATTCAACCTTGCAGCCCTGAGCACTGAACATCACCAGTGTCATTGTCTGCTTCTCGACACCAGTGGGCTCTACGATCTCACCGGGGGGTAGTTGGATGATCGGAAATCTTTGGATGAGTCGAACAATCGTATAGGCGGCCTCGGTCACCGCAAAGTCCACTATGTGACCGGTCAGCACGCTGATATGACGCTGAAAGCTGTGCAAGCTCAGGTATAGATACGTACTTCCAAGGCACATCCTTGGTCCCCCATTGAAGGGAAGATAGCCCCATTTTGCGCTCGTAGCATCTCTGTATAACGGCATGTCCTCGTCCCACCTTTCCGGGCGGAAGAGCTCAGCGTCTAGCCCGTACAGGTCGACTCTTCGGTGCATCGAGTATACGCTATACGCAACAGAGGAGCCTTCAGGGATCAAAACTGGCGACTTTCCCTGAGGGCCACCGCCCGTCGGGAGGATGGTCGTTTTGACGGCTGCTCGAGAGTTGACCGGCACAGACGGGTATAGACGAAGCGCTGGTGTAGTTCATAAGAAACGTGGACAGTATCGACCTGCATGCCACCTACTTTCTTTGATAACATTTTGCAAATACTTCATGCTGTTGAGGTCGTCGCGCCTCAATTCCGACTTACCTTCGCAGGCTGCGCTGACTTCTGCTCGCAATCTGGCAAGGACATGCGGATATCTAACTAGTGTAAAACTGCGTTTTGTGGTTAGCAAAGTCTAAGGAATAGTGGAGCGATTTTGGACCGTACAAAGACCATGCCAGGAGACAAGCAGTGGTGTCACGACCGGCAACGAGGAGATTGATAATCTGGCTTCGAAGAGCACTTCGGTCCGGCACACTCTTCGCTAACGTGTCCAGGAAAGTAGAAGAGCCGTCTTCTTCCTTTTTGTATCTATCCCCAGACAGATTCCGTTCAATGATTTGGTCCGCAAATCTGTGGACATCGCGGCAGGCTTTCTTAAATTTGACACCGCCAACCAACCAATAGATATTCATAAGCCGGAATCTTTTGGCCACATATCCCTGAGCAGTATTGAAAGCGTCCGAAAAGGTCTGCTCTCCGGCTGATGCGGGCGCTCGCAGACTTTGGACGGATTCACCAAAGAGGAATGCAGTTGTCGTGTCAAGGGTGAGGCGGAAGAACAATGGTTGCAAATCCACGACTCCTCCACTGCCTGGGATGGCAGTAAGAAGATCTTCAACAGCATCACGGAACACGGCCAGGTTCTCATAGTGCTGATAGACGAACTGTGGTCTTAGCAATTCTCGTGAATGCTTCCATGACGCTCCTTCCTGGGTGAAGATGCCGTCTCCAAACATAGGAAAAGTGATTTCCCTCCTTAGCCCCATACCGTAATCTGGACGGCTATGAGTAAATGTTCCGAGTGCTAGGGATGATACTTCCCCTTGAAGTTGGTGTTCAGTATCGCTTCCATGTTTACAGGCTCGATGGTGCCAAAAGCCTTGGTTCCGAGGAATACCTGTTCAAGGGTATTCCCCGTCTGTCGAAAGTGGAACAGGAAGAGCTCCATAAGGCGTGATTCAGCATTCGCTCTGAAGATCTGTTCGAGGCGATCAATCCCGAACGGCCGCTGGTTCTCGAGTCTCGGAGGTGCAAGACAGCCATAACGATCTGCGAGAGCTTTGTCCTCCTGCCCTGGTCAGTCACATATCCAAATGCTCTCCGTACAGACTTGCTTGATTTGTGTGAGACACAAACACTCGCTGATAGACATAAAGAATCAAGGCAATAATAGCTGGCGCAACTATACCATACTGAAAAGACACCATCTTGGTAAAATGTCGCGCGACTGATCGGGATAGGAACAGGTCAAGGAGGCTGGAGGAAGCAGTGCATTCCTACGTCGTCGAGAAGGCGTCGACCACCAACCTGCCCGAGCGTCAGAGACGTGTCAATCCCTTTGGCCATCATGATTGCTGTTGAACCGTGCATCAAAGAATGGTCGAGCGAATAAGAATGTGAAGTCAAAGGTGTCAGAGCAAAAGAGGGAGCCTTCGGAGCGCAGGCGCCGACCAAGAAATCTGCCGCTCTGCCGCTCTGCCGCAGTGCAGTCGTCTGTAAGTTAGGGGCAGGTGAACGGTGAGACAATGATACCTACCTAGACACAGTACCTACCGTAGGTATGTAGGGGAGCTAGGGCCTGGCACCCTTACATACCTACTTAGGCGGGCTCGGTGGGGGAGGGCATGCTTAACCTCGACCAACAGAGCCCAACCTGAACCTATCACGCCTGTCAACTCCTGATCTCCAACCCCAGCAGACGGAACAGAATGGTCTTATTGTGCTACAGTAGACAGAGTTACGTGTCCATATCGCCAGTATTCCGTAACTCCGTATTTACTTAACTACCTAGGTGCCAAGGTGCCTCCCTAGCTATCTAGCTGGGTATGTATGCACGCGACCTCATCGTGATCAAGGGTGTCTGGCTGCCGGGTAGATATTTAATGTTCTTCGTATCCTTGGGTTTCATGCAACCAAGCAAGCAATGCACAGTAGCCTGCGAAGGATGGGGCCACCAGGTTATTTATGTATCTACCTGTAGGTATGTATTGACGTATGTGGATGTACCACGGCCGCCTCGCAATGCAAGGGTCAATCTATGTCGTCTTCGTCCTCTGGTATGGTTTCGGTAGCATCTTTCTTGTCTTTGGCCGGGTCTATGGTGCCTGGACCGTCCTTGGCTGTGGCGTGCTCTGTATTCGCTATGCTGCGCTCCTCGGCTTTATCCTCCACGTTCGCTCCACCATGCTCCTGTTCCGCCTGTGCCAGCTCTTCTCCAAACAACAACGTAAAAACCACGACGGCGTAGACTTCCCCGGTCCGTCGGTTCTTCAGTGTATACCGCAATTCATGCGTCTTCGAGTCGATGTATCCAACCACATTCAAATTGAAGCCGGGTAGCTTGAGCGAGAAATCATTGAAGTCGAGGTACGGGTTTCCAAAGTCAGCCTGATACAGGCGACCGGCTTCAAATGTGAAGCCGCTGAGGTTCGAGGCCGTAAGGAAGTGCTTCTTCCGTGCCGCGCTGTCGGCAGGGATGGATAAGGAGGACCGCAGCTCGCAGCCCGACCCCTCACATCCTTCTTCGACAATGGTGTCGTGGAAGTCCTCGGCTGAGGCATGAGGCGCCTTCCATTCGTGTTTGTCGTCGTCGCTATGCTCCTCCCCGCTTGGTGTTTGTAGTTGGTCTTTGGGTATGACATGGTCGCCTATCCGCAGGATATTCCAGCTGCTCAACGCCGGACCATACAGGTACGGTTTGTCGGCGTACATATCGCCATCGAGCCCGGGATCGATCCACCATTTCACAATCCTCAGCGCGTGGTTCGCACCCGGTGGCAGTCTATCTCGAAGAGGTCTGTCAAAGTCGTTCCCAAACACCAGGTCTTCGCCGGGAATATCTATCTTCGGAATGAAGCTGAAGGATATGCTGTATTGGTCGTACTTATGCGGGTCCGTGGTGAAGTACTTCTCTGCAGTGACGGGGGAGTCGGACGGGAAACCTGTGAAATGGCGTATGCGCACACACAGCGACAGTATGATGGAAGGAGTCTCGAACGTGAGGGTCTTGGAGGCGTTGACGGGGACAGTCTTGTGTGTCGACGGGTTATATGTCGGGCCAGCCGTGACGCGCAGGCGGTATTGCGAGTAGTGGGAGGCATTGGAGGGGTTGGACTGGTCTGCCATGATGGAAAGCGTGGATGGCCCGAGGTAGTAGGCGGCACAATCGAAGCGAAGACTTGGGCACTGAAGACAAAGTGTAGGTCATAGAGGTCAGAGAATGGCAGGCGTGAGCTCAATTGTGATCATTGAGTGTGGGCGAGAGCGTCGGTGTCGATCAAAAACATTTGTTCAACAAAAAGACGTGTTGGTGGCGGTGACGTCAATCGCGGGTTCGGCTCGATGGCGTCCGTCGAGTACGAGTGAACTCACTCACTTCACATTCACTTCACAATTATCTCCAATTCATCACCACATACAAGTGGGCGTATCATCTCAAGTCAGTTCGCCAGACAGTTGTGAAGATACCAGGTGATCTGCTGTGATCCCGTACTGCCAGGTAAACCTGCCAGAAGCTTGCTCCAACACTCGGCTCGGTGTGATGCTCGTGCCAAAGAAATGTGGTCCACACAAGTGACGGCTCTAGTCTGCCAGTCATGGAGACTGAATAAGACTGGGCTCCGGCTCACAGTTCCTGCGATGACGAGCTTTCCGGACCCGAGTTGGCCAAAGGAACCGAGCCTTTGTAAACTCGCTCAATGTCTCATCCCATGTACTGGTATGTTATAAAACGGACGTCTCAGTTTAGCACATTGCCTCATCACAGTCATCACGTAAACTATAAGGCAGTATTTCATGAAATATCTCAGCCTTTGTTACTCAGAGAACAGTGCCAGCCGAACATCCACGAGCGTTCTTCTCCACCTAGCACCGTCGACCCGAGGCCGCCGTGGATTCGCATGCACGACAATTGACCGAGACGAGCCTCGAAGAAGCAAAGGTAGCTCCGAAAATGCCACGGTCTCAAGCCATGCATTTGCCCGATCACAGACGGTCTTGGAATGCCTTTCACGAGCAGATCAATTTCGGCCTATGATCCAGCAGAGGCTGAAAGATGTTGAAACACGCTTTACGCGTCGGGGATAGCAGCTTCGCGTCGGGCCCCCTTGGCATCGCACGGATTCTGTCTAAACCGCTTTGGGAAGGTTGTTGTTCCACTGCCATTTCGGGGTCCTTTGTTTATATGCGACCAGCTGCCCGACCACCTTGGACCACTACATTTCTGGTTTCTTCATCTTTCGTCTTTAATCATCGACTTGCTCTATTGCTGCATTGGTATCCTGCTTCATAGTACACGGCAATCATGGCCGACGCAAATACCGGCCCCCCACGCCGCTCCAAGCGACCGGCTGCCGCCATTTCCCCAGTCAAACCCCAAGACGCAACAACACCGTCAAGGCAGAGACTCAAGAAGAAAGCACGTTTCTCGGAGCCCATTCCATCACATGATACAACCGGCCTCACACCAGCTGTTGGAAAAGCCTCGCTGAAAACACCCAAGCGAAGAGTATCAACTCCGGCAATTACCAGATTCCGGGACCACGATGAAGTTCAGTTCACCCCGTTCCGGGAAGAACTTTCAGCTCGGACGAAGCGACAGATTAGACGAATTGGCCTGAGCGATGAGCAGAATCAATTCTACGCCGAGAAGAGATCCAAAGCCGAGCTGCAACGCCTACTCGATCAGAAGAACAAGGAGCTGCAGGTCCTCCAGGATAAACTGGAGGAATCTAAGCTTCCTCAGGCGTCTTTGGTCGAACCTGATATCCCCGACAGTCAGCTTCGAATCAGCCAACTTGAGGCGGAGGTAGCAGAGTTGACACAGAGATCTAACAACGAGACACCCATCTTCCAGAGCGGCTCGTCAGACTTTGGCGACGATTGTGGCTTCCAAATTTACGAAGACGATGCAAATGATGACGAAAACCATGTTCCTGGTTCAGAAGACGACGCAACAGTGGATCTGGAGTTGAAAACTGCGCGTCAAGCAAAGGAGGCCATGTTCCGCTCAAGCCAAAGCTTTTCGAATAGGGCTGTCCAGTTCGAAGACTCGCCTGCGCGCTCCTCGACCTCGACTGGAAACATTCCAGCCGCACCTACACAGTCTGTTCACGATATGTCGAAGGAGTTAAACGCAGTCATCAACCGTGCTGAAGAGGCTGAGGTTGCTCTTCAAGCTATGACCACTGAGATCAAATCCTTGGGCTTCCCTTGCAACGGCGATGACGGTGCAGAGTGCCTCTCCGCCATCAAGATCCACTTCCATGACATGCGGTTTGAATTCGAGCGTACTGTGCCTGGAGAATCGACCATATCCTTCAACAATCCCCGCCTAATGCCCGAGATGCTTAACAAGCTCAAACTCGTCTCAGCACAGAGCCGCGACCGCGAAGCCGAATTAAGATCCATGCATGAACAACAACGTTCTTTGAAGGGCAACTTCGACCATGCCTTGATCGCCGCAGAGAAAGCAACCGCCCGAATCAAAGAACTCGAGGATGCAATGGACAAGAATGCGGAAGAAATGCTCGAGCAGCGCATGCGATGTCAGGCCACAGAGCGGGAGGCTAGAGAGCACGAGCAGAACAACAAGGCCCTGATTGTGGCAATTGAAAAGTACAGAAAAGAAGTCAAGCATTTGGAGGCGCTGGTCGAGTTGATCGAGAGGGAACAGGCCTCTCGCCTGCAGGACGTGCGAACCGCCACCACCGCAGAGTTTTCTCAACAACTCTCAGACATGGACGCAAAGGTTGTTGCAGAAACCCGTGGCCGTAGAGCGGCTGAAGACTCCGCAGTTGAGCGCCTTCGGAAGATCAATGAACTGGAAGCCGCACTCTCCGCGGCAAGACAACAATCCGAAGACGTGGAGGAACAGCTACAATCTCTCCGAACCCAATTCGCGGCAGCGGGACGGGCACACGAAGAAGTGGTCGATGGGTTGACCTCCCGAGTCTCCGGCCTGACTAGTGAACTCACTGTCGTTAATGCGCGAATCGATAAATTGACCAAAGACCGCCGTCAGCTGCAACGTCTCTACAGACAACAAGTTGAAGATAGCGAGGAGTTTGCGGAGCAACAGCACAAGAACTTCTTTCTCATGGCGAAGCAGAGCATGGAGGACAAGAAGACGTTCATGCGCTCTAGTAAGATTCGCTTTGCGAATTGGGAACTCGAGAGCGAACAAGATGATCTCCCTTCCGATCCCGTTGGCCCAATGACTCCTAGCTCCATGGTCCGATTCAGTGAGTTCTCCGAGGTGGAGGATGACGATCGCAGCCCGCGCGGGCTCTCGAACGACAGTGATGACCACATCGAAGGACAAGTTGAGATCTCGAGGGGAAAGAGGCATCGGAGACATTCGTCACTAACTATACCTGCCAGTTCGCCATTCTTGGGTAGAGGCATCCTCAAGAAGAAGCCTCGAAGACGGTATGATAGTGGGATCGGCATGGACAGTTTGAGCGAGGCTGAGGACGAGCGTGAAGGTGTGATGACACCGGAGTTGAGTTCAGACAGGGATGTCGAGATCGAGGTTGAGATCGAGGATGAAGCTCTTGTGTGATTCTGCCCAGGGTTACTCTATCATGGGTTTGATGGCTGCTGCCACGGCTACAGCTAGTGTTGGCTTCCCTGCATATCGGCGGCACGGCAAGCGTGTTTGGACATCATACTACCAACCATCATTGTTGGCCTTTCATTTGTCACTTTAGATACGGAATGGTACAACACCGGATTGTGAAGAGAGCTGGAAGATGCAGAACTGGTGAAACACACTCCGTACCTAGGTTCTTGCTTTCCAGATAGACTTGAGCGACGGAAATGGAGCGGTGTCGGCATAATTCAATATTTCTTACGATGAATCCGGCGTTGCGAATTCTCGGCTTACGAATGTATTGTTATGAGGTTGAGACTCAACGAGCAAACTGAGTGGTGGCACTCTCGGGAGACGGTAAGTGGATGGCTATGGCTTGTGAGGTAGTTCTACGCATGGAGTAGCACATGGACAGCTGTAACGAAAGGACTATTCGACACTCTCATAGTGACTTTGGGTAGAAAAGTCACGCAGGATAGCGACACGAACAAAATGTAGCAGCATCTGTGGTCAGGGCGATGTAATCGGCCACATGGCGGTTCATCTCGCTCAGAGTTGGATGTATTGTAACAGGATATGCCACAACGAAACACAGATATCATCCCGGTGTCCTGCCCAACAACCACTGTCCAAGTAGCCCATCGAGACCTGGTGGATGCTCCTGAACTCCTCGTGATGCATCGAGGTAAACCCTCTCATGTTCGGTGTCTCAACTGGGGTGATCATCCGCGCCTTCTCGTGTATAGGTATCAGCACCGCCCGGCTATACAATCGAGCTTGCGTGTCTTTATGTTTTCCATATGCGATGTGGCGGTCCACACTTGGCTCTTCTCATACTGCGTTCATCGCCTTCGCTCGAACCAACTGCTGCTTCCCATGACGGCGATACTCTGGTCCATTACCCACTCTCCTACACCCAGATAGCGATCAACCCAGGTTTGTACCTCTTTGCTTTCACCGAGGGAGGAGGCTTTGATACTGGTAGGTCTGTTGTGTTAGAGAATTAGTCCGAGATGAGGACCGAGGAGAACAGTCGCTAATAGGCAGATGGGCATGGATGACAGTGATGAGTTCACGGCGCCTGAGAATAGCTGGAGGGAAGGGCGACGTACGTGAGACCAGTACTTCTCTTGACACCCGCAAGGAATGCAGAGATGAGGACGGCGTCGAAAGCGAAGTGAGTCAGGCGACCTAACTGTATGGAGGTTACTCAATCGCCCGTACAGACAACACAGCTCTCCTATCGACTCACCACCATGATGAAGATGTGGGTATGAATCTATGCTCGATCCAAGCAGGACAAGTACTTGAGGTCGGCAACAACAACGACCATCGAGCGTGGCCTGTTGTTCACATGTGATGTTTGGAGCGGAATGGCGGATACGAACCGGAGCCGGAGAATAGTTATCACGATCCCGCGTCGCGTATCTTATCAGCCACTCAATTGAGGGGCACGGCCATGGCTACAGCTGTTGAAAGCTTGAAGCTTGTGGACCCTCCTTCAGCTTGTTTCAAAAACTCAATGGCCCATCCCCATCCATTCTTTTTGGGCACAACGAGGCCACAACGGTCCTTATTCGTTGTTTGCTGAGGCCCGCCTAGTACTCGTATAGAGATTGTATTCTGATAAGCGTGACGTGAGGGCTCCAGGTATTATCAAGCAGCTTCGTACTGTAACTCAACCGTTCCTGGATATGCAGCCATAATTTTTGGGCTAAGCGGTGATACTTTGACCCGCCTGTTGAATCTCGACTCAACTGAACACTTTCCTCCTGCTGCGATACTTCTTCCAGCAGTGACAAGTGCGTTCCTTGCTTCCTATCACCGCCCCGTGGTTCTCACTTCGACTTGTAAAACAAGCATTGTGACTGACGGACGTCCTCCTAACCTATCAGCCCCTTCGGCGGCCGACCACCGCTTTTCATTGAAATCCCCCAGTATCTGCACACCGCAGCCCGCCTTTCTCTGCCCAACAGCCTCCCCACCATCTCACATCCGTACCCAAGGAAGAGAACACCTGTAACAACCAGACAAGATGGGTGACGCTCTCGATCATCTCGCCAACCGCACCAAGCTGGAATGGCAGTGCAACCTCAATATCGACTACCAGCCCAAGAAGAACCACCGCCGGACCAGCATCATTTGCACCATCGGTGAGGCGTCAGACCTAGAAATGAACTATGTCAGTTGGAAAAGGCGGAAATACTGACATACTCGTCGTCGACAGGCCCAAAGACGAATTCTCCTGAGAAGATCACCATGCTCCGGAAGGGTATGTGCGGGCACTCGTTGTGCTACAAAGAGACAAGTACTCATTGAGTCGCAGCCGGTTGCAATGTCGTCCGCATGAACTTCTCTCATGGCTCCTATGAGGTACGATACATATTGTGGAGCGCAAGGGCAATCTGGCTAACAATGCGCGCAGTATCACCAATCTGTCATTGACAACGCGAGGCAGTCTGCCAAAGACTACGAAGGTCGCCCTGTCGCGATTGCCCTTGACACAGTATGTGATGGAATCTGCACGGGAGATCATCAACTGACTTTGTAAAAGAAAGGACCAGAAATTCGAACGGGCAACACTCCTGGGGACGCAGACATTCCGATCCAGGCTGGCCTGGAGTTGAACATCACCACCGATGACAAGTACCAGACCGCCAGTGATGACAAGAATCTGTAAGTTTGCAGTTCAACGTGGCAGGCCTTTGTCTGACACCCACCAGTTACGTAGACTACAAGAACATCACCAAAGTCATCGACGTGGGCAAGTTGATCTATGTCGATGACGGTATTCAATCCTTCGAAGTCCTCAAGATCGTCGATGACAAGACCCTTCGAGTCAAAGCCCTCAACAACGGTCAGATCTCTTCCAGGAAGGGCGTCAATTTGCCGGGGACCGACGTCGACCTACCTGCTCTGTCCAAGAAAGATATCGCTGACTTGGAGTTCGGTGTCAAGAACAAGGTTGACATGGTCTTTGCCTCGTTCATCCGACGAGGAGAAGACATCAAGCATATCCGCAAAGTCCTTGGCGACAAGGGCAAGGAGATTCAGATCATAGCCAAGATCGAGAACCAACAGGGCATGAACAATTTCGACGAGATCCTAAAGGAGACTGACGGTGTCATGGTTGCCCGTGGTGATTTGGGTATTGAGATCCCCGCTGCAAAGGTGTTCATTGCCCAAAAGATGATGATTGCCAAGTGTAACGCTGCCGGCAAGCCCGTTATTTGCGCCACCCAGATGCTGGAGTCCATGACGAACAATCCTCGACCCACTCGAGCTGAAGTCTCGGACGTCGCCAACGCCGTCCTCGACGGCGCAGACTGTGTAATGCTGTCTGGTGAGACTGCTAAAGGCAACTACCCCAAGGAGGCTGTCAACATGATGCACGAAACCTGCTTGTTGGCAGAGGTTGCAATCCCGTATGCCAATGTCTTCGACGAGTTGAGAAGCACCGCTCCTCGTCCTATTGATACGGTGGAGTCAATTGCCATCTCTGCCGTTGGCGCAAGCATGGAGCTGAATGCCGGAGCCATTCTGGTCCTGACCACTAGGTGAGTCTCCTACGGTGGCGATGACTGGGACTTAAGCTAACACTTCTGCTCAGTGGACAATCGGCCCGACTTGTTTCCAAGTACCGCCCAGTCTGCCCGATCATCATGGTGACACGAAATGCTACTGCTTCGCGCAACGCTCACCTCTATCGTGGAGTCTATCCCTTCCTCTTCCCCGAACCTAAGCCCGACTTCAGCGGTGTTGACTGGCAAAAGGACGTGGACAAGCGTCTGAAATGGGGCATCGCTCAAGCCATCAAGTTGGGTGTCCTGGGCAGAGGTGACAGTGTTGTTTGTGTCCAAGGATGGAGAGGTGGCCAGGGCCATACCAACACGATTCGTATTGTGCCCGCCGAGGAAGACTTGGGTCTTAAGGAATGACTATCAATGGATGACTTCTTCTCGGAGTCATCCTCCAACGTGATGCCGGTCATGTCATCGTTTACTCCACCGCAGTCGCCCACAAGGGGCATGAAGCAGGGGCGTTTCCTGAGAAAATGAGAGGAAACATCAGTCCTCGAGGGGTAGAGAGGGAACACAAAGTGCACCGAGTTCGTCAGTTCTTATGTCAGAGAAGGCCGAGCAACGATTTGTGGGTTGTATGAAGAGATGCGGTTGAGGGCGGAAAAGGGAACTCGGTATCATGCTATGATTGTTCCTCTTACTGCGCCTAACGACGCGAAATATGAACGCTTCCGAGTGCGTACTACACTAGTGATAAAGGGCAAATAGCTACCAGTGCTTTGGTAACACTATCGCCAACCGAGCCAGCCATGAGTGATAGGCACCCGACGCGAGCGAGCAGCAAGGGAGCAGACCCGAAAAAGCTTGATCACGTTTAACTATCAGGCGTGACTGGTGCCCGTTTCGGCGGCAGCACAGGGGTCTCGGGGGCGAGGGACCAAGGCCTGGAAGGATCAGCTCGTTACTCCGTACTCCGTACTCCGTACTGGATACATACGTAGTATAGCACCCCGTGGCGCTGTAGCGGCCGCGTGCCCAATGAACGCATTGCGTGTTTCACGGATCCAAGACGTTGCTATTCCTGGCCCCAACGCTGATACATATCCCAGCCCAGTTTCAGATTCAGCTATGAATTGATCCAGCATCCACACAGAACTGTCCTTCATCGGATACTTTCCGCTTTTTACACTCTTCAATCGTTCCTCCGGCCCCGTCTGCCCTTGAGCCTGAGGCGCGTTTGCGCTCACGTCGTGGAGACCGCGTAACCTGTCCGCCCCTTTACCCCAACCTTGGACTTCTGCGCCTGCGATTATAGGGGACCACTGTCACGAAATCTCGCCTCTGAGGTAGCCGACTCTCGCTCACACCGGTGGTCCTGTCGGTGCGACGCCGTCAGTCAATCATGGCGACCGAGGGCGCTCCTCCCGCACCGAGCGTCAAGCCCAAGATGCCTGGCTTTACGGACTCATTCTGGTCCGCAGACTATGCTGGAGGGCTGGGAGTGCTCTTTCAGAAGCTACAACAGGGCGTTGTGGAGAATCAGCAGGTGCTCACCATCGCGAGCATGAGGGCCGACGCAGAGGAGATGTACAGCGACCGACTGGGAGACATTGCGCCGACCATTGATCGCATGACTGGTGGCTTTGCAAGAGACGATGGTGCCAGCACGAGAAAGGTACTGTTCGCCACACATTTCGACAGACCTTTAAACTGACGCACGCTTTCGCAGGCTTACGAAGGCGTTCGAGGCGAGATGGTCGAAGCATCCAAAAACCACAGAAAAATCTCCGACAATATTCGCGAACTCGTGGTCAACCCTTTCTCGAGATGGTGCGATGCCCATGCCGCAAGAATACAGAACTCGCAAGACGACCTGCAAGCGAAGATCAAGGCACATGATCGGCAAGCAGAGGCAGTCAAGAAGCTGAGAAGCCACTACTTCAACAAATGCAGATTGGTCGAAGATCTGGAGGAAGAGAACAAGATGGCGTTTGCAGGGCCGCCAAAGGAAAGCCCCAAGCCGCAAAGTCCGCCGCCGCCGAAGATCGTCCTCCCCGAGGAGGAGGTCGTGGAGCTACCGGTCGACATCGGTGACCAGACATATCAACCTGAGCAGCTAAAAACCCTCATTACGGACATGCTCGAGAAAATCCCCCTGGGCGAACACCGAGTCCCTATATTGGGTCTCTATCAAAATGTGTCGGCGGGCACGGATATCACAGACTACATCCTAAAAGAAATGAAGGCATCAAGCGTAGGATATGCCGAGAAGATTGGTCAAGATCTGATTGATCGTGGATTCTTGAGGCTTATAGGTAACATGGGCAACACATTTGCCAACAGTTCGAGGATGAAATATCAATGGAAGCAACGAGCTTTCCAGGTATCAGGCGTGCCCGACAGGAGGAAACCGTTAAGCAGGTCAGTTACGGGAGGGTCAGCAGATGGAATCTTGGACTCTCCGACTGTCGGCAACATCACCGAGACCCTTTCCAGCTGGAATCCGTTGAACAACCCACATCCGAACGAGACACCGGCCGACCGACTGAAACGAGAAGCTCGAGAAGCAGACGAAAAATACAAGGCCGGCGTTCAGAGACTCGACCTGCTTCGGTGCAATTTGGAGGAGTCGATGATGGATCACCTCAAGTTTCTTGAACGATGCGAAACAGACCGATTGAAAGCGATCAAGTCGGTGATCCTCGATTTCTCGGGCGCCATCTCTAACAGCATCCCATCCTTCCAGAGTCAGGTCGATCACATGATGTTGTATCAGGAGACCATCCAACCACTCGGCGATCTGCGGTATCTGCTGGAAAACTATCGGACCGGGGCATTTGTGCCCAAGGTCACACCGTATGAGAACTACTACGGCAGTGTCGACGATCAGGTTTTCGGCGTCGACCTGGAAGCACGCGCGAGGGCAGACCGCAAGAGGGTGCCTGTGGTTGTCACTTCGATACTGACGTTCCTTGACAATCACTATCCCGATCTGGAGGGCGACGAAGCAAGACGGAATATATGGCTGGTCGATGTTCCTCTCGCTGCTACACACCATCTGAGAAACCAGATCAACCACGGTAATGCAGCGCCTAGAGAGGTCCTGGAGAAGTATGAGATGCCCATCGTGGCAAGCGTGTTGAAGCTATATCTGCTCGAGTTACCTGGTATGTTTGTCGCTTCCACATGGTGGATTTTCTATTGACAGCAGCAGATTCGCTCGTCTCTTCACAGGTCTACGAAATCATCAAGACCATCTACGCAACAACCCAGGATGCGGCGCCCAACCCTATCTCATCAGAGTCAGTAGATGCCACTCCCCGAATAAAGGTACTACAATCCACCCTCGGTCAGCTTCGCCTGAACAACATTGCCACTCTGGACGCCATAACCACTCACTTTACTCGTCTCATCGACCTTACCTCCGCGGACGAGGCGTACATCTCAGCCCTAGCCAATGTCCTTGCACCATGTATCCTCCGACCACGAACAGAAAGCTCCCTAACCCTAGAAGAACGGTTCGCGTACCGTCTAATCCGCGACCTTTTCGACCACAAGGAAGCCATCTTCGGTGAGTTGAAACGTCAGTCATCCACTCTATCCGGATCGAATAGCCTGTCTAACCGACAACGCGCTGTCTCTACCGCGGACGAGAGTTCTCGCAGGGCGAATATGGAGGCCCGAGCACGGGCGATCACCGAGCAGAGGGAACAGAGACAACGGGACAAATCCCCCGGGCCAGCAAACCGGCACAGGAGGGAAAAGAGTACCGAGGGGTCAATGGGACGGTTCCCCGTCGTTGCGAGTCCCCGGCCGGATGGCGGTCATGGCCGCAACGTGAGTAACGTTGGGTTACCCAACACTGCGAATCGAGGAAGTCTCGAAGTTCCCGGAAGCAACGAGTCCAGTCCCGTCCAACCGAGACATCAGAGTGCTGTCGACAGAAACGCAGCGGCCAGAGAAGCCAACGCCTCGGCGTCGGCCAACATAACGACAAACGGTCACTATCATCAGGTCTCTTCGCCTGATTCGGTGTCAAGTCCCGGAGCGAACCTCCCTGGCACATTCAGTGGCGGTGGCCCGGGTCCACACATTCCACCACCATTGGACGATGATGACCATTCTCAGGAATCAGACAATTCTCCAACAAGCGCCGCCGCGCCGGCCGTGTCGAGTAGTGAGTCGAGGCCCGGCAGTCTCCGAAGAACGGCGGCAACCAGCGACCGCAAGCCCGTAGGCATGTCGAGAGCAAGCGCCGTTAGTGGCAGTCTGAGCCGCAGACTTGCGAATCTGAGTGACGGGGCTTCGAGTCATCCTTCGGCTGGAGGGAACTACGGTGTGCAATTGACCGACAAGGCAATGGATGATTTCTCATGAGAAACGGACAGCACGCGGAAAAAAAAGAAGAGGGATATTTGGGCATGAAGGAAACGGAGGAGCAGAGGTCAATGTACTCATCCAGTACTGTATCTCGAAGAATTCTACTGTACAAGCGGGGAGCGCCTCCCTTTGCCGCCCATAGAGCGTGATGAGCACGAGAGATTGGCTCAGGAGAAGATGAGACCCCTGAGGTCCCTTTCTACGAAGTCGACGTAGCGGTCTCCAGGGTACATAGGGTTGTCGAAGCCGAACCCTGCGTCGCGCACACACCCTGGACCGACAGATCTCACGTCATGAAAATGGATGATGCTGAAACCACGGGGCTCTCTTTACACACTAGAGAGAGTCGTCCGTCCATCCGTCCATCCCTAGCGTATGCGTATACATACCCGCTACGTACAGTCGTGCACGGCAGGTATCTGTGAGTAAGTACCTGAAGTACCTATATATATAGTATCATCCATGCTGTGTGTAGAAGTAACTCCGTAAGTAAATATCCTGCGAATATTCGGGGTCCATCGGTCCCCCTACTCGAGTCTCTCTCGCGTGCATCAAGTCTTGCTCTAATTATTGTTCCTCTTCGTGGTGGTCGAGTAAGAGTCTCCGTCTAGGTGCAGAAATATGGACATTGACGCGACAGCTGGAGAAATACAGAACATTAGTACGAAAGATTGGCCAGCACAGCACAGCACAGCACAGCACAGCATGGCACGGCACAGTATAGCAGTATATCAGTGATCTCTCGCACATCGTTGCAATTCCCGCGGTCCCAACGTGGCGCGCACAGGTCTCATCCACCACTTCTATATAATCTACATCAGGATGGCGCGGCTCTTCGCCGCCGACATGTCGTAGTCTCTCTCTCTCTCTCTCTCTCAATCGCCCTGTCCTGTCCTGCCCAAAGTAAACCATCGCAGTCTTCTAGCATTATAGCATTAATGCGCGCTCTTAATGTCCCTGAAAACATAGTAGATAATTGACAAATGACAAATGATGAATGAGGAACGATGAATGCGCTTTCAATGCCTCACTGCTCTGATGCTTCACTGCTCTACTGCTTCACTGCTTTCACCGTTCGCTTCTTGCGCTCCTCCTCCCTTCTGCTCGTTCTCCCTTCGGATGCCTCCGCCGCGGAAGGTATCGTCGATCAACTCGTCGAGATCGACCCGTTCGTAGAACGAGATATGCCCGTACGGGACCCAGTACTGGGCTAGCTTGTTCGGGCTGATCATGATGAGTTGCGAGGGGATGAATTCGTCTGTGTGCTGCCGTGTTAGCCTGTACGACAGAAACGATGAAATGAAAAGGAATGGGGGTTGAGCTCTTTTCTGTTGTGTTGTGATCTGCTCTGCTTTGCTCTGTTCCGCTCGCACGACACTCACACCGCCAGACTTACCATTCTGAAATCCCCGGGCAGCAACATGTCCTCGACTCCGGACGACTCTAGCCCCCTTGAAAGGATATTCCTCAGCGATGCGGATCAGGCCGCCCGGCCCAATGTCGTCGGCCACAAAGGTATACTCTCCGCGCGGGATGTTGGGATCGCCCGTCAACTTGACGGCCTCGATCGCGCCGTGGTAGATGCCCTCGGCGACCTGCGCCGCGAGCACCGTGCGCTGATACTCCGAGGTTGGGGAACCGGGTCGCTGCTCGAGCAGCGGTTCGTCGAGTTCGGCGTCCTCGCCCACCGGCGGCAGGCCGATCAGGCTGCGGAGGAACGCGTCCGTGGGCCGGCGGGCCGGCAAGACGGGCGGCTGCTCGCGCTGCATGACGAGCAGAAACTCGCAGCCGTGGCCGGCGTAGTCGCCGACGTAGATGCCCTGGTAGGGCTTCTCGCGCGTGGGCGTGTACAGGCTCGGGTCGATGGTGCTCCAGGTACTCACCTCTTCGCCGATGCGGATGCCAAAGTGCGCCATGCCGGTGGAGAACTGGCTCCAGTGGCGCAGGCGGAAGGCCGTCTGCGAGATCTGGTCGTATTTCTGCGGCTTGTGGCCGCTGCCGCGGAACCGGTCGGCGCTCTCGGCGCGCACGCGCGGCATGTTGGGGATGGTGCGCGGCGGCCACAGCGCCATCGACGGGCTCTCGAGGTGGGCGGGGATGTTGCGGGCGAGGAAGAACGAGGCCGACGTGTTGTGGCCCGGCCGGCCGACCGACATCTTGACCTCGGCCTCCCACCACCCTTGGCGGGTGTTGAAGGGCACGATGTCGTGCGGGAGCTTCATGATCGGGTCGTCCAGCCAGAGGTGCACGCGCGGTCGGAAGCTGTGGATCACGACCGAGGCTTCGTACGGCCAGAAGATGGCCACACTGGGCGTCCGCTCGGCGAGGAGGCGGTAGCCTTCGATGCAGCCGCGGCGGGGGTCGTAGTGCGCGATCATCACGCGGCCGATGTGCGGCTCGTCGGAGATCCAGATCCGCGACCGCGGCACAAACCAGTACGGGTGGTGCGTTATGTAGAGGTCGCGGAAAGACGAGGACGGGTAGGGGTTGGCCGGGAAGTCCTCGGGGGGGATGTTCGGGCGGAGGAGGTTTGCCCATAGCAGGTCGTTCGAGGCGAGGCCCCGTAGCTGGCGGCAGGTGCGGGCAAGCGAGACAAGGGATTGCGGCGGCAGGTAGCATAGGATCTGGTGTAGAATTTCAGACGGCAGCTGAAGCAGCAAAGTGTCTTGTTGGTCGATAGCATAGTTGATCGAGACGGTGGCGTCAGTCTCGCCGGGGACGAACATCTTCCTTCTCTCGGCCTCGTCCATGGTGTCGATGGTGCGCCTTTTGAAGAGGCCCATGCTTGAAGAAATATGGCCCTCGGCGTGGATGGTTTTCACCCTAGCGACGCCTCATCGACGCGGACACGATAATTGATGGAGCTGGGAGAACCGCCCAATTCAGGACGGATTGATCTCGATGGCGTGGTCTATGCCGTCATTCTCGCTGGACGATAGGGAGATGGCAAAGAGGCGCAATCAAAAGGCCTGCGAAAGGCTATGCGACGTATGTATTGCCCCGCCATGCAATATCAAGAAAGGGACTGTCCCAGGCAGGCTTGATATGGCTCGCTTTTGTTCTGCTCTTCGGCTGACGAGCACGCGATCCCCACCAGTGCAGGGGATCTCGATTGGAAGAGGCAGCCGACACGAGAGAATCCATGCTTATACAGAAGTGGAAGGTGAATCTCGTAAGCGCAGGAAGCGGGAAGGTTGACCTGAAGCGGGCTTAATTCTTGATGGACTTGACCGTCCTCGGAACCCCCGCCATCGACATACAGTGACTGACCGTCTCCCGAAGTATACTACGACTGCTATAGAAGGTGATAAGAGCCAGGCTGCCGGAGGCCGTCGAAGGATCAAAGCCTCCTGCCTCTCTAGGCCGAGTGTTGCACCAAGGCAGCGCATGAAGCCCCCGTTCCTGCAGCTGCCACGTTGCCGCAATCCTTCCCACGTTGCTTAACGGCTCAGGGAGAGAGATGCCCGTCCCAGTCATTCTGAGATGCAGCCACCTCGTGCCGCCGCTGTTTCATTGACACCGACATTCTCCCACATGATGGCTGCACGGTAATCACCTGAACGTCCGATAGTCATGGGGGTTGATCGGGCTCGCGGCGGCGACTGTGGCTCTCAGCGTGCGGCATCCTGCATCTGAGCATGCATTGTTTCTCCGCGCTTTTGTGATGCGAGCCTAGCGACCGAATGCGACTCCTTCAACCAGGGTATGATGGTATAAGACTCCGAAATCGGATTACGTTCTCCAGTCAGCGGATGCGATCATTCCCGACACAACCAGGTGCCTGAAATGCTGAGCAGGACGAATCCCCTTTGTAGAGCATCCCGCACTGCAAGACGAGGCAGTTGCCGGTAATCCAGATCAACAGTGGCTCTGGTTCAGGTGCAACCTTGACCATCCACCACGATTTCATATTGATGTTTGTCCTTCAAGGACACACTTCAATCAGCCGCGTTTTCCAGTCTCTCCAACAAGTCCAAAGCCATCCTTTTCTTTCGGCGTTGTGGTCGAAAGGTTCTCGTCTTCCCATATCTCGCGTTCAAGCTCTTTCAGACTGTACGGCTTGATATTCGGGTCTTTTGGCGGATCTGGGATCAGAAATTTGCCGATGGGTTCGCCGAATATTCTCGTCAACCAGATTTGTCGAGCTTTTCTGTCTTCGTTCATCGAGACCGAGTACTTGAACAGATCCTCGGCATACAGGTCTGTCAGTCTGGCCTCCTGCAGAGCGGCTCGAGCGGCTAGTTCTCGTTCGTGCGGAGGATAATCGTGGAGAGGCTTCTTCATCTTGTCCTCCATTGCCTTGGGCAAAGCCATTTGCTCGATCGTGGGCGCAGGTCTGTTGGGGTTGAAGAGGGACGAGAGAGGTGGAATGGGCTGGCCGTTGCGCTTTGCGTCTTCCACCTCGGCTTCGTAGTCCATCATCCGGTGATACAGTTTGTCTGCATGCATCTGTATCTTCTCTTCGTCCTCGGCAGAACTCGTTGCGCTTGTCATGTATCCCAATGCCTGCAGAAACTTGGCTTGCAGCTGATAGCAGCGGTTGAAGGCTTTGGTCTCCTCATGACACATGGTCATTCTTCCACGCACCCTGCTGGAGAGGTTGCCGCCTTTGAAACAGATTTGTTGCATTTCCTCCTCGAAAGCGCAGTTCTCCAGTGCGGCTTTGTGTATGGATTGATTTCTCTCCTTCCGTGCTGAGAGCACTCTCTCTACCGGGGTAGAAGTCGCCGCGGCGATGTCATCTTGTGGAACATAGGACTTCCAAATATGCTTGTAACGGCCATCTTGGAAGAGGGACGCTTTAGGTAGCGGCTTGTCCTCGGGAGACAGACTTGGGTCTGCAACTGCTGCCGAGGGTTTCGGAGTCGGATCGAACTTCTCTTGAGGCTTTGGCTGTTCGACTGGAGGGTCGGCGGGGACATATGGTCGTGGTTGTTGCTCCTTCAAGAATTGCTTCAAGTCATCGTCGAGGACCGTCGCAGGATCATCTTGATTGTTCTTTCCCCAGAACCAGCCCATGACTCCAGGACTTGATTGTTGTGGGACTAGCTCTGGGACAACAACAAACTCATAGTGCGATCTGCTCAATAGCTTAACGATACAGCGAGCCGGAGATTCATCTGAGATCGAGAAACATTTCGAGTCCATCTCCGCAGCTCGACGCCAAGGCAGAATCCCTGCTTCACCGGGTCGCGTTCCCCTCACTCGACGCGTCTGTTTCCTTTGGACTTCATCTCGCGAAGCCTCGACACGCATTCAACTAGCTGGTGTTTTGTATCGTGTGATCCGTTGGCTGCTTTCCGATGAGCCGCGCTGATGGTCATGGCTGCTTCCACTCGAGAGGATCGGGCGCTGATGCGCGTCCGTGGTGCCGGGTTTGTTTACATTGATCAGATCTCTTCGAATCGAAGCTGATGATACCAGATCCCGCAAGCCTCCAGCAGTTGACTTTGGTTTCAATTTCGCTTTTGGGAGCAAGAAGAATGAGCGACAACAGATACCCACGCCTGCCCGATCTCTTCGCTCAAACACCAAAACCCCGCAATCAAGACGAGCATCTTCGAAACAACCGTCCAAGACACCGGCAGCGAAGCCTGTCAGGCAGAGTTCGGTCGCGCCCGACGAAAGGGACGGCGAAACCTCTACGCAGCCAGAGGAGAGTGCGCGGTCGAGCAAGAGAAGGAAAATAACGCCCGAGCAGCCGACTCCCAACAACACTATATCAGTTGAGATACCACGATCAACACCTTCGAGCAGAGCATTGCGAAGAAGAACTTCCAGCAGAGTCTTTACTATTGCCGAGGACGAGGATGTGCCGCAGATCAATGGCCCAACTCCTGATCACGAGGAGGTCGAGCAGCGGCAGCAGCAGAAATCCCCACTCTTTGTACCCCAGCACGAGCAACAGAAAGAGAACGAGACGCCAAAGGATCAGGGGTCTAAATCGACTAATCAAGATTCGAATTGGCAGACAACGAAAAGTGGTCGCATCTTATTAGACCCCACCACTTTACCCGAGGATGCTACTGAGGAAGATGTTCAGGTGCTCCAACCGGAATACGGGGAAACGCGTCCATCAGCTTCGGAAAGTCCTTTACAGTATGTAACGAAAGCTCCGAGTATCTCCAAGCAGAACAAGCGGCGAAGCCGGAAGTCTTTTGCAACCGACAAGAGAAGGGAACCTTCATCTACGCTGGCTCAGTCTACGATTGAGCCCCAGGAGACCTCGGCCGCTGCTATCTCCTCTCGGCTTCCGTCAGAGCAACCACCATCGCCATCCGTCCTGCCGCTGTCGGATCGAATCAGCAAGTATAGCAAACTTGCAAGGAAAGTGAGGAAGCGACAAGCGCAAAATCCGGCATCAGAACGTGAAGAGGGTCCGAAAGAGGCAGAGAACGACGACGAGGATGATTCATATGTCGAAGAGAGCGAGCCGGAGCCCGAGACGCCCGCGGCGAGCAAAAAGGCCACCAGACAGCCTCGAAAACGTCGCTCCCGTAGCAGGCCCGCAGAGGTGCCTGGTGGTAAGAAGAGCACTGCGACATTTCCAATTCTGACTCACAGGCTCACAAACGTCGTGGCACTACCAACAATGAACGAGGAGGATGAAGAGGGCATGCCTTCTGGAGATATGTCATTCGACTCTGCAGCCGCACGCACGCAACCCAATGCGGTAGACATACTAGCCCAGATCTGCCGCGAGACAATCTCAAACATGATGGAACGTGTGGCTGCGTCAGCCCAGACTCTCTCAAAAGCCACAGCAAACAATCAACGGACAGCCCTCGAGGCATTTGGAAAAGACCTAGATGACGAACTCTTCGCCATGTCCGAAGCCGTCGAGAATCGCGCCAACCTTGAGGCTCGCGTGCGGAAAAGCAAACGAGAGAAAGCCGCCTTGCAAAGTGAGTATCTTGAGCTCCGTCGCGAGCGGGAACAAATTGCTCTCAGATGCGACGCGGTTAGACGACAACATTGGGAATGCGAGGAGGAGACAAGGCAGAGGTGGACACTTAGCGAGGCTGCTCGGCGTGTTGAGCAGGAAATGGAGAGGGCTGAGGCAGACGAAGATGAGGGACTGGAATTCTTACTGCGCAGTGTGACAGAGTCAGTCAGCAGCACTTCTGGTCGGGGTGGAATTCTGGATAAGGTCAAGTCGTTCAATGCGCAGTTGGAAAACATGGCGCTGCTTCTGGAGGGGAGGCGTGTTTGATCCATGAGCCAGGCTGGATGTTTCTTGAATATCTGGGGCCGAGTCATCGCATCAACAGCCGTCGGATTGCACACCGCATTGGATATACCACATGAACATGATTGAATACGAAGCCGACGAAAAGTTAATGAACATGGACATGAGCTCTGCCCAACGGAGACTGCAATATGTCTAGAGTGGAGATACCGTTGAACGATGTCATCTTTGTTGTAATTCACTTGTGCAGAAGCAGGGCGACTTCCTCCTCCATCGCAGCCTCGGTGGCCGCCAAGCGAGAGGCTCCAATGATTGGCTCGTTGGGTGGATATACGATGAAGCGGACGGGCTTCAACTGCAAGTGGCCGGCCGCCCCATGCGCGCATCATCTGGAATCGAAGCTTGGATGTTCTCTCGCTGTCGCTTCATTCAACACCACAGCAAACACCGACGCCATGCGTTCACTCGGTCTTTGCGCATTGGCGCTGGCCGCCCAGAATGCTCACGGCTACCTCGACACTGCGCCATTCTTCATGTTCTCGACCTCTGAGTATGCACGTCCCGAGCTTCGCATGCCAGGCACACTCCCAACTGACCCATGTTCCGCATAGACTCCTCACGACAACCTCTCACATTCAATCCGCGCCTCTTCTCACATCTGATGTGGCGCTGTCGCTCTCCTCATGTCCTTCAGATTACTACATCCTCGTCTCACAGCAAGGCGTCTCCCTCCAAGACTACTCCAACTCGAAGAAATCCACACCGTTGCTCTCCAAAGCATTATCGCCGTCCCATGCTGCGGAATCAGGCATTCGAAGTAGCTTGGCTGTGACGGATGTGCTCGGTCCAGTGGATTCTTCGGCGTGGGTCGATGTCCTCGGATCGAAATGTGGAGTGTCAACAACAACCATTATCTCGAAACACGGCGGGATTCCCATAGATGACTTGACGACCTCGCCACAGCTGATACAGCTCAACCTTCCCGCTCCTTCATCAGAGAAGAGAACAAGCGACCTGTCGGCAAATGATGCCTTTCTGGCGTCTCTAATCGATCTGCTTCCAAAGCAGAATTATACCGTCTTGTACACGACGTCGCGCTCCGCGGACGGCATGGTGGTCACCCAGGGAAGAGAGGCTCTTGATTATGACATGGAATCACAGTTGCAAGAGAGCCTGCATCTGGACCTCAAGCGGGATCTGGGCGGTCATGCCTCGGCGAACAAGTCGGGCAATAACCAGACCATCATTGACGGGCCGTTGTTTGATAAGTACCAGTTTTTTACACCTGGTAAGTATCCGTAATATTGGCATGATACTCCATCCCCAGCTGTCTATTCTCCCGCGTGGTGGTGTGCCGATGCGATGCTGACCTGTTTTGCAGGAATCTTCATGGGCTTCCTCGTCGGCTTCTTGCTCCTGTCGATGCTCTATGTCGCCATTTCCGCGGTGGCAAGTCTTCAGGTCACTTACGCCGCTTTCGATAAAGAGCAGGGCCAACTGGCGGGGAAGAAGTAAGATTGAGGAAACTTGGTAGTGTCTTTGAGTCGCTCGAGGAGCCATGAGTAGACGGGACTTGTACGGATTACAACAGGTGAGATCTGATGAACAGACAGTTGCCTGTCCCGGCCCTGGTCTGATGCCGCATTAGAGGCACAAGAAATGAGCCCATGAAGATTTTCCGACAACCGTGCCTGTAGTCGACGCGAGGCTCTGGCGGTGCAGGCGACGGCGGTTCTGGAAATCACCATGTCCAAGACATGACTGTATAGCTACTTCCTCGTGTTCAGTAATACTCATGTCCAACCTGTTGATGACAGAGAGACGCTTTCTTTTCGTGCTGATACGAACACTCGTCCCTCCTCATGCGCCTACATTCTTATTTTAAGTTCCCACGGTCCCTTACTATTGAGGAGTTCTCTCAGGTACGTTCAATACGGCATGCAGGGCCAAAGACGACAATAAGGACAGCTCCGGTGATTCGATTTCTGTCAAGTGCATTCGGCTCCGACTCAACTTTCTTTGATCCGAATGATGAAAGTGTGATTGACTTTTGGCGCTAGCCATCCCTCTAGTCATGTTTTACAGCCTCTTGACTACATCCTCCAACACCTCCTGCGTGCTTGCCTTGCCTCCGAGGTCGGGCGAGATAAACTTGCCGTCTCCCAAGGAGCCGTCCACGGCCTTGTAGACAGCTTGAGCGGCATCAGGTAAATCCAGAAACTCCAACATGACGCCCACGCTACGAATCGTGGCGATCGGATTCGCAATGCCCTTACCCTCAATGTCGGGCGCAGACCCGTGACACGGCTCACCAATGACGATTCCCTCACCCACGTTCGCCGAGGGCACGAGGCCCAACGACCCGACCAGCGCAGCAGCCCCGTCGCTTAGCAGATCGCCGTACAGGTTCGGCGCGACGATCACATCGTAGTACTCTGGTTGCAGGAAGAGTTTGTACACCATGCTGTCGACGATCTGTTCCTCCACTCGCAGCGAGGAGAATTTCTCTTGTGACAGCGCCTGCCGCGCCGTGGATCGGAAGAGCCCGTCCGTCTGGCTGAGGACGTTGGATTTGTGCGTGATTGTGACCATGCCTTCATTCCTGGTTGGGGAAGACTGCGACTGCGACTGGGATTGGGCGCGCATCTTCTGCCGTCGCAGTGCGATTTCGCCGGCTATATTTGCGATGCGCCAGCTCGCTTTGGAACTTATCCTCTTGATGGCTTCGGCGATCTCGCCACCTTCACCGTCGCTATACGTCTTCTCCTCCTTCACGTAGAGATCCTCGGTGTTTTCCCGCACGATGACCAGGTCGATAGGATGTGGCGTGGGCGATTTGAATGCAGGGGACGCCGTGGTCTTGCAAGGTCGGACGTTCGCGTAGAGAGACAGCTTCTTGCGCAGCGCCACGATCGGGGACGTGTAGCCTGCAACTTTCGTCGTGGGGGAGCTCACCGCCCCGAACAACGCGCCGTCGCATTCCTTTTGCAGCGTCTCGACCGTCTTGTCTGGGAGGGCGGTTCCTGTGCGCTTGAAACATTCGAAGCCGGCGTCGAGGTCGACAAAGGAGAAGTTCAGACCCAGCGAAGAGGGCAGAGATTCAAGGATCCGTTTGCCGGCCTAGACGGCGTCAGTGACAAGGGCAGTGAGCCGCCTGAGCGTTTCTTGAAATGGGTGCTCCAGTAAGTGAGAGGGACTCGTAGAGGGCATGCACATACCGGAATGACCTCGCGGCCGATGCCATCGCCAGGAATGAGCCCTGCGATCGCTCATGTTAGGACCCCAGCCTTGACATTCACACTGAGAAGAGCGCATACCTACCTATACGTAACGTCCGGCCAGCTGCCATTGTGTCGTGAAGGGTGAATGCCTCGAGAGAAGAACTAGGCCTGTGCTTCCGAAGCTGTTGGAGAAATTCTGGCGCTCGACCTCCGATCGCGGAGCATGGAGACTACAAGACCTACCTAGGCACTCTAGGTAAGCTTCTGTGCCTGGCGAGCCTGGGGGCTAAACCTGGGGGCTAGGCCCGGGGCCTAAGCCCGATGAGATACGGGCGCACGCCATGCATGTCCAGGCTTGCCAGCCTTACCCGGTACTTACACCCTCGTACCTAGGTCCTGCATCATCCGGTGTCTTGCACCAGCGGTGCTCACAGCTCTTTCTCCTATTGCACATGCCAGTTTACGAATGGTTCTTGAAGTCGTATTGGACGCAGAGACGCTCGACGATAGGGATTTGACGCTCCAGCGGCTTCTGCCGCGTGCATTGTACGGAGTACACAGTACAATTTATCAGGCCCTGGCAAACCCTCCCTCATCAGCCACAGCCAGCACGGCAGGCCTCGACAAATCATACCTACTCGTGTGTAGGCTATGCAGCCCCTATCAATCAGGCGAGCAATGCTGGCTAAGGGCCCACCTCGACCACAGTCACTCAACACCTCCCTGTCAATGCTCCGGCACAGCCTGACCGTTTCCTCAAGGGCTCTTAACCCATCTGCGTCTCGAGCACCGATTCAACCACGTGGAGCCTGTTTCTGTCCCTTTGGCCCTCTTCCGTGGCGATCTTCTTGATTGACCAAATCCCAGGCGTTAGGCCATGAGAGTCGAGCGCAGGAGAACAACTGATGAGGCTGAGGCTGTTGTTGTCTCGACATAGTCTTGACGGCGTCTTGGTAGGTGGTGGTGGTACGCCCTAGCGAACATAGCCCTGGATGGGTGAAACATTCACAACCAGGATCCCCGGCCATGGAGTCAACGCCGTCGTTCAGAGTGCAAGGTACTAGTACGAGTACTCCGTACACCCTGTGGACTTTGGGCGAAATCATGCGACCCGTCCCGCTTCGATCGCTTAGGTTCGGCTGTTTCCCAATCTAGACTCCAGTGCGTGCTGTGGAGGTTACAGAAGGACAGCTGGAGATTGCGCCGGACAATGCAAGCCGTGGACGCGCTGCAGCATTAGGGCATACAAAATGCCAATACTCGCCGCTCCTGCTGCCATCTGAATTTGAAATCAGGCTCAGCTCGGAATCAAGAATGTCTCTATGTCATGGCGAATGACAAGGGTTCCGCAACGCTTGGATATGTGCAGGAAATGGCTTCATGTGAGCTGGCGGGCACCAAACGGCAATGCTAGATCTGATGAGTTTTACCAGGGAATCATCGTCAGCAGCACAGCGAAGGTCGTGAAGCCTTCTTGCGTCCACGCGAAAGCCACCATGCAGCTGTTTCGGAAGAATGGATTCCACAAGCTCTCCGCTGGCCCAGGTCGCTTCTGATGGCGACTTTGTGTTGGGCCTTGGTCGCGGTACTCGAAATCTTCAACGTCCTAGTCCGCAACAATCAAGGGTTGTCGCTACAGCAGACAAACCTGGTCAATTTGGCAAGATACATGCCAACTCTGGGGATAATCGCACTCGCGTTTGGCTTCAAAGGCGTCATCAGCGATCTGAAAGTTGTGAGTCCATGGTCAAGCATGAGCGGTAGGTGGGCTACGGCTCAAGACTCCGTGCTGTTGGACTATGTGAACGGCATTGAGTTCCAGTCTATCTTTCTTGCATTTCGCAAAGGGCACTGGGCTTTGGCCATGGCATTGGTTGTCGGGTTGTTGTTTGGTGTCCTGGTGCCTGTTGCAAACTCACTGACCTTCGTCGACGACTCGGCCTCCATGATCGTTTCGGCACCCTTTCTGCAAAAATCCACGTTTGATTTCGATGCTACACTGGCTTTGCCGAACGGGTCGCTGGCTGTGCCCCTGGACTATACCGGGCAAAAGCCGTACGCTGCCGTCGCTTCAGAACGGCTCGCCAACGGCGCGCCCTCTCCGTGGACCACCGGCAATCTGGCTTTTGAAGCCTTCTCTTCCACTGCGTACACGCCTTCATCGGGTACGACCATCGCGGCTAACGTCACCGCCCTCTCGGCAGACCTGAATTGCTTTCCTCTCAGGCACAATGCCCGTGTTCTAGACAAATACACCATAACAGTACTCGATGGGAATGAGGACGATCTCAAGGCAGCGAGTTGCTCACTCCCTGTACAACAAACCTATTACCAAGACGAGAGTCTCGCTTATCTGAATGTCACGAGCTGCTCTGATAGTCGCAAAGACATCCGCATCTTGGCCACGTTAATCTCTAAGGATGAGGCTAAATTTGGAAACTTTACTGCGACGGGTCTCATATGTTCGCCAGCTTTCGCGAGGCAGGAAGTCCACCTGAGAGTGAATGGCACTACAGAAAGGGCAGTGAGCTATACAACTCAGGGCGACGCCGTGCCGACAGATATCCAAACCTCAGTCGAGGCTCTATGGATATATCTCAACAACCCCTTAGACACGACCACGATGACTGCGTTCGGCGAGGCCCAGAATCCTGGCCCTTATAACCCTACGGAGCGTCCGCTGGCAACTTTCAGCAATATCACAGCGGCAGTCACTAAGCTGATACAGCTTGGCAATGCTGACCCTTTCTCAAGTCTTCTCATAAACGGCCAGGCTGACGTTTTCGACTTCTATGTTCGCAACCCTCGGTCGTTTCAGACCGAGGTTGAAGGCCTTGCAAGCAGTATTTGGGCTCAAACTGTTAACGCCTTCTCGAGGAAAGCTGCGTCGCTACCAATGCAAGGGACCATCGAAACAGCTGAAGCCCGGCTCTTCCTTCGCAAGGCATCGTTGCGGGTTATGCAAGCCCTCCTAGGCTGCATCGGGCTGATCAGCGTTTTCAGTCTCACCTTCCTGAGGCCGAAAACATCGTTACGAACGGACCCCGGCCCGTTGGCGTCGATGGCCCTTGTGCTTTCTGCGTCGGATCCCAGGGTTGAAGAGCGCCTGGGCTCGCATGCACAAAGTACTGCCACAACTTTCGATCAAGCTTTGCTGTTTTCCAAGTGGAGTCTACAGTCGACTCCCACTCCAGGCCAGATGGAAGTCAGGCTGGAGGATTTGGAAGACCCAGACGCAGACAACAGGCGGAGCTCGACCGGAGCAGAGTCCTGGCGGCCGCTTCCATTGCGCCTGTCTGCTAGGATCGCCCTCGTAATCGCGATGCTCGTGTTTATGACGACTCTCGGTATTCTTCAGTGGATGTCCAGCAAAAACCGAGGCCTCTGTCGGTACACGTTCCTATCATCGACGGTCGCGTCCATTGCCCCGGCCACGATTCTAGTCCTGCTTGGATATTGGGTTTCGGGGTTCGACCGAGCCGCTCGGTCTCTCTCCCATACAAAAAACTCCGAAAAGCATCGAGTCGGCAGACACTTCTTCTCAATATCAGAGATACGGTCTTTTTCTGGTCGCCTACTCGGCCAAAGACGGATCAGGTCTTGTTCACTCTGGTCACGTCGGCTGTAATCCTGTTGGCAGTTCCAGTTGTGAAGCTGATCGCAGCAGGATTGTATGATGCACGGCCGTCTTTGAGCGAAGAAATAGTGGCGTTCCAGGCCGATACCACCCTGCCAGACACCGTTGCCTCAATCTGGAACGTATCCGACTTTAGCGCCGTCGTGAAGAGGGCGTCAGAATTTACAGAATGGACCACTATCCCGGGCTTCAATGTGCCCCAGCAGCCTGGGATAATCAACAATATTGTCCTTAGCAACATTACCAGTGTTGTGTTATCTCCAACATCGTCGGATCAAACAGAAAGCAAACTGAACGTGCGGGTTCCCGCGATTGCTGTCGATGTCAAATGTACGCCGCTACCGAGTTCGGCCTTTAACCTTTCGGCAACATACTCCTCGCTTTCCGGCAGTTGGACATTTACCTGGTATTGCAAGTCTGCGCCATGCTCGACCTTGCTGAACCAGACTGTGCAGGTGCAGCAGTCGACCGTATCAAAAGCGCATGGTCTTAGCCCTCCTTACCCATACCAAGGGTCAAGCTTTGTCCAAAATCCTGATTTTGATACGAATCAATCGATGGGAAACGCATACCTCCCTCTGATAGTGAACACCGCCTTCAACGTCATCCTAGCAGACGTCTCAGCTCTGATCAGACCGTATGACTCAATTCAGAACGCCAGCTTGATGGAAATGCCGGGCAATTCTACCTCGAACACTATGTGGGTTGGAGATGACACGTTTTCATTCCCCCTACCTACAGTCAGGGCACTCTCTTGCACCCGTGAATTGAGCCTCGTTCAAGTGAATGCGACATATGCCAGGACCTCCAAGATAGTGGTGGGAGACGCTGAGACAATCCTGCCGTGGAGCCCAGTGTCCGTTGATTTGAGCTCGGTAACGCATGAGCGTGCCTACCCGACAATGCAACCATACTGGTTCGCGCCGGTAACCCAACCCGTCTCGCAATATACACAAAGTGACGATATGGACGGAAAACTCAACAGCGATTCCCTGTGGCCCAAGATTGGCAGCCCCACGAACTTCTGGGAACTCCTCGCCGCCTATGTGAAGTTCAAAGCGGACAACTTGACGAGCATCTTGGATGCTGACACGCTTGCAGCCGCGACCGAAGCCGTCCTCACGGCATATTGCACGCAAATCTTGACGCAATTGCGCCCTCTTGCACTCGCGTTAGCACCCGACTCTCAAATCACTCCATCGCTCCAGGGAACATTGAGTCAGCCCGAACCTCGCCTTGTGCAAAACCTCACGGCCACAATCGCGCTAGAAAGCCTTCTCGCCCTAATGCTCTGCTGTATCGTCTGGATCTTCATCCAATTCCCCAGCGAGTCCATCCTACCCAAGCCACCTGATTCGATCGCCGCCCGACTGTCGCTGTTGGCAAATAGCTCCATTGTGCGAAGGCTGCGCGAGGCGCGTGTCGCAGACCTGCAGGCCATGGGAATATGGAGGGAAAAGGCTGCCCTCGGTTGGTGGTTGTATCCAGGCAAGAGTAGGACTCCAGGAGCTGTCGATGCACTCCACGATGAGTCCATGCAATGGCGCTGGGGCATCGATGTTGGTCCCGACGTGATCTTGCGAAGCTGGAACAGTCCACCAACTGCTATCGAGACCGCCGAGCTGCTCAAATCAGTCGGCTCTGAGTCAAGTGTGCCCTATATTTCATCCAGTATTGGCGACTCCTATCCTTCGCTGGTCCGTGACGGCTCTCGTTTCAATGTACGAGCTGCAGACTCGGAACTAGAGTCGCTTATGGAGCGCGACCAGAGATTTCTCCTTGATGAGCATAGTTCCATCAGACCGACAATGCCATCGCCAGGACTGAGACGCGCTTCCGCTGGATAGTTATTATGTATGCACAGCATGTACGGGCGTAATAGATCTGTGTATGTGTCAAATCCAGTTGCGAGGATGGTAATTAGGGCAAGGCTTTGAAGTGCGAGGCTGCGCGGAGTATTATTGTTCCGAGGCCGGGCCCCTTCTGCTTACATAAGTAGGATTCGTCTCGGCAAAAGCCCGAACTTCTCACGCTCACTCAACCCTCAAACGTGTCTCTTCCCTTTTCTTTGCTGTCCTTTCCGTGGGCTTCAAGCTCCTCGTTCCTCAATCTGGATTTCTCTGGTACCGCCATCATCGCTACGATACACGGCCTGCACCTCGGCCTGCGACGTTTCGGTGATAGCGTACATCTCGACACCTTGCGATGTGAACACCGCGGTTGGTGCTGCTCAACCCATCCTGAAAGCACACCGTTGCTTCTAGGGTGCGAGCACAACTCGCGATCCAAGATCGATCTATTTGACTAATTTACAGAAAGGTATGTCTTATGGATTCTTTCAGTCACCTCCCATGGCTTTTGTGGCACAGCACAGCACAGTACCGTACATGATGATACCCAAATCGCTGATTCAAACTTACTCGGTCGAGACTGGATGCCTTGCAGCGAGTCGATGCGACGAAGAAAATTTCTTTTTTTCTTTCCCCTTCTGAGATACGGTGCTGTTGCTGTGCGGTGTGTGTGTGTGTGTGTGTGTGTGTGTGTGTGTGTGTGTGTGTGTGTGTGTGCTGTGTGCTGTGTGCTGTTTACGTGCAGAGTACGAGTACGAGTACTCGTGCCATGCACCAAGATGTTTCTTTGATCTCGAAGCCCTACTCGTGGTCTAGATTGCTGACTTTCATGGCTTTCAATGCAGTACGACAGGATACCCTTGAATACCGTACGAGCAACGGAGCACCTAATTAGGGTTCAGAGGTTACCAAGGACGCTGTAGATCTGGACTTACGGACGCGACTGATCGACTGACCGGCTTCATTGCGCTCACATTGCTATACATCTCCACGCGTCTACTGCATACAGCATACATCATAAACCATACATCCGTTTTAATCGTCAAATCTTTCCTTTCTTTTCACAGTAAGCGTGAGCTTGCTGCGCCTACAGGCTGGATCAATGGGATGACGGAAAGACACAAGAACAGGCAAACAGCTCGACAATCGCCTCTCACTGCTGCTACTACTACCACCACTACGGTGACTGGTAAGCCGCATATTGTTCTAAGGCGAGGAACCCTCCTTTGATATCTCCGATCCATGGGACCTTTTGTCTTCGCGCCTTGGGCTCTGCTGCGACCGTAGCTGTAGCTGTAGCTGTCTCCCTTCCGGTTGCGTCTTGGACAGTCTGAATACTCGTCATCAATTTCTGCGCCGCGATCTGACTATCGTTCCCGCGCTGACAGACGAAATACACGTCTGGAGGTTCGTCGTCGTCGTCGTCGTCGTGGTTGTTCTCGTCGTCGCCCGGACGGAAGTTGTACCCAACATCTTCGTTGCCCCCCTTAAACATCTCCCCCGGTCTCGACGGGAAGTTAGCACTCGAAAAGGTCGACTGTCTTGCCACGGGCTCGGATATGGGGGAATGCGCCTCGTCATCGACCATACCGCCGTCTGGGCCTGCACCAGCACTATTCGTAGAAGTCGCGATTCGTGCAGCCGCAGCCAGGGGTATATGGGTCTCGTGATTGACCATTTCTTCATCAGGCCTATTGTGACTCCCCTGATAGTTGTCCCCGTCGTTGGTCCCGGCCCGGATATGTGATTCTCGATTAAGCATCCCTCCGTCCGGGCCGGTCGCTGAGCTTTCTGTTAGGAATGCTAGATCAACCCTGACTGTTTGCCCGTGCCCAGCGCTATGAGAGTTGACATTGGCCCCCTCGGTGATGGGGATGTGTGACTCCTTGTTGATCTGGCCGCCTTGTGGATCAGCCTCGGATTCGGAGCCTTTTACGATTTCCTGTTCTGTGGTCGGGAGACGGCGTTTCCATTCCTGATCGACCATTCCTCCGGGGTGACTTATTCCAGTGCTGGTCCCAAAGTCAATCCCGAGCTGATCAAACGCGGCGTCTCCGTGCCTTAGAATCCTCGACAGCGGGATATTCACGCTCCCGCCGACTTTGGGTCCCAGTTCGAACTCATGCTCCTCACGCACATCAACGACAATGGCTTTCCTCTTCCTCTTTCTCGTCCTTGTTCCCTCGTCGGCCCTCGTCTCGCCGTGATGGCCATGACCACGGTGCTGCCGCCGAGCGTGCTCTTCCAGAAACTCACTTGCGTTGATCCGATTCTCCTCGCCCAACAGCCTCACGTCGTCCGCGACGCCGCAGAAAGCCCCGTAATCCAGCCGTCCTTGAGAGATCATCTCGGGTGTGATCCTGGTTAGGTTCTTCTGCGCGAGGGTCTCGTCGTCGCCGCATGCGAGGCAGTCCTTCCGCCGGCCTCGCAGCGTGATTGTGCGAAAGACACTGCGCGGATCCGTCGCCCACGTGTTATAGAGAAGCATGGTATGCCTTTCAGGCGCCGCGCCAGAAGTTGTGATGCCGCTCTTACCCTGGGCTGTCGGTGTCACCGGCGACGGCGGGAGATGCCCTCCCGTGGAAATCACCTTGATGGCCTCCCCGGCCATGAGCGTGCCGATCGTGCCGACCACAGGTCCGAGGATGCCGATCTCGCTGCACGAGCGCACCGTTTCAGGGGCCGGCGGACGAGGGAACACGCATCTGTAGCACGGGCCTTTGTCCTGCGTAGTTGATGTCGGAGCCGTACCCGCACCCTCACTCGCACCCGTAGCCACACCCGTGCTCGCACCCGCCCGCGGAGCAGGCGGCGGCGGCGGCGAGTTGAGCACGATGAGCATCCCTTCCCCTCTCTGCGCGGCGCCACTGATCAGGACTTTGCCCAGAATCACGCACGCGTCCGAGATCAGATACCTCGACGCCGGGTTATCCGTGCAGTCGAGCACCAGGTCGTACTGCGCCACCGTGGCGAGGATGTTGGCCCCCGTGGCCTGCTTGTCGTGGCACACGTACGAAATCTCCGAGTTGAGAGCCTTACACCGCGCCGCGGCCGAGCGGACTTTGGACAGTCCCGCGCGGGCGGCGTCTTCGGTGTGCACGATTTGGCGGTGGAGATTGCTGACTTCCACGGCGTCGCCGTCCATGAAGCCTAGGGTGCCGATGCCGGCGCCGGCGAGGTACAGTGCGGCTGGGGAGCCGAGGCCGCCGAGGCCGACGATCAGCACTTTGGACGACAGGAGGTATTCTTGCCCGCGGAGGCGGAGTTGTGGGAGGAGCAGCTGGCGGTTATATCTGCTGGAGGCGAGCGGCGGGGCCGGGATGAGCAGAGGGGATGTCGGTGACGATTCATCTCGTTGTTCGGTGACTCTGAACCATGATCGTTCGTCTGGCTGTTCGGTGGCTGTGGGCATCGTGGGCGAGGAATCATTTTTCACTCGAGGTTGAGCAGGGGCAGGTCTTTCAACCACGTCGTCCGTGGCCGACATGTTTGCCGGTAATAGGGCTCAACTAGGGAATCCCAATGATTGTAATGCGCAGGGACGAACCTGCTAGAGAGGAGACTTATTTGTCCCTGACTCCCTCAACGATCCGTCGCTGTCTACGGTACCGTGGTTGATGAGAACAATTACAAGGAACGAGGCTGCAAAAACCTCCATGCAGGAATGCTTGATCCACGCCAAGCCCTGGAACAGCGCCCTGGTTCTGGATTCTGATTCTGATTCTGATTCTGCTCTCATCACTGTATGACTGACTATTCATCCCATCCCATCGTGCATCGTCATTGGGTATCAAGTGTCGCGCCTCATCAGGCGATCCGGCCTCGGCAAAACAAAATGCCTAATGGCAAAGAAAATGTCGTGTATATGCTCAAACAATCCGCGGCCAATTCACTCGTCTTCTGGCTCAATGAGGTCGGGCAGATTCTCGGCCTTCTCTTTGCCTTGTAGGACGTCGTATACCGCTGTGAGCAAAGGGAAGTCCTTCTCCAGGCCCTTGTATTTCAGGAACTTGTTGACTTCGCCCGCAGTCATTGCACCTTGCAGCTTTTGCCCGTTCAGCTCTCTCTCCTCAATCTCTTCGATCGATTTGCCTTCTTGAATGCTCATCTTGGCACACCGGAAGTTTCGACCACCTGAACACGACGTGATCAAGTCGGCCACCCCAGCCGACTCAACCGTAAAGGTGTCCGGCTGAACGGTATGAGGAAAGAATCTGTTGCCGAACTCTCTCATCTCAAGCAGCCCAACTCGCATGACAGCAGCCTTGGCGTTGTCTCCCCAGCCTAAGCCATCGACCCAGCCGGCTGCAACAGCTACAACGTTCTTCAAAGCGCCACCAAGTGACACACCGGCGACGTCCGAGACTACCCTGACGTGGAAGTACCGTCGATGGAATAGCTTCTTCCAGGTGTCGTGGTCAATTGCATGGTATTCTGCTGGCAGAGGCTTCAGCTTGACCTTCGACGGTTTTCCCGACGCATCCTTGTGTGCTAATTTTGTGAGGTCGACATGACTCGAGGCTGGGCTAGGGCCCTGAGATGTCGCGGGTGTGGGAGTGCGCGAGTCCATTGGTGGAGGGTCATATGCCACCGTAGTTTCAGAGAACTTCTCCAGAGCCACTTCGCTGGCAATGTTTGCACCAGACAAGGCACCACAGTATATTCCCAGCTCTTCGCCTATCGTCTCAGAAAACAGGCTGATGGAGGATTCGTGGACGTTGACACCCTTGATACATGAGATGCCTCGGGCGAACGGCAGGATATGACCTCGCATTTGTTTACATAGGTTCAGAATGAACTGGTGGGGAAGATTGAAAACGAGGATCGACGAGTTCTTGACCGCGTCAATGAGGTCCGGGTTGGCGATGACGTTGTGAGGCAGAGGAATGCCGGGAAGGTATTTGACGTTCTCGTGGAAAGTGTTGATGAGCTTGGTGAGCTTCTGCTTGCCTTTGCTGAGCTCTGAAGACTCGTTGTAGTGCTTGGACTTGTGGTCTAGCTCGACTTCCTCCTCATAAACCCACATCTGCACATCTCGCTCGAAAAGTTCCGGATGGTCGACGGTGTTCTCAGCAACCACTTTGGCAATAGTTGATCCCCTACTTGAGTCAGTCCAGCATTCTTGTAGCACCGGATCCATCCTACCAGTTGCCGGAGCCGATCACGGTGACCTTGTGTTTCTTCTGAAAGGGTGTGAGGCCGGACATTTTCGCTCGTAGACTATCCATGGTGACGGCTGGTGTTGGTTTGGAGAAACGATGAACAGGAAGAGAAAGTCTCGAGAAACGAAGGAACAGACTTGTACGACAAGGCAACAGCATCCAGTGCTAGCAGTGACGTTAGTCAGGGTATCAAAAGCAACTTCGTCCTGCGTTTTGAATTTCTGGTGAATGGTGGGTTGCTTGACGCAAAATGTTGGACCGTTGGTCCAGCTCAACATCTCGCGTGACGCAGGAACATCGAATAGGCGGGACCAGCTGATCGATTAGGCCTTATCTCGCTTAGTGGGCGCCGCTAGACCGAACAGCCACGCGCCCCAAGGCCGAGGCTCGGGCGTGGCGCACTGCTGATCGATATTTGTTTTCGCGTCTCGCGTCTCGCACAACCCGATGTCACCATGACCTCTGACCTCTGACCTCGGATCTTCTCAATAACATTTCACATGCAACGAGATCAGACCCGTCGTCATGGAGGTCAGATTCAGCCGCGGCGAAGCAGATTTCAAGATGACAACGGATCTGGCAACTAAGTCCTTGAATACTATCAACCAATTCTTCAGGTTCTCGACGCCCTGTGTGGTGAAATGTCCTGTATGACGCAAGGAATTCCTCTTGACCGATCACACTGTCAACATCTTCACGAGGAGCCTAACGATATCCATCAAAAGCCATACTACAAGACACACTTTCAGGAAGGTCTTGTGGCAGCCAGCCTTGATGTCTAATCCGCGTCTGCTACCTGCGGACCGACCCCAATCCTCGAGGGATGTCTTAAAGTACACTTATGACCAGTATTGGCACCAGAACATTGTGCTAGCTCACGAAAAACCAGACAGGAACAGGCCACTCCGGCAGAGTAGTACAGCCATCTATTCCGCTTATCTACGAGGTGACACGAGGTGTTATTGTGACCCCCTTGCAAAGAAGGTCGGCTGTCGATGAATTTTGAAAGGCTCAGCAGCAGCTCCGCTATCCTAGGATCGATGCGGCTCAACTCTTCCAACAGACCGAGCAGGACTGGCGGAGCGCCAGTTTCTGGTAGGGTAGCATGGTACATTTCTCGTACATACCAACATATGTACGGGAGAGCACAGCGATGTCAACAATAGCTCCGACATTAGTTCTCAGATGACCTTGGAGGGCTCATCTTCAAGAGCCAAGTTGTGGTACGTCTGTTGGTAGGTCCGTCTCATCGCTTTGACGGTTAAGTTAATCTCGCATGGAGTCCATAACGACGTCGCCGAAAGCGGCAAAGGAGCACAAACAGTAAGTGAGCCTTTCCAGACGACCATCACGCGCTGCATCGCCTTTTACGATGTTGAGTCTCAATACGAAAACCGTAGTACTTGGCATCCCTGGCGCCAACGTGAAATTTTGACTGCATACCGACAGGGCTCCGAAGTGGCAGAGTCGAACTCTGCCTGCGTGGCAGCTCACCGACACCCTGCCTGTCCTGTAACTCAGCGTACAACATGTCCGGATAACATCGAATGTGGCTCTCTCTTGGCTCAACCAAGAAAGATTCGGAGTGGTGGTTCTCGGTCTTCCACTCACATTCACGAAGAGGACCTGCCGCACGGACATGGTTCCAAGCCTTGGGCATCGGGCACCTCGGAATTCCTTATCCGAACCAGTCGCGCCGGAGCACCCTTAACGCTGCCAGAATGCAGATCTTGGTAGAATACCAGGCTTTGCTTTGGACAATGAGGACCTGAGCAGCTGGAGCCAAAGCCACTATGGGGATGAGTCGATTTCCAGTGGGCGGTCTGGATGGGCGAACAGTCTCTGGTTCTGGTGCTTTGACCAACGGGCCTACCTACCCTGTGTCCTCGAAGGAAAGCGGCAGTTCTCTGGTTCAGAGCTGCAAATTTCTCACAAGCAGTACAGGTCCTCTTCGCGTCCCTTCTCAGGTCCTCCTTCAGGTCTATAAAGCAGCTGTGCTTCCCATCGATTGTGGCCTCCATCGACTTCCCATCGGTCTACAGTCTTTAACCCCGACACGAGTACAACCACAACCACGACCACAGGCACAAGCACAAGCACCAGCAAGCACGACCACAGACTCAAACACACCTCAAACACAACTACAACTACAACACAACTACACTTAGTCACTATGCCTTCCTCTCTCCGTATGTTGGTAGGCCTCACCCCGCCAGATCTTGCACACAGTCCCTCCCAGCGCGAGCCATGCACCAAGACAATCACCATTGAGCAGATGATTCTTGTTCTTCAATGGTCTCACGGAGAAAGCGAGAACAAGACCTACAAGGTCTTCAGCGCCGTCTTCCCCCTCGACGGGATGAAAACATTTGCTCACGATCCAGAACTACTCAGCAATGCACAAAACTGCTCCGCCGAGCTCATGCGCGACACCCAAACCTATATGCGAGATCATCAACTCTGCTCATGGGACATCAAAAGCGTTTACGAGATGGACGCAACGGACGCAACGTCGGCAGAGGAAAGCAATGAAGCTCACCTGGTCCTCCTTGAGCGGAGCAAGCCATGCAGCTGCCACAAGATGTGGAGGCCGAGACACGCGCTCAACATCGTTCGGATTGCGACCTCTCACAGTCACAAGGAGAAGACCACGATGGCTACGGCCTTGGATGCGCGCACCACCACTCGGTCTGCTCGCTGTCCGGACGAGCCTCTCTTCAGCCTGGCTAGACCGTTCCCGCACGTCGTGCGTTTCTAGCAGTCGCTAACGGAAGACGACATCAAGACGCGGTCGAGAGTCACCTGCTAGCAGCTGGGTATTCGACGGTTTTATGGTGTACATTGAGAAGACATGTTTCTGGGATATGTCTGCAGCGAGGACGGGGGGACGGCGATGCCGAGCCAAAGCATAGATGTACAATGTAACGCACAAAAGTCTCAAGTCATGTACAGAACAGTATGTAGGCCATAGGCAGTGTACAGAGTGTACATAGCACATGTCCAATGAGGCAACCTATTGCAGAGCATGGATCACACGGTTGGTGTTCCTCCTTGACCCTCTTTGTCCGGGATGACACACGCTCTCGTTGTCGTCCTCGTGGTCGCTTTGCGGTACAGTCTTTCATACAACTCCATGTCTTGTAATACTATATGTTGGTATGCTTCGAACCGGAACACAACGGTATGCTGTTACTGTTACCGTTTCACCGCCCTACAGTGTAGTGGCCCCCTCACCAGCATGTTTGCCTGTTCGCTTTCTTGACCATCTGCCTGTCTGCCTGGCTGCCTACCTTACACCGAAGTCGATGATTACAGTACCTGGACCACCCTCTCATCACAACATGGCCTCTGGCATGAATTTCATCGCCTGCCGCACGCCCCAGGTCTCCGAGCATCTCCTCTCCGTGCCCCCGAGGATGGCGTCGAAGTTGTACTGTATGTGATGGAAAGTCCTCGATATCCTTCCACCCAGGCCCGTGGTGGTGATCCCGCAGCCTCTCAAGACCTTGACTGCGTCGTCTGTGATCTCGTGCGCCGGCGCCCGCCTGGCGAGTATCTGGAACAACACTCTTCGGACCACTGGGGGTCCTTGTTCTGCTCCAACTGTGAAGTCATACACCTTGTTTGTTGACGGCACCATAGACTGTCGGCAGTGTTGTTCCGGGGAGACCTCTTCTTTGGCAATTTCTCGGCTCGTAGTTGCAGTCAATGGCTTCACTGGCCTGTCGACATGGCTGCACGACTTCTCGAGGACTGCTGAAATCCATGAATCTGGCAGGTGAGGTCAGGTCCAGATTGCGCTTACATAGATGGCTCACCTCGGCTGTTTTGGAATGGCGCATCTATATTATATATTATTGATTCGTGGGGACCGACTGCAGGCACAACCTGCAAGGACTCTGTCTTTATTGATCTTTTCGCAGCGACCTCCTGTGGCTAGCCTAGGTAATTAGTTGTTTGGAGCGGAGTACAGGACTGGCAGGGGACAGTGCCGTTTCAATTTCTTTGGGTTCTCGCCCGAGTCCTATGCTTCAGGATCCTGGGGTCGTGGTTATTAACGGCATCGATGGCGACGTTTACGGGCGCATAGTACGGCCGTGTTATTCCTTTGTCTACGCGGACACGTCTCGGGACTTACTTTACGGTAGGCTGAATGCCATGTACCTCGGGTTCTCCCGCTGAAGAGGCCGCTCGAATGGTCGTGTTTGGGCGTGTCGATTACTTTGGATGATTCGCGTGAGCACTCTCAATATGAGGGCAGGTATCGACAGGTGCCTTTCCTTTCCTTGCGACGGGTAGTGAGCGGAGCGAAAGGCAGGGAAGTCCTGGTGGGGGGCGACATCCAGCATGGCGTGAGTTGCTGTTTCCTTGCTGACTGTTGATCCAGGTGTGGTATGTATGCCGGACAAGTCATGGGATTGATCCATGATATTCCGACGTGAGCAGAGCTTTTCGCACGTATTGAACGCGAGGACGGGGAGGTTTTGCTCATCCTTTCGAGCTCGGTCGGGACCGGTCAGCCACAGCCACCAATGAGCAAGTTATAGTGAGGGCCGCTGTAGAACTTCCAAACACGAGTGTCTTAGCACAGCTTTTCCCTTCACACCGTCTCGTGGCAGTGGCCCCGGATCACCTCTTCGGGACACATTGTAGCAATGTTCGATACCACGTGAGAGCGTCTGAGGAGACATGCCTGGTTGGGAGCGGGACGCCTTCGTAGACTTGTTTCGCGGCGTGAAACGCTACATGATTAACGAACGACTTACTTGTCTTTAATCAGGTGTCTTCACGGAGAGAATGTCATCAATCAGCCTCGACGAACTCAAGACAAGATTCCCAGCGTCTCCGAACGAATATGAACTTAACAATGACGTTCGACCTGTTCAAGCAAAGTGACCTGGAAAGCGTGTTCACTGCCCCAAATATTCAAACATCACACGTGAAACCTACTTAGTATTCGTCGTGGAAAGGATGCCTTGATTAATTAACGAGGACTTGATCAGCACTGCGGGGAAGCGGGGAGGCCAATACCTGCCACTCAACCACCACGTTACGTGCTTAACTAGCTCGCTACCTAAGTACGTTCCTGGAGGTACCGTAGGCACTGCATCTGGCGCGTAGGCACCGCATCTGGCGTGGATAGGTACTCGTACCAGGTGCGCGTTGACTTGGCGTGGGGTGCCTAGACGCGGTGCGCTTGCACAGCGAGACAGCCACAGCGTGCTCATATGATGGGGTACATATGGAAAGTGAAACCTATGCACGCACCCGCAACAATAAAGTGTCGCGGACGCAAAAGTCATGGCACTCACGGGAAGCTCGTGTCACGAGTTCGATATACTACTGTGGTAGCCACTGAATGAAGGCTGCACGAGTTACTACTAGGGCTCCCTGTCGGTGTTTGAGGTGGCTTGTTTTAAAAGAAGATGCCCCAAGTCGAGTGCCCGGGGCCCGACTGCCGGGCATTCGAGCATGCCTAAATGAGTGGAATGGTCCTCTTTTAGGTGCTTACCTACCTAGGTGGTGCTTTAACGTGTGGGCGTCCGAAGGCCACAGTCCTTGTCAGCGCTTCACCTTCCACGACTGCGTCTGAGAATTACACGACCATTGCAGTAGATGACAATTTCAGACTCTACCTAGGTGAAGTTACGTGCGTATCAAAGAGGACCTGCTTCCCACCTTGTGCATAAGCGAAAGACGGCAGTCTACGATTCCACCAAGACGCCGGGCGGCACACCGGCGGTGGGCGAGCCTACCGAGGTTGAAGGCCCAGGGCGATGCTATTTCCGCCCTCTTTAAAGGATTACTGATTCACACCGTGGCACATGGGACTGTAATTATCGAGATTTCCTTGCCGCATGATGACTTGAAATATCGTTGACACACTGTAGTACGGAGTAGATTCCTGTATACATCGTTTGACATTGGAGGCACCCCGGACAGAACAGATTAGGAGAGCTGTGGTTGACGGTCTTCTCAGGTCCCCGTCCACATCCTTGGGGACACGACATCCTGATCTCAATACCGTAGAACAGGCGGCAGACAACCTCGACAGCCCCCACCAGCACCCACAACGACACCCACACCGCGTACAGCATGTCTCTGAACAAGCAGAACAAACCGATCATTGCCCTCGTGGGCGCCGGCCCGGGCATTGGCGAAGCCGTCGCCCGCCGCTTCGTGGCCGAGGGCTTCTACGTGGCGCTGCTGGCCCGCACGGAGGACAAGCTGCACAAGATGGCCAAGGGCATCGAGGCCGATCACGGCGCCGGCTCGGCAAAGTACTACATCACCGACCTGCGGCAGGAGGGCTCGGTGCTCTCGAGCTTCCAGCACATCCGCGCCGACCTGGGCCCCGTGTCCGTGCTGGTGTACAACGCCGGGGCGCGCCGCGTCAACGGCCGGCCCATCCTGGACACGTCGTCCGAGGAGTTTGAGAACTTCACAAAGATCAACCTGTTCGGCGCGTTTTGGGCGACCAAGTGCGTCTTGCCGGACATGCTGGCCGCGGGCAAAGGCACGATCCTGTTCACGGGCGCCACGGGCGCCCTGCGCGGCAACCCGGGCCTGTCGAGCTTCTCGCCGGGCAAGTTCGGCCTGCGCTCGCTGTGCCAGATCATCACGCGCGAGTACCAGGCCAAGGGCATCCACGCGGCCCACATCATCGTCGACAGCCCCGTCGACGGCAAGTTGATCGGCGAGTGGTCGAGGAGGGAGTGGAAGCGCCGCGGCCAGGAGGGCAAGCTGGACGACGTGGATGCCCATCTGGTGGCGCCCGCGGATCTGGCCCACACGTATTGGTTCCTGCACACGCAGCCGCGGAGTTCGTGGACGCATGAGTTGGATATTCGGCCGCAGGGCGAGAGCATGTTCTCGAAATTGTAGCACACACGGAACGGTTGAGGAAGGGATGTGTTTGTATGCTTAGGGTAGTAGTAGCCTTTCACAGCAATGTCATTTATCATCATGGTTGGAGTTCCTGTCTTGGGTCGTATTGTGTGCACGGCGAGCGAACACGAGCTCAATCATGACAGCAGGCAGTTTGTGTGCATTTCCAATTCCTTTTTAGTTCCCTTCGTGTGCAGCCAAATGTACGGAGTACGTGTTCTGCCGACCGGTTAATGGCCAAAAGGTAAATCCCCGAGAGCACCATGAGAGATACTGTATCGCCCTACAACCGGACCGACTCCTCCTTCTTCGCCTGTTCAGACAGAACCCGACGGAGCACCTTGCCAGCATTGCTCTTGGGGATCGCATCCACGAACCGAATCCCGCCGCGGAGCCTCTTGTATGGAGCCACCTTCTTGTTCAACCACGCGGAAATTGCCCCCTCCAGCTCAGGCCCGGCGGTGTATCCCTTCGCGGCCACGACGTACGCTCTCGGTAGCTCCGTCGCCTTCTCTCTGCTGTACACGCCAATGACAGCCACGTCGTTGACGGCCGGATGCGCCAGCAACAGGCCTTCCAGTTGAGCCGGAGCGACTTGAAATCCGTTGTACTTGATGAGCTCCTTGACCCGGTCCGTGATGTGGAGGTTATGGTCCTTGTCGACATGGCCCACATCACCTGTGCGGTACCAGCCGTCGGGGGATATCGATTCCGCTGTGGCTTGTGGGTTCTTGTAGTAGCCTTTGAAAACATTGGGGCCTTTGATCCAGATCTCTCCTGACTCGCCGAACGGTACTTCTATCCCATCCGCTACGCACTTCAGAGACATAGACGGGAGGAGCGTCCCGGCTGAGCCAACGGTCTTGTTCCATTCACTCCATGGCTGCGGAATGAGTCGAGCGTAAGTAATTCAGTGTGATGGAAGATGTGGGAGGGAGCTCTTTGTCGCGTACGTACCTGTGAAGCCACTCCGGGAGAGGCTTCTGATAATCCGTATCCTTGCTTGATCGGGACTTTCAGCCTCTTGTACACCATCTGAACGAGATCATCCGTCAGCGGTGCCGCGGACGAATGCATCATGCGGAGGGAGCTCAGGTTGTATTTGCCGACCAGGGGATGCTTGGCCAGGGCCAGCACGACGGGCGGCACGACGTAGGCGAACGTGATTCTGTGGTGCTGGATGAGGCGGCAAAACGGCTCCAACTCGAATCTTTGCATCATGTAGACTCGCACACCGCGGAAGACTGGTTGGAGGAGGAGAACTGCGATGCCTGCGTCCCACGGATCAGCATGCTGATGTGCGCTGCGACTGAACACTCCTGTGCTCACCGTAGATATGGTACATGGGCAGGAACCCGATGGTGCTGTCCTTGGTCCAGTGCGTTTGCTGCGCGTCCATGACCGCTGCCTGTAGCATGTTTGCGACAATATTCTCGTGTGTCAGCATCACGCCCTTTGGCAGACCCGTGGTGCCGGAAGAGTACACCAGGTAGGCCAAGCCCTCCTTCGGGTCGATGTGCACTCTCTGCACGTCGGCCATCGATGTCTGCACGTCGGAAAAGTGCTTGAACTGTTCTTTCGGGTCTCGCGATCCGACTAGAATGACGCGGTCGAGCGACAAGCCCACGAGCAAGGCAGCCTCTCGGGCCACCTCCAGACATGCCACATGGGTGACCAGGGCCTTCGCCTGCGAAGACTTCAACTGTGACACCAGTTCACCGACGGTATACAGATTGTTGAACGGACACACAATGCCCCCGGCCCAGAGTGTGCCGAACGTCACGGCCGCGATATCTGTACTGTTGGGGCTGAAAATCGCCAGCACGTCGCCCTCGTGCCAATGCCACTGGTGTCGCATGCCTCGGCCGAAACGTGTGGCAGCATCGCGAACGTCGCGGACGGACTGCTGCTTCTGTGCTGCCACATCCACAAAAACAACTTCACGCACTGTTAGCTCAGGCTACCCCGTGAAGCTTTCCACTCGCCTTACCGTGATCTTCTGGAAATTCGCGGCCAGGTCGTTCGAAGAGGAAGTCCCAGACATCGACCGGAGGGACGGTGATCGGTTGATAGGCCGATTCTATAGGCATGGTGCTGCGATTTTGACAGTGCTTTCAGGGCCGCTGTTCGAACAGCTGCGGTATAAGATGTGGCTGTCGCCAGCACTGCGCCATGGGGGAGCCCTCCTCCCTGCCATTCCGAAGCATTTCTCTCTTTGGATTGATTAGAAGACACCGTCTCGTGCGTAGCCAGCTGTGTCGCAGCGGAATAGCTGAGAAGGGAGATGGGCTGAGGTCTGATCCCGAGTATGCTGTCGGCACCTGCTTTATTGATTAGTCGGGACGGCGACGCGCCGGGGAGCCTCGGTTTACTGTACAGAGTTTGTGCTGTCGTCCTCGTAAGATGCCCTTCTGGAGACCGATTCATTTTATTGTCCTTCATGACATGCACAGAGAATAGTGGATTATCAGAGAAGAACCCCGAGCAGAGCAGAAGCGTGCATCACGCAATCTGATTAGCCTCCAGCCAGCGTCCGTCCGTCGTGGAGGAGGCCTGAACTGCACACCACGGATAGCCGACTACAGCAGGTCCAACGCCAGCCTTGCTGTAATTAGGACGACTCCGGAGCTTCTCAGAATGTCGATGTTCCCCAAAAAGCATCCAGAGGGAGGGAAGCTTACCATCTTCGTGGATTGTGGTAAGTATCGGGCCTCGAACATCCATGTGCTATGCGTCGCAAACTCATTACGCATCTACAGTCTCGCCGTACTCGTGGTTTGGCTTCACCAATGCCGTTCGCTACCGGCCACTTCTCAACGCGTATGGCGTCTCGGTCGAGATATTCCCATTCTACCTGGGTGCCGCGCGTGTCAGCGCTGGAAACCCATTCACGCCGACACCGAAGTACAAGGAGGCTTTCGGCGAGCAAGATTTCACCTTGACCGGCGAGATGCTGGGGTTGAAAGCGGTCCGGCCCAAGGAGTTCCCGATCCTGTCCCTATTCGTGAGTATCATTGACGCTGTTTGGCCAATTCGAGGATTGACGGGGACCAGGCCGTCCGCGTCGCGACTTGGGTCAAAGACCACTATCCGGCTGAAAAATTCGAGCAAACCTTCCCGGCGTTCAGTGTGGCATACTGGAGCAAGGGCATCAATATCTCGAAGCCGGAAGGTGTGATCAAGGCCCTGGCCGGCATCTTCAGCGAGGAGGAAATCAAGGACATTATGAAGAACGCTCTCAGTCGGGAGAACAAACAGCGCGTCGTCGAGTTGACGAACAGTGCTGGCGCATTCGGCGCGCCCTGGATCCAAGCTGTCAATTCCAAGGGCCATCGGCGAGATTGGTTCGGAAACGATCGATGGGACCAGGTCTTCTATCATCTCGAGGTCCCCTTCACCACAACGAGGATAATTCCTCCCGACGAGCTTGAAGCGAAAGCGAAATTGTGAAGTTGAATTATACATCAAGGGCATACGGCGGTCAATCCATGATGTCGAGGACAAACCAGGACAGGTGATGATAAGTCGTCTTCCCAAGCCTTCATACGGAGCATGACACTGCAGGGGACTCTCATATTGTAAATAGCCTTGCTTAAGAGAGCTCTTTCTTCACCTTGACGCGTACACCTTTCCTGTCGAACCTTGGGAGCGCCACGAAGAAATCATGCACAATCTCCACATCTTCCCACGTCGTCTCGAACAACTCCAGCTCGAAGTTGCGGATGATCGTTGCAATCGCAAACAACATCTCGGCGTAGGCAAGGCTGCGCGAAGATCAGTATTTCGTTCTCAACTGCCATCCCCTTGAGCACAAATGGACTCACTTGATCCCGAGACAGGCCCTTCTCCCCTTGGAGAACGCCACCTGATATCTGCGCAGTTCCTTGTTTCCGAGCCACCTTTCTGGATCGAACCTGAAGGGATCGGGGAATATCTTCTCACTCATCATGACCATCCAAGGCGACATGGAGACGGCAGTCTGGGTTGCAAGTTAGCAGACACACGTACACATGTCACAGTACTCACCCCAGGCCGGATTGTCCATTTGTCATAATGCAGAGTATGATCATGAAACACCCTAGGCGACCTTGCTGGCACAGGAAACGATATCCTGACCCCTTCGTCGACCACCGCGTTCAGGTACGGAAGGTTCTGGAGCGCTGCCAAGGACGGTATTGTGTTCGGCTCAGGAAGGGCGACAGTCAACTCGGCTCGGAGCTTGTTGATAATCTGTGGATTCTCAATCAAGTGATAGAAAGTCCGCACCAGCGCCTGCGCAGTGGTCTCACCTCCCGCTCCCAAGACCATGCTGGCTTCATCCGTCAAGCGTCGTAGAGTCTTTTCTTCGGCGGGCAGGTCGCTTTTGATCAGTTCTCGGAACAGCGTCGTCGGCTCGTCTTTTGCCTTTTTGCTTCCTTGCTCATCCAGGACTTGTTGCACCTTCTTTCTCAAGATATTTTGGAAGTCGATGAATCCGCCTAATCGCGGGTTCAGCCTGACCATGATGAACTCCGGGACAGATACCAGCACTGTCATTATCCCCTTGAAATGTCTCCCAAAGTTGTTCATTCGGATCGCGACGGTAAGTTCAGCCCATTCCTTGCCAAAGTCGGGGTGGTTTATGAAGTGCATCGAGAGGTCTTTCCCAAGGGCGTACTCGGAGACTATGTCCATCGCGAATGCAGTGAACATGTGGTAGAGATTGATGGTTGTGCCCTTTTGACACGCTTCGTGGATCCGGTCTAACATTATCACGACAACATCTGTGATGCGCGGTTCGAGGGCTCGAATAGATTGCATGCTGAAGTATGGGGACAGCGCATTCCGCCGTCGTGCGTGAAGGTCATGGTCGATGGTGAAAGCGAGTCCTTGTCCGATGTGATCGAGATTGAACCACTTGTCGCGGTCAGTCTTGTACTTCTTGCCATGATAGATCTCCTCGTAGAAGTCTGGGTCATTGAAATGAAGCTCGTTTGGGTTTATTCGGACCACCGGCCCTTCTCGGATGTTACTGTAGTCCTTGCCAAACAGCCTGCTTCTGCGTTTGCTTACCGTACTCTTCATGCAGCTCCATGATCTTCCAGATAAATCTTCCTTCCTTCGAGACATCGTAGTAATACTCATACCAGTACGACGCTGCGGCAAGTTTAGGGCCAGGGAACCTGGCGAGAGGATGTATTGTGAGACGGTAGAGGAAGAGCAGTGCTTGCCATGTCAACCAAACACAGATGAGCAGCAAGATAGTCCGAATGTAGTGGACGTTCTGTGCGAAGACTTGCACGCGCTCAAAAACTCTTCCCTCAGACATCGCGGTGTTTCTGTACAGCGAGCACAGGCGGTGATGACAGGATGGAGTCCCTTCCCTACATGATACCTACCTTTTGTATTCATATTATATGGGACAATACGGCACAATGCACTCGGAGACATAATGTTCAGGCCATGTTGGAACGCCTGTATGCTCGGAGACATTGGACGCACGAGTGGGAGGCCTGAATAAGGCGACGTTGAATCACTAACCTTCCCTTCCTGCATTTGCTCTTGGCTGGCCCAATCACTGCGTTGCCAAGATCGCCTTTCAGGCCAAGGTTGTCGGTATTGGGTCTTGTTCTTAGAAATCGAAGTTCATATATACACCAGATGAGCACGGCAATGACGAATTGCCTGACCGTTTTGGAGGAAGTCCTTGATCCAGGAAATCCCATGTCAGGATACGGCGGTGTCGACACAAGGATCTTGAACGTCTGCTGCCTTAAACTGCCAACCATACGACAGTGCGAATCATTCGCAACGGACTTCAGCTCCCGCAGATACGGCTGGAGAGCCTGAAGGGCGGCTCGTGCCCACTCGCCGTTCCGCTGGTCGTGACACAGGAAGTGGGTCGACTCGCTGCAATTGAGCGATGAGGCTGTACACTTTTATTGATGCAGGACGATAATCTTGAGGTCGCCGTCTGCAAAGCGGACGAGAATCCTTTCTTCCAGGGCATAAAAAGGAACAAAAGTTACTCATAACCTCAGCCGCAAAGGCGCCCAAAGGCGGACAAGTCTCTGGCCGTGATGTGTAGCACAGCGCCTGTTCTCCATGACAACCTATCGCTTGCTTCTTCCAAATCACGTGGCCAGCCCCCGGTCCATGCAAGAAGCCATTTCGGGCCTCTCAGCCAGATCGTTGAATATGAGGCTGAGACACCCGCCAATTCCTGAAGACAGGTCACGTAACCACCTGAAGTGCCGTCGAGGTTGACGTGACATTCGATGGGCATTCAGAGCCGTTTCCGGCCTCTGAGGTCTTTTGACCTTCCCTTCGCCATACGAAAAGACGATCACGGCGAGAGAAAGACAAGGTGGAGAGGCGAAAAGGTGACAGGACATGTCTGCGATCCACGCCGCCTTCCTCGCCATACTTGGCGTGACCAGAGCTCTCGTCCTTCCCAGGGACCTCACTGCCGATGTCCGCGGACGGGATTGGCAGTCGGCGGTGCAGAACATCAACGGCATGAACTCGATCCTCACCCTCCTTCCGGTCTTGACGGGCAAAGTCCAGAATGTCAAGCTGATCGCCAGTCGCATCTTTCCCGCGTCGTTTGTGGTGGCCGGGATCGGCGCCGGTCGAGTGTTATCCAAGTTGCAGCTGGGCATCCTACTGTGGAGTTTTGAGCTCTACCGCAACACCGTGGCCGAGTTGTCCTACGCCCACGACGAGTACGTGAACAGGTACATGCCCAAATTGCGGCACATCCCCTCTGGCACCGCCGAGCGGCATACGACGAACCTGATCATCAATCACAACCCTGCCGAGGCATACATGGTGGAAACGTGGTTCCAGGCTCGAGGGTGCCCGTCGACTATCCGACTGAAGCAGAACAACTACACAAGGCTGTTGCTGGGATCCGTCATTTATCTCGCAGTCTACGGTGCAGAGACTTTTCTGGCGGTCCAGAATGGGGCTGATGGAACCGGCCGGCTGTTGATCATTGTGCAGGTCATCTGTGTCTCCTTGTGGCTGGGGGCCGTCATCATGATACAAATCGCCCGCGGCCAGGGCAAGGCTGAAGTTCAGCTCAACCGCACGGGTTCGCCGGAATATCGTTGCCTCCAGATGCCCACGGCTGGGGAGAACGTCACCTGCGAAGTCCTCAGTTTCCATCTCGACAACCTCAACGGGTTCCAGCTGTACGGGGGAAGATACGAGCAGCCGATCTTGAGGGTCGCGGGTGCCCTGATCCTCGTTAGTGGGGTCCTGGATGTGGTCTCAACCGTGTTGATCGTCGGCCTGACCGCTTGGGCGTACCCGTGGATCGGGATCGAGGTTGTCATTATCGTGACCAAGGTCATCTTTTGCCTCGAGCCGACGCGGGAAATTGAGATTGCGAGCGTAGCTTTTGCCACGGACGGTTTCGATCAGAGCGCCCCCGATCCGCTGCCCCTAAAGATCCAGTCCGGGGATGACTTCGTGTGGCACAAAGTCACGACCGATTACAACATCGTCCACGAACCCCGTACAAACAGGGACTGGCGCTCGACAACAGCTGGACTGTGGGTTGGCCAGGTCTACAACGCGCCTGACAGCTCCGGGGGGTTCTCCGTGAGGTACCTAGGCACCGATCAAGAGAAGAAGCTTACCTTACTCGTCGGCGAGCCCGAAAAGCAGGATAATCAAGCATTGCAGCGGGAGTTTCTGGCCGCGTTAGCAACCATGGTCGAAGCAAACGTAGTGCCTAGTAAAAAGTTCATCGCGGCTGTCGAGCGGACGTTGGACAATATCAAGAGTACCATGGCGACCAACTGGTATGCATTTGGGTCCAAGGACGTGACGGATAAAATCGGCAAGGCTCGACGTGATGGGATATGGAGACACTATTTCTAGTTCTTGTGCTGGCATACGAGGTAGACATTTAAGGGCCTCAGCTGGGGGATGGAAGATGGTGACAAGAGGTGCGTCGCTGACAGGTGGTTTCGAAGCGGCGAGATTCGGTCGAGCAACGCGTGTCAACGCGTGACGATTACTTAAGCCGCCAAGAGTCCAAGGCTTCGACTTCTTACCGGAATCCTTCCGCACAGCTCGCGCTCCCGTTCAGTAAAAGGTGAAAACAGAGTCAAGCCCGCAAAAAACATGTTATACTCTGGGACAAGAAGATTTAGACTCATCCGCGTTAGATATTCATAGCATTCACTGACTTGAAGTCACGCAAGCCTTCCCGTGGCTGTCAGCCTTGCGGCCGTGGCATGTTGGGACTTTCCCAGCTTTCGGAGGACAGTCTCTGCAGGGCAAGTCCTCCAGGTAAAATTTCCAGACAAGTCGACCAGGAGATCTGAACATGGCTAGGAAGACCCTTCCATTGGAAGCCAGAGGATTCGAGCTCGATCTTCTCGAACGCGGGTTCCGTGTGGACACGACTTGAAGTATCCCTAGCACATGAGGAATTTCTCTCTCGCCCTTCCACTATCTCAAATCGTTCACTAAAACCGAGAAGGCTGTCGGGCAAATTCGTGAAGACTGTGTGCTGTGCAGGGCAACTCATCTGCCAGGGAACTGTCCGGACACTCACAGCCCGTGATCAACGGTGAGTAAGTCAAAGATTTGGCAGGTGCTTGGGAGGGAAAGTGACCTGTTTTTTTTCCTGTCAACGCCAACTCCACCTAACATTGATTTGAAGCTCTTCCATGGTACGCTGGAGAAAGTGACTATGGCTTCAGGCTTTGCATCGTCCTGAACGCTCCCCGACAATACTGAATGTGGCTGCGCTACCCGACGAACGCCATGCGCGACAGGGTTGTGGTGCCTCCAGCCAAACATGCACCAGCCCTCTTCCAGAGTATGCAGGTCACAGGCAACGACGGCCAGGCATAGTGGAGGGCACACTGCTCGTCTAGAAGCGAGTGTTCCCCCATATTGGCAGTTGGCCAGCCTTCTGCGCAAGAGGAAGTATCGCAATCGGGCAACAACTGGTCCCAATACCTCTCCCTTCAAACGCGCTGGATATCTGGACCAATCGACTACAATGACAGCCCTCCATCCCATCGACGGTAGGCACTTTCACGAATTCTATCGACCAATCCGACCTTCCACGTGAGGGCCAAACGACTGGAGCATGCAAGGCAGTTCATATCACTCATCAGCTCAGCCCACGCGAATGCTGACTCACCACCTAAACTGCTCGCTTTCCTGATTTCCCGATTTTCTCCTGTGGAAACATTGCCTTGTCAAATGCACAAACACGTTCTTTTCCAACAATTCAAGAGCCCTTCTTCGCTGTAGAGGACCTATCCTCCGCAATCAGCATCAGCGATAGTTTAGTGGTAGAATACCTGGCGGTCTAAGACCCGCGCCCAGGTGGCTGTGGTTCGATTCCATGTCGCTGAGAAACTCTTATTTTGCTCCATTTTGGAGCTTGCAGTACAGGACCAGGTTCGAGACAACTCGGCTCCACGGATGTGTCTCGTTTTTTTTGGGTTTCACGTCTGACACTGTTCACAGAGGGAAATGCATGATTGTGCGTCGTGGGCCTGATTTACTAAGCGAGGGCTTTCCCAATTCCTTCAGCTTGTCCATCCGGGCACCCGGGATAAGCCAGCCATATGTGACAGGTCACCACCCAGAGACGGCATCTTCTCCCTCCAGCGTCTCCCGCTGCAGCTTGCTTGCAACGCCCTCGGCCTTTTCCCATACTCTGATCAGATTCCCTCCTGCCACCTTCGCAGCATCGGCATCACTGACCCCCATCCTCAGCAGCTCCGCAATCAGGTCAGGATATTTATCGACGCCCTCCAAGCCCCTTGGCGTCAACTCGCCCATACCGTCGAAATCACTTCCTAGCCCGACAAAGTCGTACCCGATCCTCTCGCCCACATACACGACGTGCCTCGCTACCTGGTGTAGTGTGTTGTTCTTCTCGTAGAATTCGGGCAACACGCTCTCATCCGGTGGCGGTAAGCACGAAATAAAGCCGGGGCTAAAATTGATCATCACCACACTCCCCGTCTGCTTGACCAGGTCTAGAATATCGTCGTGGACATTTCTCGGATGCGGGCACAGCGCGAAGGCCGACGAGTGCGAGTATATGACCGGGGCCGCGGAGGTGTTGTTGCTCAACACGGCCTTCTGCGTCCAATACGACGTATGTGAAATGTCGACCAGGATCCCCAATCTGTTCATCTCGCGGATGACCTCTCGTCCCGCAGAAGTCAGCCCGCCACGATGGTAAGGCGCCACGTGCGTGCCGTTGCGGGTGGAAATCAACGCCGCGTCGGCGAACGCGTTGTGGCAGTTCCACGTGAGTGTCGCTGCACGCACACCCAGTGCATGGTACAACCGCAGCGTGGACAGTGGAGCAGACTGCGGAAGCTGATGCAACCCCTCAATGCTGATCGGGGAGATCAAACTCCTCGATGCGTGGAATTTCGCCAGCTGCCAGGAGAGCGGTGTCGTCGCGAAGGTAAAGTTCCCGGCATACTCGGCCTGCAGCCGTCGGAGCACGTCGATTTGAGACAGTGTGTGCGCGACCGCCGTGGCGTACTGCTCGTCTGAGAAGTCCTCGCTTGCGTGTTCCGGGCACACCACGAAGGCACTCCAGAACGCGCCGCCGACCATGCCCTTGCGCAGGCGCGGCAGATCAACATTATCTTCCATGTTGCCGTTCTCGAACTTCTCCTTGAACTCCTTGGTGTGTAGTTTGTTCTCGTACCGGCCGCGGATGAAGATGGCGAGGTCGACGTGGCCGTCTATCAGCGGGGTGTGGTTAAGGATGCGCGACACCCGTTCCTCGATGCTCTGAGGCCGTTTGGGGACAGGAATGGGCGTTTGATCTGCAGTGCGCGGGCTCAGTAGGGCTACCACAAAGCCCATAAGTACCACGATAGAGAAGAACCCGATGATTCTCTTCAGGGCGGACTTTGTGGATTCCATCGACATAGATTGTGTGTCATCATCATCCTCCCCTTCATCTTGATAGCCCGGCTGCGGCTGGTGCACGTCTTCCCATTGCTTCGGGTGTTCTTTATACTCTGGTGACGGCTGGATGCCTTCGTATCCTCTGTATCTGGAGAAGCCATGGCCCTGGATTTCGGGAGCAGGCTCGTTCTGGGGCAGTAGAGGATCGATCTCTGTCGGAGACATCGTTGATTTCTGCACAGACGGTTTGAGTGGCCACCGGTTTCCTCACACCTCAACCCGGAGGCGAAGCGACACGACTAGGACTCCATGAAGTAACGAGTAGATGCGCACGAGGTCCCTCGAGACGGAGAAACTCCTGGCCGAGCTCATCACAGAGCTTCTCGCCCAGCGCGCTGATAACGATATCGGCGTCCGCATCAATCATACCCCGAGAAGGAAGCCGGACCAGCCGGGCGTGCCGGGAGAGCTTTCTCTACACGGTACGGAGTACACAGTACATGGTCCAGGGCGACTAGGGGTGACCCAGAGCTTAGATCCTCCTACTATTGCCTCTCATATTCTTGGGGGTTAACGCTCAATGTCCAATGCTCACTTTTGTCTCAACCTGGCCATATCCAACAATCTATAGTCGTAGACGGGTGTTTGCCAGTCATCGTGTAGCAAGCCGTACGACTCGACAGAATTACTGCCCGGCTTGCGTGGATTGATCGCCCAGTATGCAAAGTCGGCATCGGACTCCCTCAGATACTTCATCAAGTTCTTCCAGTAGTGGTAGTCGCGCCTGGAAGGCGAGTTTGGGGCCCCGATCTCCCCTACCCACACGGGTGCTGTGTCGGTCTGCAGCAAATATCCCCAGTTCGTCGCCATATCAGCGGCGAAAGACTTGTACGTCCGATACCAGTACGGCACCAGCGAGCCCCAGCCTGACCATCCATATACATGAGAAGAGTACACTACCTTGTTCTGACGTACGAGGCGAACCGGCCTATCCTTCGCTCCCCTGATATCGTTGGCCGACTGTACCCCTTCGACGATCATCAACCACTCCGGCTGAAGACGATGCAGTCTTTCCGAAGCACGCTCCGCTGCAGAAGCCCATGAATTCCACATCAAACGTCCAGCGAACCCACGAACTTCATTCCGCAGGTCGACACCCACCACTAGCGGATCATTGATATGGGGCTCCATCACGCTCAGGAGGTCTTGTACCCAGTCTTCCTCCGTCTGCCGGACGGGGCAGAAAGGACCTAAGTCACTGTTTTTCCATCCCATGTCGCAAGGGTTCCCGTCGCAACACCATCTCGCTTCCGTGATATGGTTGTTGACGATCACAGCCAATCCGGCCTCGGTCAAGGTTCGAACAAGAGCAGCATACACGTCCAACGCTCGGAGTCCAATGAGGTCGTGGTTGGCACTCAGGTGCTTGGGATCGATCAAGGGGTTCTTGTGGACGAGTTCGTCGGCATATGGCAGCCGAACACTATTGAATCCTAGCTCACGGATGATCCGAGCGATTTCGGTGCGATTCTGCACACTCAGACCACCGGGAACCATGTCAACATCACTCGCTCCGTACCAATTCACGGAGACGAGCTTGATGCGGCGCCCATCTCGATCGATAATGTCGCGTCCCCGGGTGCTGAGGGGTGGGTTGATAGGTCGGATGCCGCGGTCGTGCGGGACGGTGACATTGGCTTTGATCAACTCGGCATCAGGATACAACGACAAATTCGCCGGAGTGCTTCCTCGGTACCAGAGTATCCGCGCCATGAGCCAGAGGCCGCCCAAGGTAAGAAAGGTCAATATCAGTGGCGTCCTGACAAGGCTCCACAGACTGTGCGTTTGTGTGCGCCTGCGCCCACTCCGGCTTGCAAGCAGCCTGTAATTGCGCGGACGGTGCCAAAGTGACCAGACCATCACCGACAAACGGCCGCAGTGTGCCTCGAAACCCCGAGTCTGTGATTTCGAACTGTTCTGGCAGGTCGCTGGTGGACCGCACACTCTCTATCGCACATTTTGGCGGCCAGGCGCAGCGAGCCGCAGAGTTCCGGGCAATTGAAATCAATCATTGGCTGCCTGCAAACATCCCCCGACTGATGCTGACTCTTGCATTGCCAGAAGCAATCGACAGCGCATGCGGCCATATATGACTGCTTCGGCTGCGCTGGATTTCCCATCCTCCCGCACTTTCCAATCGCGCCCACACCCAGTCCCAAACCACAAATCGCTCGACATGATTTTCGATTCAGCAAGCTGTTTTTTGGGCGAGCACAGGCGAAAGCCACTGTGAGCCTGAAGTGAGCGGCGAATGATGCACGTTGGTCGCCATCGACGAGGTGATTGGTGGAATCAAGACAACACACATGCCAATTTCAATTGCCCATGACTGGTTAGGCGACTCTCACAGCGAGCCCACGAGTCTTGTTGTTTGGTATACACCCCACGACAGTTTGCGTCGTTGTCGCTGCTCTGTCACCACAAGATCAGCTGGACTCACCGTCCTTGCGCTAACATGACAGAGCCAGGCGAATAAGCAGATGGCTGATCGGTTGCTTTCGAGGTTGAAACCGCGTCTGCCCAGTGAGCAAGTACCATCCAGGTCATGCCGCCAGCCAGGAACATCCAAGCTACGGCTAAAGATCGCGCGACGAAGTGGGAAAGACAGGCGTGATGGAGCGAAGGTGCGAGGAATTCGCAGACTAATTGCGTTGGGATTCGGAATGCACCACTCTTCTGCTGTCAGTGTCGGAGGCTGAACCCAGCAAGGCCTCGACGAATCAGTTCTTATCAGTCGCATCACGCTCGTTGCTCCCATTCTCGGACCTCAAGGTGCCTCTTGCACCACTTCTCCTTTATTTTCCCCGTCTTCCTCGCTTTCAGCGCCCAAGACTCCTGCCGACGAGGGCCAGCACCACGAGGATGTCCCTTCTCAGGTGGCTTCTGCGTTGCACACCTGGCCTTTCAGTATTCTGCCTCCTCATCTTGCTCGAAGCTGCATTGAGGATTGTCGAGACCGAATGGCTGAGCTTCTTCTATCCTCCTTTTCTCAACCACATTGCAAGTCCTGTCGTGGCGCAGACCCTCTTCATCTCGTACGCGGTCTTCCTGCACATTGTGGCCTTCCTCTTTCCTCTGCGACTGTGTGCCTCGGCCTACGCGGCTACCCGGGATATCAAGGCAGCTCATGGGCTGTCGAAGCCCACTACAGCCAATACTGCGACACTCGACGCTCTCGGAAATGATCCCGGCCTTCAGCAGAGTGCACTCAAGAAGTCAGACTCGGTGACATTGGCGGTGGTCTTACCGAGCTACAAAGAGGAGGTTGAAATACTGGAGAGTTCTCTCAGGGTCCTGGCAAGCCATACACTCGCTCGATCCTCATACGATGCAAGGCGCACCCTGGGAACGATTAGGTGGCACCAGTGACTGACCGACCAGCAGATCTTTCTGGCCATGGAGGAAAGAGATCCCAAAGGCAGCAAGGTGGCTCAGAGCCTCATCACGCTGTTCTCTGGCAAATTCCGCGATATGCAATACACTGTTCATCCCGCGGGGTTGCCGGGCGAGGCCCCTGGGAAGTCGAGCAATGTCAGCTGGGCAGCGAAACAAATCGAGCGAAAATATCTGAACAACCCCAATTGGTCAAGCGTCCTCGTCACGGTGATGGACAGTCAGTGCTCCCCAGGCTGCAGCATGCGAGATATATTGACACGGTTTTAGGCGACACTCATCTGCTGAGTCAATACTTTGAAGCCGTCGTGGCCCACCACCTGCGCCACCGCAGAAACGGAGGCATGACCGACATGACGCTGTACATGCCTCCCATTGTCTTCGATCGCAATGCGCATTTGGTGCCCCAGTTGGTGCGTGTCGCAGATCTGATGTGGGCTGGTGCTGGTCTGTCTTGCTTCACCAGCAAACCGACTCACACCACCATTGCGATTCCGACTGCGGTTTACACCGTCCCGCTCCCACTCATTTGCCTGGCAGGGGGGTGGGATACTGGTTCCGAGGCGATTGGCGAAGACATGCACATGATGTTGAAGTGCTATTTTGCCACCAACGGCCGCCTGACGATCAGACCGATCGCGAGCCCTGCCAGTCAATGCAACGTCACCACTGGAAAGCCAGGGATCCGGGGTTGGCTGGCAGATCACTCTGCGCGCTATGCTCAAGGTCTTCGACATATGTGGGGATGCCTCGACACCGGCTATGCTGTGCGTCGGTGGTGCAAGATCTCCCTCGATCCCAAAGCTCAGGAGCAAGCTACCCCAGGCAGCGAAAGCAGCTCGAGCAGCTCCGTCGGCTGCGATCCCGAACGGCCTCGTCATGTCGAGATCTGCTTGCAACTAAGCCAACACGCCCTTCATGGCCCAAAGCTTCGAAGATTCACCTGGCGGAACCTGATCTTGTTCAGCCGGCTCTTTGAAGCGCACTTCTTACCTATCCATTTATTCCTTGTCCTCCTCGCCTCGGCCATCTACACGGCTTTACCATATCCCCTAACGTCGTGCGCATCTCTGACTGTTGCCATGGATCTCACCTCGTACCTGCGGGCCGCGAGTTTCTTTCTGATGACCATATACTTTGTTATCTTCTATGAAGCCTATCATCAAGCGTGCATCGAGGCCAGAGCGAACGAGATGAAGAAAGCCGGGCTGTATGAGGAGCTGGCCGACGAGTTCTCCTATCGCAAGAGACTGTCTCTTGTGGCAATCATGGACTACTTGCTCTTTCCGGTTGCGGGGACCTTGTTCGGAAGCGTGCCTCTGCTCCAAGCGATAGTGTCGCACTTTTGGACGGAGAAGCTTGTGTATCTGGTGAGCGCGAAACCGCTGAAGACGATCGCAACAGGCGTCCTCGACACCCGCGCCAACGAGTCAGACGCGATGCTGAGGGATGTGTGAGCAGCGGTCCGATGATCAGAACATTTGATTTAGCGAACATGGCACAATCTTGAGGACGGGAGTTTCTGGGTGGCGCGGCGCGGACATATTGGTGTGCGAGCGGCGGCCTGTATCGGCCACTTCCCATAGCCGAGTAATGATAATTAGTTATCGTTGGGATGAGGCGGGCGATCTCTACAGTATCACGTGTAGATGTGGGTAAGGTACCACGGGAAGCCCCCATGGCCCCTTATGCAGCTCTCCGTCATGGTGGTTGCCGTGGCCCAGGAACCCGTAAAGTTTACGGCTCCCTCGCAGCAGCTTTCATTTGACTTCACATGCTGTTCACTTCGCACAATTGGAATTGGTAGACTCCAGTGGACACTGGGCTGCTTGTGTGTAAGTCGTCCTTGAGCTCCTGCTCCTGACTCTTCAGCCCATCACACCACATCAGCGACGCGCTTCTTTGAGGCGAAACGCGTCTCGGGAACCGGCTCGTGAATTGAACGACGAACCAAGACCCAAACACCCCCTGTCCAAAAATCCCCCCAGATCCACACCCGAGGCCACCTTCGACCTGTTCTGCTCACTGCACACACTGCACTGCACTGTAATTGCTCCATCATTTTGTCCCTTGCAGCCGCTTCTCAAAATTGACTCCAATGTATACCTGATTGCGGTCCCTGCTGATTCCATCGCTTCGTCCTTTCTCGTGGTCGCCGCTCCTGTTCTTGAGTGCGCCTGCTAATCTCGCCGCAAATTGCAGCCATGTCTGCCAGCTCCGGTAACAACGGAGTCAAGAATCTTCGGGCAATGTTCGAGAACAAAGCTGGCGATCAATCCACATCTCCACCGAGCCGAGGTCGATCTCCCAACCCTTCAGAGTTCTCCAACAGCAGTAGACCTGTCAGTAAGGTCCGAGCAAGCTTCGTGGCTGTCGAAAAACCAGGCGAAAACGGAGGCCCCGCATTGATAGGTCTTAGGAGGGCCAGCGAAGTGAGCAGTATGGGAGGCATACAAGAGAATGCAATTGTGGACAATGAGAGCATGGAGAAGCCGTCTGTTACAACCGACACTGACACCGCATTGAAGGATGTCACCGCCGATGAACCAGAATCGAGGCTCCCTGTGGATAGTGCCCCTGAAGAAGGCGGCTTGGGTAACATCCTGAAAGGCTCAGCGTTTGTTGAGAACACTCCTTCCAAGCCCCCTGCGAATGTGACCAATCTGGGTCATGCTGTTGCTTTGGGCCGACTACAACAGAAGACACCTCTATCTTCGCCCTCGAAACCCAAGAATGAGTCAAATTCGGCTACGATGGTGGACAAAATGCAGGCGTCCAAAGAAAACAAACCAGGGCCACCGCCAAATACAACTCTCAAGACTACAGAGACTGCGCAGCCGATAAAGGCGCCACCCACAAGACAAATCAACTCCAAAATTGTGCCCAAGTCTCCAATTGTCACACAGCCGTCTCCAAGAACACCTACGTCCCCGAAGATGAACATCAAAGGCGGACCTGCGAAGATCAGAGGAGTGATGGGGTCCGCAAAGGAAGCCCAGAAGGCGAGAGAAGCGCCGAAAGACACTAAGGACAAGCAAGAGAAGTCACAGCCGCCGGCACCCAAGGTCAATACACAGGCCAAGTCAAGACCTGCACCCATCGCAGCAAAGAAAGAGCAAACTCCAGCATCCCCGAAGAGCGTCAGATCCCCCACCATAGCCAAGCCCAAACCTCCCACGATCCCAGGCAAACTTCCTGCTGCGGCTACCGCGACTACAGCATCAGCAGCGGCTAAACACGACGACGCACAGCGTCCAGCGACCGAGCCCGAGCGGAAACATGATGTGAAGAAGACCGCTCCCCCCACATCACGGCCGCCTCGGGCGAGTACCTCATCTACGACCGGAACCTTGGCCAAAAAGGCCTCTCGGGCGTCTTTGACCAACGGGCACCAGAGGCCGCAATCTCGAGTGAGCACAAGCAGACCAGATGAAGGGTTCTTGGCCAGGATGATGAGGCCGACCGCAAGCAGCGCCCAGAAAGCGCATGACAAGGTGCAACCCACTAGTCCTCCCAAGACGAGAGGAAAGACAATGCTGCCGCCCAAGACTAAACCAACGACGAAGCAAGAGCAACCACCGAAGATGCACTTGGACACGCCGAAAGAACCTGATACAGAGGACAAGGAGAATCACGACGGTCGTCAACAGGAGCAGGATCAGAACACGCTGCCAGAGGTAGCGCCGCCTTCGTCTTCCGACACCGCGAAGCCGGATGCCATGAATGCCGACGCAGAAACAGAAGCCGTCGTTTCTGAGCCTGCTCCCTCGGCAGAACAAGACCGAGTGAGTGGCGAGGCCCAGGAGGTATACTGAGAGGAAATCGTGTTTGTTTGGTGGTGGATTTGGTTCAATTACCCCAGTTTCATTTGTACCCTTCCATCTGTCAGCGATTCAGCGAGCTTGATATTGGCAGCACCTTCTCAGAGCGGGCATTTGAAATGTCATTGATATTCAGGCACATCTTTTTCTTGCCGACTTCATCTTCTGCCGTGCCGATCTCGTCCAACTCTGGCCGATGTTGGGAGACGGTCGATTTGTTGCGAGCCTGTTTTACGTCTACGGTCCCTCTATTGGTCAGCTGCGACCTCGTGACAGCAGGAACAGAACCGCACAGCCAGCGGAGCAAGGCACTTGGGAAGAAGACAACTGGGTATCTTCGAACCAGGATTCCCTCAGAGCTACTACCAATCAGCGTGAGCTATTTTCAGCCTTGTTGTTGTCCGAATGCGGTAAAGCGCAGCCCCCTCTATTCCAATACACATCCGGCGGCGTCGTCCTCACAGCGCCTCTATTCATGTCAGCTTTGAGTCGAAGCGGCCATCTGCCCAGCTCTATTCAAACCGACATCGAGTCTAGCTCGCACTTGGTGTTTCTTTCTCTTGACATCGAGACTTTGAGCACTCGCCCTTGTGTGATGCTATTCAACTCTCCTTGCGGAGTATCTTCACCGTTGTCTTGTCTCTCCCACTGGCTCCCTGTCAGGATGTTGCTGCGTCAGCATGTCCACTCTCCACGTTTCTTTATTAAAACGGTCAAAGAGTTGTTGGCGAAAGCTGCGGATACTTCAAAGTTGGAGGTATCCTTGCTGATTTACCCTTCCTCTGGACATACAAAAACACATATAACAGTCTCCTCGTATTGACAAAACAAACAACCCGATCATATCTGCAATCTACTTACGCGATGAAGTTGACCACGTACACGGCGGCGACCATTCTGGCCTATGCCTTGGCTCAAGCCGGCGCCCTCCCTTCTCCCCAAGATGCCGGCGCAGTCGCGTCCGATACTCCTGCTGCTCCCGTAGAGGAGCCCATGTACTACGCCGAGGAGGTCGACGAAGCCAACGTTGAGAAACGCGACGGCCCCGTCCAGCACAAGGACTGGCAGGGCGACGGGAAAGCCCGGTTCTTCGGCGGCCACAACTGGAAGGGCATGAACCAAGGCAATCACGGTCCCATGCCTGATGACGACAACATCGACCCGGCTCCCTACCTTGACCACCCGGAGCCGACAGTTGCGGCCATGGCCAGCATCGTCCGCCGGGCCCCCGAACCTGGGTTCACCAAGATTAATGGCATTACATACATTCAAGCACCCAAGTTTCACTGGTGGGAGTATCAGAGCAATGGCGACGGCTTGAACCCTGTTGTTGGAGGAAACCCCAATGTTCGCAGTTACAAAAACGTGAAGGAACAGGATGGCTATCCAAAGGGGCTCAGGAGGCGAGACGGCGACGATGGTCATCACGGCCCTCCTGGTGGCTTCGGTAAGGCCATGGGCGGTCAAGGCCAGGGTAGGCACGGCGACCATCCAGCCCAGGGCAAGGGTGACGGGCCAGGGCAGCATCCTGGCGGTCCTCCCGGCGGCATGGGTGGTGGCAGCGAGCACGGACCGGGTGGACAGCCGTGGAAGAACCACGGCGGTCAAGGAGGTCGTGGCCGCGGTCCGATGGCTGATGAGGAGTAAATTTGTTGCGCTGCATTTTCTCCCGAACAGTCCACCATTCCCGGCAGAGGCACGCTGGACGTGTCTTGACCGGTAAGAAGAAACTTTGGACCACCTCGACACGGCATCAGCAGTATCAACAGCAAAAGCAACAGCATCCAGTTTTCCCGTCTCTTTTTCACCGCCTCAGCGAAATATTTAGACAAGACCACACCTTTGCAGACGAGTCCTCGAGTAATACCAACCAACTTACAGTTCGCTTCCCTTCGGTACACTCGCTACAACGACCTTGTCACCCCACAACAGCTATACATCATCAACCGCGATCTCGCAGACGAGCTGGCTCTCGACTCGAGGACGGTGATATCATTTGTGAGCATATCAACGCATCCCCTATTTCATTTCGTCGCCGTCCGGATCATCAACCAACCACGCTCGACCTTTTCCCAGCTCAAGCACCAGCTATCAGGTCGTTCGTCCAGTATTCACTCCTTCTTTTCCGGACTGGCTTCTGCTTCCCTCTTGCCCGCCACTCAAGACCTAATCGAAGAGCGAAGACAGTTCAAACACCACAATGCCCGCCTTTGCGATTCACTAGCCCCCCGTCTCCATTCCGATTCTTTTCCTCGACATGCACGGACAGGACACACGCCATTGACACAGAGACGGACGCAGCCATTGGCATGGGCATGGGCATGGGCACAACACGCGAGATCCCCGACCTTCGAAGCATCCCCTCGAAGCATACCCTTCGGCGGCTACGCGTCTAGTCTGGTCTGGCCCGGTCGGGTATCTCAGCTTTAATTATCAAATTATCTCCCCTTCCACCTTTCTTTCTTTCTTGCCCTACTCCTACTCCTATCCTTACCCTTACCCTTACCACTATAGCTTCTGCTTCTGCCTCTACCTTCTGCCCTATGCACATTTCCTTTAGTTCCAAACATCGACTCCCCGTCTCCTCACCACGTCAGCCAAAAACCCAACCTTCTCACCACGTTAGCGACACGCATGCAGAATGGTCTACTCAATTTAGACTGCCCACGCCAGCTATTCGTTACGAACACGAACAACGGGTAATCATGCGAACGAATGCGAATCCCCGGCTGGCGGACGGACGGACGAATCGAGTTTTACGCTGACAGAATTCCTTTCCTTTCATGCCCGCTTTGTTTGTGCTTTTCACCAGGACGAAACATTAGGTTACCTATGTACAGAGGTAGAGGACTATAATCGTATAATCGCAGACGGACAGCCACCCATGGCTTCGTGTGTAGACACTTTTCACCTAACGTTGATGTACTTGCCTACTTGCCTACTTGCCTACTTGTCTGCCCGTCTGCCTGACCGTCTGCTCTTGCATTGCCCAGTACGTGCGTGAGTGAGTGAGTGAGGGAGTGATGGCTATATATTTATACTTCCTTCTCCGCTTACCATATACCTCCCTCGATTTAGCGCTGGCAAGACATATGTGGACATAAGACATGATTATGGGCCTATACACATTGGGTATTGTACGCATATATGCATAATATACATGGACGGGGCCAGTACTTGAAATCGCCTCTTGTCCAGTCAACACCAGCTTGCCCGTGATGCCCCTTTCTTGTCGGGTCCTACATACAGTACATGACCTGCTCGTGCCCCTATGAGCCCGCATAACCCATGAATGAACGTAGAGAGTACAGTATTGAAATGTCCGTGGACTTTTCATTGCCTATCATGCGCGAATGCTCCGTCCGGGAATGCTCATCCAGTCTAATTACTGTAGCCTGCGCGTGTGTGTCGTATTGTGGTATCTATGCGTCCAATCCGCCCGTCCGTCCATGCGCTGCGTCGCTTAAATCCATGCATCTACAGCGATCCCTTCTTCTTCTCCTCCTCCACCACCCACTCACTCTTTGATGTAGAGATGCATTGCCTCGAGATTGAGAGCCAACAGCCATCGACCGCCTTCAGGTCTTTCTGATCGCGACCCCGATTCCCATTCTCTTCTTTTTGGGTCTAGCAACTGAGATTGAGCCGTAATCCGTCAGAGAAACCAACTTAAACCCCGTTATCAATGCAGGATGCCACCTCATGCGTGGCCGTTCTCTCCATTCGTCGTCCCGTTGACGGCCTTGTCGCCCAGCTTTTCTCTCCTCTTCTTGACGGCATTGGCGAGCACTTCCAGGACGACTTCTGTGTCTTCCCAGCCTATGCACGCGTCGGTGATGGACACGCCGTACTTCAAGCCGGACTTTCCTTCGGGCGGGACCTTCTGATTGCCTATTATGCCGGGACCGACAAAGTCAGCATGTAGAGTTCTGGGGGGCAGGGAACAGAACGGCTTTTCCAAAGAGCGCGCTCCTACCTTCGTTGATGTGACTTTCCACCATGACACCCATGATGCCCTCCTCCCCGTTCGCGATCTGCTCGGCCAGGACCTTCGCGACGAGCGGTTGGTTCTTATGCTGCTTCTCGCTGTTCCCGTGGCTGCAATCGACCATGACCCGCTCACGGAGGCCCTTCTTCCGCAAGGCCTCCTTGGCCTTCTTGATCGACTCGGCGTCGTAGTTTGTCCCCGTGGTCCCTCCGCGCAAGATGACGAAACAGTCCTCATTGCCGACGGTGCCGACAATGGCCACGACGCCCGGCTTCGTCACGGACAGGAAGTGATGCGGGTGTCTCACCGCGCCGATGGCGTCGATCGCCACGCCCAGCGTGCCGTCTGTGCCGTTCTTGAACCCCACGGGGAAGGACAGGCCGCTGGCCAGCTCGCGGTGTAATTGACTCTCGGTCGTCCGGGCGCCCACGGCCCCGATGCTCAGCAAATCAGCCAGGAACTGCGGACTGATTGTATCGAGCATCTCACTGGCCAGAGGCATGCCCTTGGACGTCAGATCCACGAACAGCTGCCGACTGAGCCTCAAGCCTTTGTTGATCAAGAACGACCCGTCGATTTCCGGGTCGTTGATCAGCCCTTTCCACCCGACCGTGGTGCGCGGCTTCTCGAGGTACGACCTCATCACGATAACCAGCTCGTCTTGGTATTTCGCCTTCATCTTGAGGAGTCGGTCGCAGTATTCGAGCGCGGAGACCGGATCGTGGATTGAGCACGGTCCCACGATGACGAGAAGCCGCCGCAGCGGGTCCGTGTCTTGCACGACAGCGACGCAGTCATGTCGGCCGGCTAGCACCGTCGCTTTCGACTGGGGAGTCTGCGGGATTTCGTGTTGGAGGAGGTCCGGTGGCGTAAGTGGGTTGTAACCACTGACTGCGTGTGCCGTCTCGAGTCAGTGCGTCGAGCAGGGGTAGGATGGAGAGGGAGGTGACAAGACATACTCCGCCAATCTTCCGAAGACTCTTTGTTGCCGACGTGGGGATTCGTGATATAGTATGACTGTCCGCCGCGAAGCCGTCAATGAGTCAGTCACCCTTGCCCCGCAGGTCTTTCTCGGGCGTGGCTTCGTGGGCGAAAGGTACTTACAGCCATATCTGTGTACAGTTATTGCGCAGGAATGGAAAGTCGCAGCCAGAAGCGACGCTGTTCAATGGTGCTGTGTTGGTACGAGTTATGACTGTGGCACGAACGAAAATGCGGAGGATGGTCAAATTTATTTTTACTTTTGCGGAGAACTTGAGGTTCTGGTGGCGCTGCTGAATCTGATCTGATCTAATACTGTAATTATTCTGGAGCTTGAGGCCCACGCGCCTGGACTTTCGGTGCCTTGCATGACGCATCTCGTTGGGCACAGGCCTGATTGGCGGCTGTGGGGAAGCACGTAAGGGTGAAGAGTCAGTCATCATGTTTAAACGGCGTTTAAGAGGTAGAGTAGAAGTTTCGATAGGGCAAAAGTCGTGATAGAGCAGAAGTCTTGATTTCATTTCCGCTTCTATGGGCATTGTGCCATCTAATGATATCCTTTTTTGCGCTGTGTACCAGCTCGTACCTCTTCCAGTCTAGGGATCAGTGGTGTAGCCTCATATCGACATCTCTAGGGTAGGCAGCTCGCCCATCTCCATCTCCTTCTGTTCCTCGGCCTATCCTGCTCATGCTCCGTTCGTCTGCGGTGCCAGGGAAGACGCGTCGTGGAACAGGTCAATCATGCAGCCCGCCGACCATGCTTGCGTGGGAGACTGTCACGCCGTTAGTGGTCGCTCGGGAAAAAGGGACGCAGGGCTCTACTCACCGAATCGGCACAGAATGACCCATTCTTGTTGGTCAATTCTGTCAAGCCCTTCCAAGGACTTTCCTTGATGGCTTGCTTGCATCCCGCAAGACGTCTGGTCACCTGCTGGAACGATTCCAATCTTCCAGCCGAATCGGACCGTCGCTGAAGATCAAAGTAAAGCAAGGCTCGCAAAAAGAACCCGGTGGGCCACAGCCACTCCGGTCCTTGATGGTAGTTTCTTCCTTTGGACGTGGCAAAGTCGGTCGAGTCTTCGGAGTTGTTGTAGTATGGCCGATAGTTCAAGTCCGACGGATCCAACGTCGCCATCCCCGTGGGGCCGCGGAGGACGTCGTCCGCCATCTTCAGTGCGTGCAGAGCCCGCTGGGGGGTGAACAGATCTGGCGCGACAACCATGGCAATCGGGAAATTGGGCCGCAGCTGGTAGTCTTCGTATTCTTTGCCCGACCGATACAGATCCTTGTAGATGCCCCGGCGATTGATAATCCGCGGGTCAACATCATCCTCAATGTCGTCTTTGGGATCCAACGGAATCCAGTAACACTTCTCAAAGTTGGCTTTGATGCGGTTGGCCCATTCCATAAAGGAGATTTCCTCGCCTGCCTCAGTCTTGACTCCAGACCACGGGTACTGTCCGGCTTGATGGAGGTCAGCAACCCATCGTAAGGCACTGTAATGAAGCCCAGTGATTTCGACGGCAGCTCCATCTCGAGGTGTGCCCGGCACTCCTTTACTGCCAGCCCGCTCACTTTCACCCATCTTGTCCATCCAGGTGCCACAGTTCCACTGACTGCCACCAAAGATGATCCCCGTCGACCAGTCCACGCGGACGTCAATCTGGAACCCTTCAGGTCTCATTTGCATGTCGAGCTCAGGACCAGCATTGTATTCTCTGAAAGACAGGCCGGACGCATGCCGCTGGAGAATTTCCTGGACGATTTCCTCGACAGTCGACTCCTTGGAGTACGCCCGCGGATCATCCCACGGGAACCATGTGTCATCGTAGGGCAAGAAGCGACGCGGGACCTTCATCTTCAGGATCTCGGCTCCATCAGGCGCAATCTTCGAGTAGTCCTGAATATTTTGCAGGAAGAACCAAGGCGAATCTCGCGAGTTGTATCTCGGCGCCGCGCCGCTGCTCAGTAGATTGGGGATCAAGCCGTGCTTCAAGACGCTGCCGAAGGCCTTGATGTGCTCCTTTGCCTCTTCAAATCGACCTGTGCACAGGAACAAGCCACGCAGCGAAATGAAGACGTCTCGGCCCCAACATCTGGCCCAGGATACAGCAAAGTGCGGCAATCCAGCAGCCAGTGACGGTACACGTTTCTCAGGCCACAATGATGCAGACTTGACGTATCCGGTTTGTTGAATGCTGACCAGTGCCAGGCTTTGCAGGAAATTCTGGCCATGCTGAATGTTCGGACTCATCAGTTCGACGGCTCGCTTGACTGCCGCATTGTAGGCAATCTGGCAGATCAGAGCGAAGTAACGTGGCAGGAGGAAGCTTGGTATCGTCCGAACTGCGTCGAATCGTTCTTTCAGCCACTGGGCGGGTTTCAGCAGTCGAGAGAAGCCCTCCTGTTTCGAGATTCTCTCCATGCGCCCGACCAGGAAATCCAGGGCCCATTGGCCTTGGCGGAGATGATTGCAAAGCGGGTGACCGAGGTCATTCCGTCTGACGATTGGTTCAATGACACTCCACCAGCCCTGAAGACCGGCGTAGACTAATGGACCATAGCCAGGGATGTTGTAAACACCGTCTTGGCCATCGCTGAGATCACGCTCCTCGGCATCCGACCGGTACAGAACAAAGTTCAAGTCAATGAGATCAAGGCCGCCAAAGGCTTCGTCGGTTCCGCTGGAAATAAACGTCCCGAGGCCTTGAGAGTGCTCGGCAGAAGGAACCCAGGTCTCAAAGAGTGCGATGGAGCCAGGCGGGAAGAAGTCGGCCACGGTGATGGTGGTATCACCATTCTCATGAGTAATGGTGCTGCCCTTGATGTTTCTGACTCGTGCTGGCAGACCGACGAGGTATTCGCTGTCCTCCAAGGCAGCTTTCTTCGCTTGCTCACTTTGGTCAACTTCGAGAACCCAAGCACCAAGGGGCCGTGCCTTTGTACCAGCCAAATGGACAGGACTCAGGCCACCGTTGCCATTCCCATAGCCGGGGAACGCCGTGTGGGCAATCAGGAAGTAGCCTTTTCGAGAATCTGGATGAACTCGATGAAGCGTGATGAGTTCGCCTTCGTGATGCAGGAAGGTTTCGTCATAACCGTCCTTGCCCATCATGGTGTGGATGTGGTTCATCAGTTTCTTGACACCGGCTATGCCACCCTCACCAGCACCAGTATGGACTTCGCCCTCCGAGCTGATGGAAGTGTACTTTCGGTCCTCGTGCACAATCTCGACAAGCTTGGGATAGATCTCATCGAAACCCATGACGCTGCCTGTGGCACACGCACACATATTGACCAACGCAGCCGTGGGGAGAGTATCTCTGGCATCTCGTTTCTGAGCCGGCATCTCATTGTCATGAGTGCAATCCATGAACAATGCGTGGACCGGAGACTCCCTGATGTGCTTCACGACTTCTTTGGTCTGCGGGCCACTGCCGTTAACAGGGTTGTCTGTGGGCTTGTTGGCTGATCTGGAGGGGACGTTGATTTCAAAGCTGCCAATGGGTCGACCGCAGTGGCGATGCACGATGCGGCTCAATTCTTGCGTGCTCCAGGCCTGCATGGCTTCACGGATGAGGGCGCTCAGTCCCAAACGCTTCACAAAGACGTAATCCATCTGTTCGTTGCCAGTAAACAACTCAGCGAAGACAGCCAGGTTGGGCTGGACTTTCCGTGCTTCGTCCAACAGGTATTCAGCAACATGAATTGGGGTAGAATGACAATTGTCGATGCGGAAAGCGGTGAAGTATTTGGCCATCAATCGAACGTATTTCGTCATGTGTTCCCAGAGGTAAGGATTGTCCTCGGGGCCTTTGCCATATCTCAGTTTGACACAATCACTCCAGGGAATGAGTTCTCTTCTGAGGTAAGGCCGCCAGTCCGGACCAGCATTGTCCTTCATGGCGTCAGCGGCCCAGATCCAGCCGTTGACAGCCAGGTATAAAGCTCGTGGGTTATGCTTTTTGGTGGTCTCGTTTTCGGGTAGCTGAACAAAATAGGTCTCAATCAGCGGGTTCTCTTTGGTGATAGGGCCCAGTCTGGGACCATTGGGGTCCATCCTTGTGTACTGGAGTCTGCCTCTGGTCTGTTCTATGATAGCAGCGGAGTCATCATTGAACTCTTGGTAGAAGGGGACATTCAGCTCATTGAGGATGGCTGTGATCTCGTCGGTTGCAGCGTTTGTATTTGCGCCGTCTTCGTACCGCCCGAACAGGGCGGTCAGAATGGCAGCAGCGATTTCAGGGTTGACCTTTCGCGAGAAGCGGCCGTCAATGCGAAGGCCATTGAGCATGCCCTTGTCATGAAGGAAAGCGGCCTTTTGACGGAGATTCCAGGATTTGACCGTGTCAAGCCCACCACCAATGGCATTTTCAAAGCCTTCAGCAGGCAGTGTGACGGCACCTTGCTTCCAGGCATCAATCGTCGCTTGAGCATCAGCCTTGACGTCGCAGACGAAGTACTCCCAAAGGCGGATTTTTTCGATGACGTGTGGTCTGATACCATCCACGGCCTTGTTCAGATCATCCGCATTCTTGAACTCAGTGGCGAATCCTAGCGACTCGAGTTTGTCACTATACTCGAGGAGACGGTTGTTCACTTCCAGGGCAGACTCCAGCCAAGGAGCAGTCTCGACATTGTAGCCTGCTTCGGGATGCTCCTCCAACCACTTGCTGTTGTTGGCCGTGTGGTTGAAGACGACGTCAGTCAGCCCAAGAAGTTCGTGTGTGTCTTCCATAGACTTGATCATCTTCGCGACGTCGTCCTCGCCGCCCGGGAAGAGTTCCGGATCAAAAGCCAACTGATCGTACAGACTGTAGGGCGAGTTGGACTCGCCCCTGGTTTGCAGCGGTGTAAAATGAACCATGTTGTAGCCTCTTGCACTGATCCCTCTGAGATGCTTGTCCCAGTCTTCAGGGTATTTGCCCATGAATTTTGAGACGACCGAGAAGATGCCCAGAGCATCGAGAGGCAAGGTGCCGCCACCCAGGTACAGTTTGGGCTCGATATCGACATAGTAGGTAGGAGTGCGGGTAGGCTTAGGAGGTTCGACGTCAGACGTAGAGAACTCGGGCAGAGGAGTGTAAGTGGTGTAGAAAGAAAATGCGCCGGCAGAGGTGATGGGGATGTCAATCTCGAGAGTGCGATTGAAATCCGGGTGCAGCTTGAACTCATGGTACCGTTTTCGATCGAAGGGCTGATCGTTCAAGGGAAAATTGACCCAGAGACTGCCTTGACGACATATCGAGCTAGTACCTTCAATGGCAAACCTCAAGTAGTAGGCTGGCTCGGTCGGCGCAGGCAAGTAGATGTACTCGTTTGGCACATCTGGAGCTCCCGCGTCGGTCAGAGGCAGGAGGTAGACCTGGCGCGTGCTTTGATGAGTCTTGGGAGGCATGTTCCTGGCTCGCGGCAAGACCGAGGTAGGCTTGGGGTGGAGTTCTGTCGGGTTGCTATTCTATTGCTGCATTGTCGGCTACTGGTTCAATTCCAATCTGAAAGCGGAATAAGGTGGAAGTGCAGGCTGGTAACAATGATGCTCAAAGACTGCGGATCAAAAGACTGAAAAGTGATAGGAATACACGATGCGAGCACCTGAAGCTGTCAGAGAGGATGGGCGCTCAGCGAAAGATGTGGTGAGAATGCAGAGAAGAAATGTTGAAGCTCTAGTGTTGTAAAGCTCATTATGACACTTTGAGGAAAGCGCCAATCGAACAACGACGGCGAGGCAGGAGCTGGGAAAGCGGGAAGGGAACAGCTAGCCGGCCTGGGAAGTCCATCCCACGGCAGGCACATCCATCTGTGGCTCAAACCAGATTCCGAGCGGTCTCTTAGGCGATTTGACATGGAAAAGTCCATGTCAGGCGTGTTCCTGCATCCCACTTTGTCTGTCCGGCTTCCTTTCCAGCGGAAACAACGGAGAAATTCCAAGTTTACCGGGCGACTAGCGGAGAGCCAATCGAGTTTTTTAGGTGCTAACCGTACCTAGATGACGCCTAGCCGCGGGTGCTTATCGTTAAAACGGAGCAGCAGCCCACCCGGAGATGCGAAATCTCATGCGTCAGTGGCTGATTGGAGCCGCAAGCAGAGGATGACGAAAAGACTACCCCGGTACTCCTTCAAAGCTGTGATCGAGCATTCACGGAGTAGCGGGAACAGAGTGCTATGTACTATCGCGGTCTCCTCATGGCCGCATGGACTTCATGACGGGCTCCAACGGGATCTTTCCTCTCCCTTGTACGAGGTAGAAAATTTTCAATAAAACTGCGCTTAGTCCTCCCCCACGGGGTCCCAAAGTGCGATGTCGATCTGCTCATCCCGGACGATCCAGCCACATGATGTTCCGAGTAAGCCTCAGCCTGTCCAGCCAGTGTGATACCCCAGTACTCCGTACTGGAACCACCTACGGGGTAAGTTTGCCCTACCACGGATAGATGAAACTCTCATCCTTTCAACCCAGCATTGCATCTACGAAACGATCGCGAAGAGAATGGGTTGGCCACGGTGTGTTGTGACGAGGGTGTTGGCTTCCACAAAGCCTGTGGAAGAGCGTCCTCTACTCGTGTTTTGTCGTCTCTCGAATAAATAATGCTGAAATGAAGGCGTGATGTTGTTGAAGCCTGAGACGGCCAGGGACGTTTCAAGTCTCGGCAACTTTCAATCATCCGACATGGCCTTCAAGGAACCCGTATACTTCTCTTGCAACATGAACTCGGCCGTGCCCCAAAATGTGCAGAGAGATATGCGTAGTACCTCTTGCGATCTCCAGCAGACAAGTGGCGATGAGGCAGGGCCGGGCGCATTCATCCCTCACACATTCAATAGACAAACATGTGATCTTCCATATGCAAATAAAGCGCCGTGCGGCGTCAACAATCGTGCCACGAACTTCTCATTAATCTCTAGTGGGAGCTGTTCTCACCACGGAGTAAGCACGCAAATCAGGAGTCGAGATCATCTCAAACTTAAGATATGTTCTTTCCACTGGTCGTGCGCGGTCGTGGTATTCGGAGAAAGGCGACCGCGAGAGTTGACATTATCAGTTGGCGATCTTTCAAATCCGGGGTACACCGCCTGAGAGCACAGAACAATTGACCAAAGCCACTTTCCAGGCCACGGCCACGTGGTGCCTGCGAAAATTTGCATCTGAGCAGGTGTCTTGTACAGTTTTTGCGGCAGGTCACGCCGTACAGCGCCGAGGCGGACGGGCCTTTTGATGTGGCGGCTGTAAGGCAGACAAGAACCTGACCTGAATGCCCAGCCTTCTTAGCCTTCAACTCGATTCGATGAGGCTGTTTCTGTTACGTCCAACTTTCATCCCACTCGTACTCCTCCTTCTCCAGGCTCAAAATGCATTTTCTCTCCGCACGTGTGACCATCAGAGAGATTTTCAATGTCGGGGCGCTATGATGCAAGAGTTCCAAGTCCGGGAATTTACCTGTTTTACTGGGTCACTGCATAAAAAGGCAGAAAGATGGGTCACTCTCGAGCGCGCGCTCTCTCACATTTGCTCCCTCCATAACCACGACGACTACGTCCACGCCTTGCCAATAATTTTCTTTCTTTGCTGGTTGTCCCTGCTGTCACACTCTCGGATATCCAGGACCTGCACGAAAAAGAAGTTTATTGAGTTGCGAGGAGTCCGTGCATTCTCCCCGCGCTTCCTTCTTGTGCTAGTGGCGCAACACCAGCATTTGAACGCAAAAGCAGCAAGTCCACAGCACAAATGACGAACGAAACGGTAACGTACGGCCGCGGTGGAGCTGGTCAGTGCAAAATCGTAGTTACAGCGAGATGTGATCCTAATGTATTGGTCAGGCAACGTCACCACCAAAGACGCCAAATCGCCTACTTTCAAGCCTCAGACCACGCCCGTATTAAAATCGCACGTGTACACCACTGGTCGTGGTGGAACTGGCAACATGGCCAAGCTTGATAGTCCAGAGGAGGCAAGGCGCGCTCAGGATGTTGATGTGCCTGGAATTACGATCCCAGAAAACGTCCATCACACCGGGAGAGGTAGGTCTGAGCACCGAAAATACTCGTACACCGTCTGGTAGCGCAGTCAAACTGATCACCCCTCAATCAGGTGGCGCGGCCAACCTATATAAGCCCACAGAAGCGGAGCAGAAAGAAGCGCGAGCCCATAATGAGAAGGTGCGATCAGAGTCATTCAGCAAGGACCGGAGTGGTCTCCGCGGCTTAGCCGGCAAGGCCAAAGATAACTTGGTCGGCAAAAGCAATGGGGAGAAAGAGTGATGGGCTTGTTAATGGACAAAGAGCGATGGGCATGCTGGGATGACCCTCACGGACCAGGGATTCGGCGGGATCTTTCCCGCCCTCGAGAGTCTTCCAGCTTTGCCACAAGGAGTTGCAGGGACGGGAGTGCCGATCAGGGCTTTGTGGATCGGAACCGCCCTGTTTCTGTAGTCACATTTTCACACAATTGTTGGTTGTTTGGTCCATCCGCTTGATCTTTTCCTTGAGCTATACGAGCCGGCCGAAGCCGTGACGCGAATGGCGGGATGCTGCATACCGGGGATTGGGTTCAATCGCGGCAGCGGTACCGGGAGGGTGGAGACGGCTTCTGGGTGAGGTTCTGGAAGTGGTTGCTATTCGCAGGCAAACCTCTGACATCGAGCAACGACGTGCTCGGATAAGGTCCAGAGCCATTATAGTAGGGATCACTGGCGCAGGTCGCGATAGCCGGTGGCTGCACATGTCAGCGAGCAACCCAATCATACCATAGTGGCGCACAGGCAATGATTTGTCGCACTACGTGTCAACCTCGTGGCTATATCGCCCCAAGAAACATCCGCAGTGTCGGGATGGTAATGGGTGCTGGATCAGCCCGAAGTGAGAAACGTCAGAAAAGTGACCGGTCAAGGAGAAAGGTCAAGCCACCGATCTCATGAGAGCTGGATCGAGGTCGGATGGCCCGAGAGAGCGATGACACCGAGCAAGACACGGATATCTTCACCGCTAACGCCTCACCAGACGCTGGGCCCTCGGACAGTGTGGAAGATCAAAAAGACCAGGCCTGCTTGACCGCCGTCCATGGCAGGGAGGCAACCTGCTTGTGGAGCAGGGAATTTTGATCGAATCTTCGCATCTGGCTGCCGGCAACTTATAATACCGTGTAGTGGCACTCTCTGCATTGTGTCGGCGGAGGATACCCGCAGAAGGGTCGTTGTGGCTGCCCAAGATGCTTGTGAGCGAGCTCGGGTGTTGCTTGTGAATGGGATACAGCAGTGGGACGCTCGATCTCGAGCCGTCATCACCCACCCTCTTCTAGTTCCCGAGGCGCCGATACGAGGAGAGTGTAATCATAGCCCGAAGAACTAGGCAGGATGAGTGTCCAGGATCTACCGCCTTTCTTGATGTGAAGGCGTCCCAAGGCAAGGCGTGAGAGGCAGCCGCGGCGGAATTAAAAAGGCGGGAGACGGCGCATGGTGACCAACAAGAGGTCTTGACATACATAAGAACGAGAGTGCCGAAGGAGCTACGGGGTCCTGGCGAGCCCTGAAAGCAGTCGATCATGCCAGGAACAAGTGTGGGTTTGATTCTCCCGCTGCCCTGTCGGATGCTCAGCCGTCTTAGTCGGCTTCGCAGCCGCTTCCCTGTCGGATACACCGAATCTGAAGCACGAGTAAGTCGCTTGCTTGTTTCCAACATGACAGCTGTTTCTTGATTCAACGGCCGGCTACAGTGTCTGTCTAGCCCCTGCTGGGTCTCACCCTCCGCTTAGAACACTAGGCCACCTCTATTGATCCCGGAGCCTAGGCCTGTCCGCCGGCCGGTCATCGCACAAGATGTGTTGTTGCTCGATCTGGAGCTCCAGTACATAGATGCCGGTGATCGTCCCTTTGCTGGGCGACTTCGGTGGCTGGATCAAGGAGGCTGATCGCCTCACTCGACACAATGGACCCTACGTTGCTCATGAGGCGACCTGTGCTGCAGCCACGAGCTGGTCCGCGTCTTAGTAAACACAATCGCACTTTAAGTCGGTGCATGCTGCTTTGGCCTCTGCAAACCTTGCCGGATCTGGCTTGGGAGTTGCGTCGGGTGGAGGTTGCGTTCTCGACCTGCGTGCACAGGCACTTCCGTTCATAACTGAGCCGGGCCAGTCAAAGTCTTTCGGACAGGGCTTTATCTATATGCAACGTTGATCTTGGATGCCCGCGAATTTTCACCCCGTCCTGCTCGCAGCGAGTTGTTAGATCAGACCTGACCTCGAATTCAATTAGTTTCACTAGTATATCAGTCCTCCGGTCACAATCATGTCCGCTTGATCAGCTAGCTATCGCATCTCGTCACAAGGCACGAATAGTACCAAATCTCTCCCTCAGGCGAGTGTAAAAAGCGCCCATGCCACAGTCGGTTCAGACCAGTCTCAGCTTTTCGACGCTCTACCCAAGTGCAAGCAGCATGACACAGACAACTCCTCGTTGCTTTGGCCAACAACAGCGCTGAGTTCCTCCGTCACTCCCTCGCCCAACAACAGTGTTTCTCGGTGTCGGCGCCATCACTAGCCGTCTTCCCAACCGGCCCCCAGAGTCCACAGGGTCCCAACCTGTATTCGAGCTTTGAATTGTGAAAGTCATCAATTCTCGGTCTATCACCATTTGCCACAGACTTGCTTGAGAGCGTGGCGATGCTTGAAGAGTGGCGCCGTCAAATATTCATAACCTCATAAACTCCTTGCCGGACTGTCAGAAACTATCCATTTACAGCCCTCCACCTGTGCAGATACCTCGACGTCCTGCATCGCGTGATCGGACGACTCGACAAGACCGTCTACGAGGAACGCACCTTGTTAAACCGTCAACGTCTTCGGCGTTATCGGCTCTCGAAAACCAAGCAATATCCGCTCGGTCTCACGGGCGGCCCTTCTTCCAACCCGGGTCGCTCGAAAGTCACCATCTGTGCACCAAGTCGTGCCTCGCCCTCCTACATTCTGTGTCACCTGAACGTTTCCGTTTGTTTGGTGGGATCTTCAACCCCCTCACCTGACCTTGACCCAAAGTCGTTATTGTTTGGGTGCCCAAGGTCCTCAGACCCTTCGAGAGGGTTGGATGTGTGGCGGAGCGAGTCTTTTGATCCAAAAAGTCTGCAGTTCCGCAACTGCTCTCGGGCGGAAAATTTGATCTTTCGAGAGTCCGTGCCTCTTTCCGGCCTTTGATCTTCTCAAAAGCCCCATCCGACTGTCGTTACTGGACCACCACCTCCGGTTTGGAAGATTAGTCTTTGCGTTGGGAAAGAGCCAATCAAGCACACCGACGACTTCCTCTGCGAGGACCTGGATATTGCCCAACCGATGTCTTCTTGAAATCTTCTCTCACTATATATCGCGACATTTGCCCGGACGATGTATCCTTCGCAACAGCATAGTTTACCACCTCCAAAGGTATCGCTTCATCAGGGCATGCGTGCTTCGCCAGCTCCTGCGCCACTACGAATACCACCGCCGTATGCTCCGTATAGCATGGGACAGCCGCTGCCGAACACCAACATGCATGCAATAGCTGGTAATGGCACATACCCTACTCAAGGTAGCACCATGTCTTCTTTAGCGAACGGCAACGGGATACCACCTAGTCCGAGCCAAACAAGCGTTGCCACTGATGATCTGTCGAACTATGATCTGCCAGACCTTCCGACCATGTCCAGAGTGTGGGGAAAACATGCTTTTGTCCTGGTCATTCAGCAGCAACCGCAGCGCGCACGCATGTGTGGTTTTGGCGACAAGGTGAACCCTGGCTCTCCGCCGCGACGCGCTCCCGGCTGACTTATTCTGTAGGACCGTCGACCTATCACACCTCCACTAATCGTCAAGCTGCTGATTGTCGATTCAGCCACAAATCAGGAGATCAACTACGAGTAAGTTTCTCACTAGTTGCGCGCGATATGATTATTGATCAGACGCAGAGTAAATACGGAATGGTCGAAGCTCATTCTCAGCGTGGACCTCTGGGATGTCCATGGCGAGCATGAAGACAACTGTGTCAGGCACAATGCTGCTGCTCCTTCCATCTCAGCGACCACCACAACCGCTTATCCCGCCATAACCCAGCAGATGGGTCCAAGGGCTCAGCAACTCTTTTCCTACGATCCTATGAATGCTCCCGCCTATCGTAGAGATGTGATGGTCACACCCACACCTGGCAGCGTCCCATCGTCTCCTTACGAGAGACCTCCAGCGTACCCACCTAACCACCAGCAAGGTTACAATGGACACTACCAGAACCCATACAACGGTGCCTACCCACCACGAGGCCTTCCTCAGGAGATGGCTCCCTCCCCGGCATCGTCTCTTCAATCCCGCGCTTCACAAGACGTGGGATCACCCGGTCCGAACAGGTCTGAGCCGTCGAAGAACCTTATTGGCCAATGTCATAGTAGTCTTCAAAAGTTGGACGGCCTCGACGAGATCCCGGGACTGTTCTTCATCTTCCAAGACTTGAGTGTTCGAACCGAAGGCTGGTTCCGACTGAAATGCCAACTCTTTGCGCTGGGCAAACTAGGTCTGGACGGCGAAGAGGGAGTGACAGGCGAGATGCGAAACGGACTGCTCGTTGAATGTCCCTGCCTGGCTGCCACATTCACCAAGCCTTTCAAGGTGTTCAGTGCGAAGAAGTTTCCAGGTGTAGTCGAAACCACTGCTTGGAGCGAGAAGTTTGCGTTGCAGGGGATCAAGATCCCGATCCGGAAGTCAGATACTAAGGGTAAGACAAGGAAGCGGAATCGTGGAGAGGAAAGCGATGAAGATGAAGATGATGAGCAAGAAGAGTAAGGCCTCGATACCCACGGGCCTGAGGAAAGTTCTCAGGCAAAGCATGGGCAGATCTGCCAAGTCTCTTGTATGGGGGCATCACTATCAGCGATGGGTTTGGGCATAGGCCCATTATGCACACAAAACGGGCGCACAGTACAAATTCGACGGTAGTACTTTGTAGAGCACCTGGATGTTCTGCTATGCTAGATGGGTTGGATCCAGAGAGTCCAGTCCGGTAGAGCGCCAGCCTTGCGGTCCAAAATGTTTATAGCAGCGTGGGGACGATCAGGACAATCACCAGAATTCAGAATGAGAATCAGGGTCCAACAAGGCTTCCACTTCCACTTTGACTTCTGTCGCAGGCGACTGTCACTGCTCCTCTGACAGCGCATAGATAGGCATTGGTCGACTGGATCGGGCATCGCTCAGTTGGCCCTTGTCTCGAGCGCGCCATGCGACTTCCAGCGACATGACTTACAGGGAAAAGTGACGCCCTCGTTCTCGCCATCCCAGACCCTCGGACCGACGGCCAGCATGTCGAAATCAACGAAGCCCAAGGCCCTCAACAAGGCGTCGCGGAGGGATCCGCTGGCATCCTTGAAGAAGGCGGATATGATCATCTCGAAACCAATTCTTCCAGCAGGTAAAGCACATTCCTCACCCCAAGGGGGCATTCGTACCTGCTAACCCATTCAAGAGGTGCTGGCTACTTTGGTCGACTACTTGACGGTGCCCGATCTCCTACGATTTGCACGTGTCTCTCGCCGCATGCACGAGATGGTTTATGACGATGCAAGATGGGTTAAGAGACTGAGAATCATGGGCTGCTGGAATGACAGTGAAGCCAGACGAAGAGCCGAGCCACCGAAGACACCCACAACTCCGGGTCGAAGAAAGAGTACGGTAGACCGCAACCTGATCAACGGCAAGGGCAGACCCGAGGTCCTGTTCGATGTGGATGCATCCCCGGTCTATCAGACACGCCAACCGAGCCTGCTCTCACCACCTAAGCCTCGACATGCGGTGGCAGACGGCTTCGATGTCGCCGAAACATCAAGTCCGCAGGCTATATCTGCCTCAGAATTACCTGTTGATCACGATGCGCCCTTGTCAGTGTTTACCCGCGTCAGATCTATTCGAGGACAGGCCAGACAGGAATATGGCAAAATCTATAGACTTTTGGCGCCGTTTTACCAGGATTTGCTCTCGACGTCTAATCCCATGAGCTGCCGCATATTCAAAGACTTCAACATTCCCGAGCAACAAGTCCGGCTTCTAGCGAATGTGCGGATCTTCTCCGCAAGTGATTTTTCCCCTGGATCCGGCAGGAGGGAACAGCAAATAGCGGAGGCTGTTGCATTGTTCGATACTGAAGCTCTGTTAGAATTCCGAAAGGGGTACGAGTTCAAGGATATCCAAGGCAGGATGCGCCAGTACGCACGGGTCATGCACACTCTCAATGGCGGTAAGAGCGGTATAGACCTCTTTCTGCACGACAACAAGATCATAAACCAAAAAGCGGAACTCGGTTCGGTGTCCGACTGCATTGACTACTCTCTGGGCTATGGTCAGTTATCACTCGAAAGAGTCCAAGCATACTTCGAAAGGTTGGGAAACGCCCTCACGGAAGAAAATGGCATCGTCCAGGCTGTCTTTCCCAATGCAAACGAGGTGTCGCTCCTCCTGCTTGAAGAAGTCGCCAAGGAGATTCTGGGACCATTTCTGTCCGGGCTCTTCGAAGAAGCTCGAGCTCGCGGGACATCCATATACTTACGGATCATCTCGGGCACATTTCAAGCCACCAAACAATTCATCGAAGGTGCTGTTCTCTCCGACGACACGGACGAGGCCACCATTGCCCGCTGCAATGCAATCGGAGCCCAGATCTTTGCACCTCACCTTGAGACATATCTTGAGGGAGAATTGGCCTTCTTTAGGCAGAAGGCGGACTCGGAGATCGAGCAATGGGATCGGGCCTTGTCCGAACAAGCTGCGTCAACAGAGAGCTTCCTCATGTCTAACGTCAATCGGCAAGCCGACAAAAAGGACTTTATGTCCTCGTTCAAGCAGGTGTTGATGATGCCGGTCAATATCCTCCCGAGCTTCAGCGGATCTCAAACTGCTAAGACACCCGTCAAGAAGCTCAATGCCGAAGCTTCAACCTCGTCCCGGCCCTCCACTCCGATTCCAGGCGGTCCCAGGGCTGCGACCCCTAATCTCCCTCAAGAAGCGCCAACAGATGAACTTGCTGCAAAAGCGGCTCTGATGAACACAAAGCTCGAGAATATCAAGTCTCTATTCTCCATCGAGATCGCCCTCAACCTGGTCCACGCCGCCAAGTCCTCCCTCGACCGTGCTTCCCAGTTCATCGCGCTTCCAGGCGAAGCAGGCGAGTCCGCACGAACGCAATGCTCGGCCATCTTCAATCTTCTGGTCCAGACTGTAGGCATCCGCCACGTCAAAACGGGCTTTGACAAGGCCATTGATCACCTCTCTCATTATTCGCCTCGCGAGACCAGTGCCGACACCACCACACCCGCAACCGTTCAGGTTGCCCCGTTGGCCACGTTCCTCGAGCTAGTCAACGTCGGTGACTTGATCCAACAGATGCTTGACGTCTTCTACGAGTCGGAGCTCGTCCGACTGCGCATCTCCAACCGCGACGACTTCCTCGACGTCAACGTAAAGGAGAAGCGCAAATTCGAGGCCATGCTCGACGAACGCGTCGCTGCAGGACTGGGCAAAGGCATCGACGTCCTCATGGACGAGGTGGAATATATTTGCGCCACCACCCAACAACCTACGGACTTTTACCCGGAGCTCGCCCTGCAGGACGACAACACCACCACAACCCACCACCCTAACACCATGAGCTCGATCCTGAACGGCGTGGCCGGCCGCCCAGCCAGCATCGCCAGCAAACTCCCTGTCATGGACTTCTCCGGGCAACCCACCCCCACGGCCCAGCGCGTCATCAAACTGGTCGGCCACCATACGAGCATGCTCACGGGCGCGACGGAGAAGAGCCTGCTCGACGTCTTCATCACCGAGGTCGGCCTCCGTCTCTTCACCACCCTGACCAAACATATCAAACGGCAGCGGATCTCGTGTGCGGGGTCGCTGAACCTCCTCTCGGATCTGACGGCGTACGCCCAGTTCATCGCGACGTTCAAGAATCCCGACCTGTCCAGCTATTTCACGGCGTTGCGGTCACTGGCCCAGATCTACCTGATCGAAGGGACGAGTGACCGGGACGTGCGCGAGATGAGTACCATTATCGCCGACCAGGATCGGTACAAAGGCGTTTTCACCGTGGAAGAGGTGGTCGAGTTCGCGGAACGGAGGAGCGACTGGTTGCTGTTGAGGGCGCGAGTCGAAGGGAAGGTCAAGGGCGATGGATGCGTCGTCATGTAGGAAGGAGATAAAAAAGTCACAATGCAAATGCTAGAGACGGTCTTTTTTCATCCATGAACACGTCCTGCTGCGTGCTGCGTGCTGTGTGCCGCATTTTCGGGGGGGCTGGTAACCGATTATCTGAGCCAGTGGTATGGCCTGTGTTGGGTTCTGTCTGTGCTGTGCTGCGCCCAATCGTAGTCTCTGGCTCGCTTGTCCATGCATTTGCCGGCACAGACACGACTTGGGTAGTTCTGCGGCTCCTGCGTCTATCAATACCATGGACGGCCATTCGATACGAAGTAGCTCGCACCCTTTCTACAACTCAAATTCTTCTTCGGTCTCTGTTGCTTCCGGGTCGGAAATATGCCCGCTCACGTATCCCACTTGCACCTCACCGCCACGAAACCGATCGTCCATGCCATCCTGCAACCTAGCAGCAAGAATATCTTGAATCACTTGACTCCAGTCAACCCACATGGGCGGTGGCATGTATGTCCTCAGCACCCACTGTTTCCCGGCAATTATGGCTCTTTGCAAGAAATGTCGTTTGCGATTATGTGCCGCCATCTTGATTTCAACATCATCCATCTCCTCCCGCAGCTCGCACCGCGGTCCAGCCTGGTCGAGTTCGCGGTTCAGGTCCCAGAAACGGATCCACACCGGCTCGGCGGCCTCGTACTCTCGCTCGAGGAGGATCATCCACTTGTGGTGTTTGAGGGCGTTGGGGATCGTTTCGTCCAGACACGCCAGCCAATGCAGCCAGTCGAAGTAATTCTGCTTGACTTCGGGTGGCACGGCGGTGTACGGCCACTGTCCTGTCAGGAGCTGCTTGCCACGGCTGAGGACGTCGTGGATCTCGTTGTTCTTCACGGCGGAGTGGAAGAGGATGTACGTCATGAGGATTTTCCGGGCGAAGGCGTTGTTCGATAGCGCGCCCGTGTACACGGTGCGCCAGGCTTTTTCGGTTGGGTAAATGGCGAGAATGTCTTCTCTGGGGATGCGAGTGGAGTCGGGGTCTTCGAAGGCGTTTCTCTTCCGATCCCATGAGGCTTCTGCTGGTCGGGTGGGCAAGCGACTGGCTGATTCTAGACCGTGTTCACCAGAGTTGGTTGGTCTGCTCAGCGGATCTTCTGCCACGGACCCCGGTTCGTTTTCGCTTATATTTAGCTTTGCCATGTCGGTGGTCGTGGACATGTTAGACGTGGAGTGCCCGACAGTGGCAGACTTGATATCATCGTTATCAGTCTGCTCCTCAGACTGGCTGAGATCTGTGGCCTTGTTGGGAGCAGCTGGGTTTGACCGGTCTAAGCCAGCTTTCACTCATGGTCAGTATCAAACAGGCCGTGTGGATGCATCAAGGCACACTCACCAGGCGCTGAGGCTTCCATTCTGTTCTTGTGCTTGTTGGGAGCCATTCTTCCTGTCGCCGTGCACGACTCTCAGTGCTACCGCGTTCTCTTCCAATTCACTACGGCCGCACGAGGAATTGAGCGTCACACTGCCACCAAATTCAGCAAAGATAGAGGAAGAGTTGGGTCCCGAAAACTCCTGCAGAAGCAGACATTTCAGTAAACACGAAGGTGATTTGAAGCGAAAGTAAGAGATCAGAGCGAATATGTTTGCTGTTTGCTCATGCTGCCGTTGGATACGGAAAACTGCAGGTCCCTGACTGTGAAGGAAAGCGTGAGGTCTGCTGAAGACATTGAGGCTTCCAGTCTTTCCTTCTTCCTCCATGACCTGTACCTGCTTCCATCAATGCTTGTGTTATCAAGGTGGTGCATTGCACACAATCAGCCTCCTGTCGCTTCGCCTGCCATCGAGCCTCCTGCAAAGCATGGCGTGGATGCTTCATACTCATCTTAACATCAAAGTGGCCTCTCGAGCATGAGCTCCGTACCACAGTAAATCATTGAGTTGCCTCTCATGTCGTCGTCGCTTTTCAGAAGTGGTCTCGGACGTCTCTATTAATACTTCGCCCGCGGTCATGGGCCGTTTGCTGGCTCCGCTTATGCATCCCAATGCCCAGCACAGAGACCACGCAGACCTCCACATGGCGCTGCAGGACCGAAGAGACAAGGCATAAACGCGCCTATCGGCTGCCTGGGACGCCGTCGAGCAGCCTGGTGACGTTGTAAGCTGACCACTGGCAGCTTCCACGCCATCCTCGACCCTGGACCCTTGACCCTCGACCATCCATCGTCATGGCTCGCATCTCTTCTCCAACCACCCACTAATTACATCCTGGCGCATACGAGACGGACACGGGATGCCTTGTTTCGCAGGCCGAGCAGTTTCGACACAGCTACGCCTCAATGACTTACATATACCTTCCTTGTGCCACTCTTCGGCGATGATCTGTTAAGTCATCTTGCTCTTGGTCTTCCTGAGCATTACGCACGCCTTTGACCTGTTTGATCCGGCCGGTCCGCTCGTTGTCGTACCTCATCTTTCATTTCGTCCCTCGTTCAGCCTCCAGTATATACAGCACCAAGAGAGCAACAGCCTTGACCTGAGCCTAAGAGAAAGAGATCCATCCTGTACATATACCACATCATGCCATTATAGCAAGAGCTGTACCTTCAAGAACAAAGGAAATCTTATACAAACACGCCAAAATATCCCCCTCCGAAAGCGCAACGATGCTCACAAACTTGCCCCTCCACGCAGCCCTCCTCCTCGCCCTCCCACTCTCAATCTTCGGCCAAGAGACGGTAACCGTGATTGGCACGACAGTAACACAGACGTTCACAGCCGCAGCTTCCACGACCCCCACCTCCCCCCAATACACCGACTCGCTGACCTTCCGTGAGTCGATCCTCAACTCCTCCAACACTTACCGCTACCAGCACTCGGCGAGCTACTTATACTGGAACGAGACCCTCGCGACATACGCGCAGTCATACTCGGAGAACTGTCTGTGGGAGCACTCGCACGGTCCGTACGGAGAAAACCTGGCGCGCGGCTACCCCGACGTGACGTCGGCGGTGGACGCATGGGGCGATGAGCGCGCTATGTACGACTTCTCAACCACCGACCCCACGGGCTTCACCGAGGCGACCGGGCATTTCACGCAGCTAGTATGGCAGGGCACACAGGCCACAGGGTGCGGCTGGACGGATTGCGACGGGCGAAACGGCCTCGACGGCATCTACCTGGTCTGCGAGTACTGGCCCGTCGGCAACATTGTGGGCGAGGATAACATGTTCTTCATTCAGAATGTCCTCCCTGAGCGGAGCGGCGGAAGCAGCGGATTCAATGAGTTAGAAGCCACGAGGGGTGCTACGGGCGGGACGCCGACCAGCACGGGTTCCCCGTCCGCGTCTGGCGTGAATACGGCCTCAGCGACCAGCAGTGGGGAGTCGATCGGTACGCCCATGGCTGAGGTCGACAGGAAGGGCTTGCTGGTTACCGTGTGCGTCACGTTGGCAGCGCTGTTGTTCGGCCTAGGCATGTCATGATGGACATATTGGACACATCCGTTGGTTACAAGGAGATGACACGCACTAATAGAGGAGGAATCAGCGCTGTCATGCGGCAAGGACGACGTGGCGTGGTGTTGGGTGCCCTCGCGAGGCCGTGGAAAGGGTGTACATGAGCACGGGCACGAGTATGAATAATGAATGAACGGCCACCAGGATACAGAGCTCCGACGATGCCGCCAAGCTGCGGCTGATCGTTCGGTCCGTGGATAATACAATAATGCATACATCAATGGATCTTTAATGTCTGACCATCTATTCGTATGGAGTATACGAATGCCTCGCAGGGGGGAATAGGCGACTATTGTCGTGTATGGCTGAGCAGGATGTAGCCGTAACGAGTCCCAGCATAGGGAGACTCGAATCCCTTGTCGACGCCGCAAGGATCCAAGTTTGGCCGAGTTTGCTCGAAGCGTAGCGTCAAGCCTTCCCTGAAAGGCCAGCGGTGTTTAACCAGTTGGAGGAGGCAGAGCCTATGGGCTGCTTCATTCCCCCTAATCAATGCCCATCAAGCATCCCTAGGGGTAGCAAGGTGCCACTCCCAAGCTTTGACAGGTTCTCTGACGCTCTTGTGTCTGGCAAGTACGAGTATGAGGTGCTCTAGACCTCTACACAGTATCTTCAGAGTTTCTCAACTCCGGACCCTTCAAGTCATGACGTCCACGACGTCGTGATACCGGTCCGCGGCTGGCTTGGTAAAGTAGGTGATAGGCCTGCCATAAGATGGCAAGTCTGCCTCCTTCTCCAGGTGAGATCACTAAGTAGTTTGCTTCAGCAAGATGAGCGGGATCTCGTGGGCACGGCGGCATCTGAGGAAATTTGGGCAAATGTCGACCACTCTCCATGCGCCACCATCGTCGGCGCGAACATATCAGAGAAGGACCGAGCACAAGGCACAAACTGGGAACGAGCACGAGGAGAGTTACGTGCTCACACTGCACACCAACAAGGAGCACCACAAGCTGATGACATCGCTTCGAGAACGGTACTTTCCCCCCGCGCTCAACAAACTCGACGCCCACATTGCGGTGTTCCGCGCGCTCCCAGGATCACAACTGCCTCGGATCATGCGCGACATCGCCAGCGTCGCGGCATTACAGAGGCCCTTCTCGATCACCGCGGATGTGCCGTTTCGCATGAGACGGGGCGTAGGCATCCGCGTGGTCGATGAATCTGGTCAAGCGAAAGGCATTCACGAGGAGCTGAAAGCTCGATGGAGGCCGTTCCTCAGCCATCAGGATCGGAGCTTTCAACCCCATTATACGGTTCAGAACAAGGTGGACGATGAAGCCGTCGTCAATGACACACTCGAGGAGCTTGCACATCACTTTCATGGCAGTCAAGGCGAGGTCGTTGGGTTGGCTCTGTACAAGTATGACCGTGGATTCTGGAGAAAGGAAAGAGATTTCACTTTTGAGGCCGGAGGCTCATGATCAAACGTCGACTTTGGTTGTGGGTTTCTTCAAATATCAGGTTTATGCGGACATAGCCTCGAAGGATGACGGCGAGAATTTTTGATGCCGGCATAAGGCCTTGCTCGATGTACCTGCTTGCGTCCCGCTCCATCGATTCGACAGGAGCATCCTCGGCGCCTCAGCAGTGCTTCACAGCGGGATCCAGACACAATACTTGGCGAGAGACTTTCATGTGCATGATACGAACAGATCGACACCAGGAAGCAAAGAGAAGCCGTCATCCGAGCTGGGGTCGGTAGGCCCGGGAAGCACCACTGCGAAGCCAAAGACAAGACATGGGCAGGGAGCTGCAGCAGCCCGACCTATCGAATCTGTGCGACAATTGTCTGGCAGTGCATTCGTGTCGCCGAGATTCACAACCCATTTGAAGATTATAATACACCGCCAGCGATTGTCCCCTCTGCATACCCCTGATACAATGAACTCGTACCCGGCAGCTGGTGCGCTCGGCCCCTGCGCGGACTACTCCCATTCTCGTCATGTCCGAGCACCACTTCGAAGACCCGGATGGACTGCTTCGACGGAAGGATGACATAGCGGCTGCAACTACTCAAGTAAGACACGCTGTGCTCTCTACCACAGCTGGGCCGTGAAACCACAGACCAAGGCGATCCCCTTCGTTCGGCGGGAATTTCGCATCCTCCATCAAGAAGATCCTTCGAGACTGTCACTTGAGCAATCGTCGGGCATCCACCACGTTGCCGTTGATGTGGTCGCGGCCAGCCTGTGTTCTCGAATTTAGCCAACAACCGCATAGCTGCCGCAACTCCGCTTCTCGACGGACAGTCAGGTCAAGCACCTAGGGACATTATGAGACCTCACAAAGTCCCTCCAGCGAGTGCGTGCTGGCGTACGTAAAAGGGATGGAGGTAGATCCACCATACCCCTTGCACTGGAGGCGGAGATACTGTCGACGGGGAGTGGAGCGACTACTGTATAGTGGCTCTGGCTAGGTAGAAGAGAAAAGGCCATCTTCAATGACCACGTGTCTTGCTATAATTTGTAAATTAGGCCCGCTGCACCACCTGCCCCCAAACAACATCACTTCCACCACCCCTGCCCCCTCTCTAACATTCTCAATCGCTTGTTCCCCAGCGTGCGCCCCTCGGATTCTGCATCCACGCCGACGCCCACCTCGAACGCACCTCCCTGCTCACTGACGGCCATCTCGACAAGCACGCGGCCCAACCCCTCGGTCGGGCTGTGGGTGGCCTCGCCAGCCCAGCCCCAGCGAATAGGATGCATGAGGCCCTTGAGATAGAAGCGCTGAAACGCCGTCCTCTTCGTGTTGAGCACTTGGTCCCAGATCCACGGCTGGTTGGCGCCGTCGACGGCGGCCGGCCTGACCGAGTACACGGACAGCAGGGGCGAGTATTGGGCCGTCTTGGACAGGTCGAGCAGCGCGCGCTCCGTCTCGCCCTTGACGCGGCCGTAGATGGGCGTCCACGGCCGCGGGTGCAGCGTCGCGCCCTCGCCGGACACGTAGACGAATTTGAATTTCTCGCTTGCGGTTTCGCTTGCGTCCGCCCCCGCCGCCGCCGCCGCCGCCGCAGCAGCAGTAGCGGCGCGTAGTGTCGAGAACGCCTTGGCAGCCTCGACGGCGTAATCCCGCGTGATGGTGACGTACTCGTCCTTGGACACGTCGTTCTGGCTGACTCCCAACGCCCAGATACAGGCGTCGGCGCCCTTTAGCCGGGCCAGGAGTTCGGGCGGGTAGGTGCCGAAGTCGCGGTGCTCGATCACTTCGATCTCGGTGTGGTTGTTGGTCGTGGGCGTCCCGGGCGGAGGCGTCGCGGCGAGCCAGGGGATCGAGGTCGAGCGCGTGAGGATCGACAGTTTGTCGATGGCCGGTTTGCTGGTCGGCGGGAGGGAGAGGATGTGCGAGAGGACGGACGAGCCGATCAGGCCGGTGGCGCCCGTGAGGATCAGGTGGACCATTGTTCTTTTTTGCTTGCGCCAGTACTGTAAGGTCGATTTCCTTCGGGCTATGAACACGCCGGCGCAGGACCGAGGACGTGCGAGGGCGATCGACTGTTCAGTAAGTGAGGCACCGGATTAGTTCTCCCCTCGCTTTGTTATCACTTTCGAACACGTCAGGGCCATAGGCTAGCCAGAGACACCGGTTTGGAATCGAGATTCGTCGTGCCGTTAGCTGTCGTTGCTGTTGCTGTTGCTGTTATTGTACCGATAAACCGCTTCGGGCAGGCCACACGCAGGAAATGATCACCAGCTGCCCTGTTCCGTATGTTGTACCGCAGTGGGCATCCACGTCGAGAAAACACAAATATATACTCCGTACTGTACACGCTACTTCGTACAACACCAAGCGTTTCATTTATCCGTCCAGTAATCCACTCGTCAATGGCACGGAGACTGACACTCGTTTGGGTGACCAGCCCATCCTACCTGGTACGTACCGAGTCAGCAGCTCGGGTGATAATTAGCCATGGCCACGTCAGCGTACGCAGCGGCGTCCAGATCAGGCATCGAGCACCAAGCGCCAGGCAGCAGCCAATATCTGAGCTTGATCGCCCCAGCTTGCGCGGATGTCGTCTCCAGAAAAGGTGCTATGTGGATAGTACGAGATACGTCGTCTCTAGAAAATGTGCTATGTGAGTGGTACGAGATGGAGCCGTGGGAAAAGGGGCACAGATCAGAGCCGGAGTCGGTCGAATACGGACAGACTAGGGGGGCGCCGGGGATTATCTTAGTCTCCTGCATCTTGCTTACCTGCCCAATGGGTGCAGCTGGGTTCAGATCACATCAGACAAGAGGTACGCCTGAAGAGGTATTTTCAGGGTATCCGTTGCGAAGATGCGGTTAGGATGAGAATGAACGGGGAATCCTGGTCAGGATGTGGCGGGCTTGATGTCGCATGCCAGCGACGGTACTCTCTACTCTACATCTGGTCGCGTGCCATGGTCCAACCATCGCTGGCTGAGGCATGTGAGTGTTGAAATCCTGGAAATTATCAACATCGGAATGTATCAACTTCGAAATGTGTTCGCATCGAAATGTCTTCGCAACGAAGCTGTTATTCCCAAGTGGCGGCTTGTCGCGTCCTGCTGGTGGATTCGAGGTGCATGGCCGCGTTCGCTCGTCACTCGACGCATACACACTGAACTTCGGAGTGCGGCAGTATGTCCGGAGTACACACGTAGCAGTGTGCTCAGCAAAGCGGTGCAATGCACATATATCCCTGCTGTGCGAGATGCAGACTGTTTCAAGACTCAAAGTCGAGGGCAGGTCGATGTCGGTACAAGCAGACGGCCCATCGATTCCACGACAGCATTATTGATTCGCCGCTTTCTCACAGATCCTCCGTATTGGTGACTGGTACTGTTGACACTACCGTTACACAGTGGATGAGATGCACAGAAATCCATGCCCTTCTACACAGTACTGTAGTAAGATTCCCCGTTGCCGGTCCCCAGCGGCCCCCTTCCCCCTCAGCCTCGAGCTCATGACACCCCACGGCCTTCTTGTCGTACTCGATGCGGGGAAGACTCGAGCGGGACGGAGTACGAGCTACGGAGGACGCCTACACACGTACGAGTACCGGGTAGCTGCTGGCGGTGCTGGGAGCCGGGAGCCGGGAGAGCAGTTTCGTCCCCGGGTTGGAGTGGCTGGCGACGGGATTGACGGAATTTTCTCCGGACAGTACCTCACCATGTCACCCAATCCAGCTATCGCCATTGATAAACAACGTCGATTCCGGCCCGCCTGTACTGTAATTACTTCTCGTCGGCAGTTTGGAGCTTTGTCTCGGCCTCGAACAATTCACGGTTCACAAACTACATATCAAACGATCATCGACCAAAGCCGCCCGCAATGTCCGACTCCAAGATGCTCAACGGCAACGAGGTCGCCACCCACGCGTCCAGGGACTCGTGCTGGGTGATCGTGTCGGGCAAAGTCTACGACGTGACCGAGTACCTCGAGAAACACCCCGGCGGCAGCCAGATCCTGCTCCAGTACGGCGGCAAGGACGCCACGGCCATGTACGAGCCGATCCACCCGCCGGGCACGATCGAGCGGTCACTGCCCCGAGAGAAGCACCTCGGGCCCGTGGACCCGGCGACGGTGTCGACGCCGGCCCAACCGCAGGTGACGCGGGACCTCGACCAGATGGCGCGCATCCCGCTGGCGCACTGCCTGAACCTCGACGACGTGGAGAAGGCGGCCACGCGCATCATCCCCAAGTCGGCCTACGTCTACTTCTCCTCGGCGGCCGACAGCCTGGGCTCGCTGCGCGCGAACCACGCCGACTGGAAGAAGGTGTCGCTGCGGCCGCGCATCATGCGCAACGTGCACCGCGTGAGCATGACGCGCACGATGCTGGGCCACAAGTTCCGCCTGCCCTTCTTCATCGCGCCGGCCGCGCGGGCCCGCCTCGTGCACGACGACGGCGAGCTGTGTCTGGCGAGGGGCGCCGCGCGGTGGGGCATCCCTTACTGCCCGAGCACGTACTCGACCGTGCCGCACGACGAGCTGATGGAGTGTCTCGTGCGGGAGAAGAAGACGGTCAAGTTCCGCGGCTTCGCGCCCGACGACGGCGCCCAGCTGTGGTTCCAGCTGTACGTGGCGCTCGAGAGGTCGCGGACCGTCGAGCTGGTCACCATGGCCCGCGACCTGGGGTACAAGGCGCTCGTCATCACCGTCGACACGCCCGTCGTGGGCAAGCGCGAGGCCGACGAACGGTACCGCGCCGAGCTGGCCACCGCGTCCGGCGACTACAGCGTCCTGAACGAGTGGTACAAGCCCGCCGACGAGGACGACCCCAACGCCCCGCCCCTGAGAGGCCACCATTCGAGCACGCTGAACTGGGACGATCTGCCGTGGATCCGCGACGCGTGGGTCAAGGGTCGCTCCGACGCCGGCCCGATCGTCCTCAAGGGGATCCAGACCGCCGAGGATGCCGCGCTGGCCGTGTACCAGTACGGCGTCGACGCCATCTACCTGTCCAACCACGGCGGCCGACAATGCGACGACGCGCCGTCCTCGATCCGAACCCTGCTCGAGATCCGCAAGTTCTACCCGGAGATCCTGCACAAGGTCGAGATCTACCTGGACGGAGGGGTCAGACGGGGCGCCGACATCATCAAGGCGCTGTGTTTGGGCGCCCGCGGCGTCGCCCTAGGGAGGCCCTTTATGTACGCCGTCTCCATGGGCGACGAGGGCGTGAACAAGGTGATCCAACGTGAGTGTCGCCGCATCCTTGTATTTCCCCTTTGCCATTGTATTTTCTTATCCACCGTACCCTTTCCTTTCTTCTTACCCGTCGACATTGTATGAACCCGGGTACTTCCCACGCTGACCCGTCTCGTCCGTCTGTCTCCAGTCTTGTCCGAAGAGATCGAAACGACCCTCCGGTGCATGGGCGTCACGTCCCTCGACCAGCTGAACCCATCGTACGTCAACACCAAGCTGCTGGACCTCGAGGTGCAGGACCGCCTGTGGACCGAACAGCAATTGGGCTCCGAAGGCTACGGAGAAGCCTGGGTCCGTGGCTTGAAGGCCAAATTGTGAAGAACAGACCCACTAAATCTGAGCTCACGCATCCAATACGCATCCAGGTGTAAAGAGAGCCTCTCTGATCCGGCGATGGATATCCTTGTTTTTGGGTCTCCTGACAATGAGCGCTCTTCAAAGGCTGGCGTGGCAAGAAAAGGGGCCTGGACCTCGTCAATTCTTACTCCTGGGGTTTGTCGATGCTCTTTACAGTATCACTGGATATATTTACATGGGCCGTGGTCGGCGGCTTTAGAGGCCATGCATGTGCTGTAGAAAAGCGGCCTGGGAAGACGAGGTGCGCGGGCTTCGACGAGGTATATCACTGGGATTGCAACTATAGTTGTGAGAAAGATCCTGACGTGATGTCTTTATGACACAGCAAGACGGAGGGCAGCGTGGTGAGCATGACAGTTACAGTAGCCAACAAGCATTTCTCGGGGTCACTTGTCCAACACAACACGATGAAACCGACCAAGCTGATCAAATCTTTACGAGGTAATGGGCTTCACATTGAAACGGTAATTAAGAAGATAGCAGGCTCCCTCTCGCTTCATCACAAGAGCAACGGCGCCGTCATCAGAAAAACCTAGGTCACTGTCCAACCCCCATACCTGATATGCAACATGGCCTCGTCCGGGCATGAAGATAATCATTCATACACGAGCGTCGTGGATTAGAACTAACACAGCCAAGCCCGACTCCGCCTTTTTGAGGATTCATCTGTACAAACGGTGTACAATTCGGTCATTAATATTTACCTGCCCGTGTAGTCGAGCGTTCCCGCAAGCCGGATTTCGTCGACAAACCGGTCTTCATCTCCGACTGTCTGCAAGTTCCAGTGGCCGGACCGAGGCAAGCGGTTGAAAGGGCCCCATCCAAGCATTTCTTGGGTATTGCGCCGTTTCAGGTCGAGATTGCCTTCCATGCCAAACAGCTGTGATTGAAGGCTGCCCAGCACGGCCACAGCTGCGTTGACCAGTGTTCGGTCGCCCTCAAAGATCCATATGTCCCAGACGCGGCACAGTCGATCGACGTCCAGTCCATTCGAAAATATGGTGCGAAGCATGGGTTCAAAAACTTCCTCGCCGCGGAAGCCCAGACCACCCTGCTCGAGCGAACCAAAAAGGTACTCGTGGAGACGAGGAAACTTGATGGCCAATGTTGACACTGCGTGGTTGTAAGTCCGACTCGTCATGGTCTTCTCATCGGTCTGGAAAGCCAGCGGTACGGGACGATTGAGGCAGTTTGCCAGAAGGATGAATGCCTCCGAGGGCGTCGGGAGCTGGAGAAGGAGCAACGCCGCCATTAGTTGAATGCCGTATATGTACCCCACGTCGCTGCGATAACACGCGTAGGCTTCACAGACGTCGATGAGATCTTGCCACAAAGGTGCGCCCCTCTGAAACAAGCTGAGCTCTGGGAACGCTGTTTCGGCGTCTCTTTCGATATCGACGAACCACCGTCCCATGCTCTTCTCGTCTTGGTCGAGCTGGTCACTTGTCCGCTTCTTGATCTCTTTGGCTCGGTTCAAAGCTTTTGCGTAACTCTGGGCAGTCAAGCCAAGCGGATTTCCTATCGCCCGTTGCCACACCTTTCCGCGAAGGTTAGGGCTGATTCCACGCCAGCACAGGTCGTTGACTCGTTTATCAATGGTCGTGAGATCAGTGGCTTCATCAACGTAGAAATGCCAAATTCGATTCAAGGTTTGTCTTGTGTCGTCTTTCTCGCATTGCTGAACCTGCAGCTTCATGCGACGTTTCTTGTCTGCTTCGATGGAGGCGGCCATCATCCGTTGGTATTCTTTCAAATGCTTCTTCTCCTCTTTCGGATCCTTGGGTGGTAACCATGACGGTCTTGTTCGTGACAAAATGGCCTCCTTTTCCTTGGAGATTGGCATGAAGTCGAGCGTGCTCTTCTGTATCGGCGGGAGCTGGATGGACGACGCCCGCGAGCTACGGTCCGTTGGAGTCTCCAGGCTTCCCCGAGACGAGCCACCCTGGAGCCTGTCGAGTCGTTCTTGATCCCGAGCCTCGGCATGGAATTCCAATGCCTCAGATATGATTTTGGCTTCCTCACTAAGATCAGCCATGGCAAGATTCCACGATTTCGTCCTGTTCTTGAAAGCAAAGTCACCTTTCCTAGGCGAAGAAGGATTCGAGCTTGCAGGAGTGAGCGAAACAGACCTTTGTGGTGGAGGTTTGCTCTTCGGCAGGCCTTGCTGCGAATGTAACGCCGGCCGCGGGGGCACTTCAGGCGCTGTTCTTGCATGTTCTAAAGGGATGGGACGGGGACTGGGAGCCGCTTGATATCTATCAGGGCTTCCGCGGAAACTGGACCGGTGTGATCGTAGGCCGGACGGGTGGGGAGACACGGGGACGTTCCAAAGACTCGCATCTTCAGGTAAGTCGTCATCAGAGTCGTGGTACTCAGCTTCCAGTTCCTCCACGGTCTTTCGGTGGGGCTGCCATGATGCACGCCGGGATGGGAGCCCCAATGACGATGCTGAGGATGGAGGAATAGGCCGAAGTCCACCAGCACTAAGAGACGGAGTCGAGGCGGACGCAGGATGTCTTCTGCTCGGAGGGGAGGACGATCGCGTCCTCATGTTGTTCGGAGGGTAAAATGTTTCTGTACTGGTGAAGCCCCGTTTGAACATGGCCATCTTGGAAACATTCGTTCGTGGTGGTGCAGAGTCCTGTCTCGGGCCTGATGTCTTGACACGGGTCTGTAGCTGTGGGAGCGTTGGTCTCTTCTCCCCCGAAGCCACCTCCTTTGCCTTGATCAGCTCATGTTGCGAACCCACAGACTGCATGGAGACGTCGCGCGAGTGGGTGAATTTCGAGGTGGTGTGCTTTTCATCCTCCAAGCCAATCTCTTCGAAGTTGGTTATGTCGGACTCGAAGCTGTCATCGGGACTCGAGAAGGACGAGGAGTAGGAGGACGACGACTTCGAGGACCGAGAGCCTGAGAGCTCAGGAGGCGAACCCGGAGCCTCAGTAATGGTCGTGGCCATGGTGAAGATATTATGGGCATGCGATAGAGGAGTAAGCGAGCGTAGGGCAAGGTCTAAGCCTTGCGCTGACTTCAAGGATAAAACATCGACGCGGACGCCTTCGAGTTCTTTTCGTGAATAGGTCTCCAGCAGGGACGCAGTTAATGGTGGGAACGTAATTTCCGACGAACGAGCGCTGTGGACGACGGTGTTTTGTCGCGCCAACGATGCTATTTCTGCTGGTTGAGGCTTTGCTGGCTTTTGAGGAACGAATGTTGGGAGTGTCCAGCGGCCATTCTCACTGTCGACGTCGACAACTTCGACAATTCCAAGGTCCGTCGGGTCGAGAGTCCAAGCTTGCGCGCAATCAAGTGGGAAACTTTCCCATCGTGGCTCTGGCTCAACCCCTGGCGAGGAGGGCCGAGCGATTGGTGGGAGCGCAGAAGGTGCTGACATGGTGGAGGATTGGCATGATGCTGGCAAAGCTCCATGCGGGAAGCCATACCAAGCATGGCTAAGAGGCTGCCAACCTAGGCCGCCCTCCATGTCCCTTGACTGGCTGCCAGGAGGCTGGTCAGGGGCCGTATCCGGAGGACGATGGTGCCGATACCGTGACCGCCGGCCGCCTACCTCAAAAGAGTGGCTCGCGAGTGGGAAACTGGGTGAAGCACGGGTGGCTGGCAGGATTCTGCGTCGGCTTGTCCGTCATCGATTGGGGAGGTTTCAAGGATTGACAACGTCCGTCGTGATCCACAAATGGTGCAAGGTCTGGCTGGCTCGTCCCCCTCTTTTGGAAATCTTGATGCAATCGTGACGATCTTCCCGTTTGCGTCGGCTTATCGATAATATAGGCTTTCTGGACTTGAGTCGCTGAGCGTTGGTTTGAGGGTCGGAGGAGGGGCTGTTTCAGCTGCCAGGAGACGTGTCGCAGGTTGACAGGCGTCTACCGCAGAGGCCCGTGGCTGTCGGAGAGGATTGTGCAGAAGCTTCGACGCGTGCAGACAGGCAAATGACAGGCAGGATCGCCGTCTGAGGCAGTGTGGCTGTTTCACGACACTCGATGCAGGTGTCGCCAAACTGAGCGAGATCTGAATCTTATCGGCCAGGTGCGGCTGAGTCGGGGTTATCGTTGTGGTAGCTATACGGAGTACACTCGTAGCATTGTCAGGACGAAGCGAGCGAGAGACAGGCGAGACTGCGAGACGCAGGAAGAGAGGTTGATATGCATCTTGGTCACTGGCGAAGAAGGGTATGGAGGCGCATTTGTTGGTGGCTGGTGCTGCAAGCGCAGTCGAGCCGCAGATGCCAATGCGCTCGATGATCTAGACTGCGAGCACCGAGTAATTACTGGGAATTGTGCTTGTATACGAACACATTCCAACCAATCGTGCACTGCTCTCGACCACTCAGTACACATACGTCTGGAAAGCCTTGTTGTTGTCTTGGAGGAGTTGTTCAAGGACCGCTTGTTCCATGTTCATCCTCGGCTGTGCGTACTCCCTCAAAGCTTTGAGCCACGCCAACAGATCCTGGTACTGGGTCTGCTTTCGTGTGAGCACTCCCTCGAATGCTACAGCTGCGATCCAGCACATTTGCGCCTGGGTGATATGCTGGACCTGACCATTGAGACTGTTTTTCGCCCGGCAAATCTTGCAACCTGCAACCACCAAGTCTTGAACCAGACCTCGCACTAGCTCTGGTGGTGGACGATTTCTCGCAGCCATTCCCACCAAGTACTGGTGCATCTTCATCGCTGCCTCAGTGAAGTTCCCGACCAACGTCGAGATTACCTGGGCTCGGCTGTTGAGCGACAGGTCCAGCAACATGGCATGCATTTGGTTCTTTAACGAGGCCATGATCTTCCGTTTCAGGACCACTCCGGGCCTCGAGCAGCTTTCCACGGTCAGAGAATTGCTCACTCGTTCGTCCTTCTTCTCCCGATCTTTCTTCATTTCCAGCGTCCGGACGTTGATGGCCATTCCGCAATAAGGGAATGCAGCCTCGCCGGGAACTCGGGGCACTTTTCGGCCCTTGACGGTCACGTCAAAGTTGACCAGAGACTTCTCGGGATTGACCTGGATACCATAGCCCTGGTCACCGTTCGCCATTACCTCCAGGAACCGTCGGGCAAGCTTGTCATTCGTTGTCACAAGCAGAAAATCATCAATCAGTCGTAAGAGTAAACATGATTGAGGATGGAGGAACCCCAGCTCGTTTCGCTCGAAGGCTCCGTAGAAGTAGTTGCAGAGCAGGCTGCTCAGAACAGAGCCTTGTGGTATGCCGTCGATTTGCTTTGCGTATCTCTTTCCCATTTTGACCATGCTGTCGCTGATGTGATCCTGCAGAAGTTTGAGCACGGACTGCCGACTCCACACCCTCTGTTGCCCCAGACCGCAGAATATCACCTGGCGCTTCTTTGCGGCGAGTCCAGCTACTGATGTCTCTGAAAACACGGCCTGTTCATGAGCTGGACGAGCTATGCCGGCCCATTTTCGTTTCAGGCCCTCGGCGTGTCCCTGATATCCGCGGTCGAGAGACTTCACCTCGATGTGCTTTGTGGTCCGGTACGACGGTTCAGAGAGCAAGTCTTCGACCAAGCGAAGGAGGTGGTCTTGGGGTATGGTATCAAAGCAGGATTCGACGTCGACTTTGGCGAAAAACAACCGAGATCCGGGCGGGACTGTCCTCTTGAACTCCGCCACTCTGCCATGAATATCCCCCACCGAGAACAAGGCAGAACCCAGTCGCCAGGGATCACGTGCACGTTCGTAGTTGAGAATGCTGAATATTGGAGCAAGCTGATTGTTGATACTTTGGCCCACCACTCTTTGCCCAGGGCCTGCTTTCGATTGCTTTCGCTTCAGGTTGGTGATTGGTCTCGCTCCCTGGTCTTTGGGGAGGAGCCTTAGTTGACTGTATCCCAAGCTGCGTGATTGCAATTGGTGGCGGGCGTTGCTAGGTGTCATGAGTGAGTACATCTTCAATCTGAGGGTCGCCAGGCTGGGCTCTGATAGCTTCCGCCATACGTCCTGGCGGAAGTAGAGCAAGCGATTTCGATGGGTGGAACTTTCTGTGACATAGAAATGTGCTCTGATTATCGGTATCAACAACGAGTCAAAGACGTAATACATAAGCTCCTGTAAGAGCTCGCACCGCTTCGAGTAGTCGGATTTACTCATTTTTCCTTTGAGATTTCCAGGGTTAAACAGCCAAGTAATGGAGGTTATGCGAAAACCTTGTAGCACTTGATGCAGCGTCATACTCTCAAAGCGGCGCATCTGTACAAAGTCGTCGACCTTGTTGAGTATCATCTTCCGATTTTCCTGACCATCTAGTCCACTTCCGAAGGCATTGCGTGGGAGCAAGCTGGAGACGACGGCGCGACAAAAGGCCGATACTCTAGCCGCAGGAGTCGCATGTGGCAGGAACGAGGTATCGCTGTCATGTCCCTTGATTGGTGTGTCCGCCCTCGCTTTCGATGTCCCAGAGAGCAAGTGTTGTGTGACCAACGGGTCTGAGCTAGGCAGGGACAAATCGGCTCGCCCTGGTTGAGCGGCCTGACCTTGACATTGGCTCGAAATAAGAGGGCAGTAGTGTCTCAGAAGCTGGCTGTACGAGCAAGCTTTGTGATTCCGATGGATCTTCCGGACGAGTCGAATGGTTTCGCCACGGAGTCGACGTGGAGTCCAGCTTGGGGATCTCTTTCTCTGGCTAGTGATTTCCTGTTCGCGAAAGGTATAATCAATATATTTCTGAGTCGTCTCGTCTGCACGGGCTTTCGACCGGAAGACATTGTGAAGCCCAAATTGCCGTGGAAAGATATACTTCAGAAGGTGAACAGCCTGACGCTGATCGGTGTCGTCCGCGAGCCTCTGTAGAACGTGGGTATGATGGAGTCCGAATTTGACCTTGCCAGCAGCACTAAAAGACGGCCTGGCATATAGCATTCGGTGCCTCGCAAAGCTAATGCTATTAACACTCAGGACGTGCTCCTTTCCCGCATTGCTGGGAGGAGCTCGCTCGGCGCGAGCAGGCTTGAGTTCCGGCAAGTCTGACAGGGGGATGCCACTGAGTTGGAAGTAATTGTCCTTCCCACTTTCAATCCGTGTGAAGATACCGCAGTCTAATAGAAGACTGGAGAAGATGACCTCAGCATCTGCACCCAGCAGAGGCAAGATATCCGACCACGGGGCAGTCTTCAGAGCGGTCAGATTGTCGTTAGGATGCCTTCGGATGATACCAGGCAGCGAAGTGGGCGCCGCTCCCCGACGGTCTTCGTGGACAGCTCCTCTCTGGAGACCATGACAAAGAATGTGGGAAGGCCGACCACGCTTGGTCAAGTCACCCCTGAATAGCGACCAAATGACAAAGTCGATAACCTGGAGTACACGTTAGATCTTTTTCTTCGAATACCGCGGGCCTGATATTCCCTACCTCATCTATGCAACACGGCTGGGCTCGGCCTGTATTTGCCCCTGTTGCACGGGCCTGGGTTTGAGTAAACGTCGCAAATTCAATCCTGCGCGACTCTCGGACAGAAATCGAAGGTTGCGTCAACAAACCCACTAAGCAGGTGTCGAGGATGGAAGTGGCCTCATCCTTTCCGAACCCCGTCAGCTTCCGTCTCCGCACCCGAGAACTGGTGGGCAGGCCCGCAAGCAGATAATTCCTCAGCGTGCAGACTTGAGGATAGAAGGATGATAGCACAGAATGGTGCAAGTAGGGCGACCGTTCCCGCACACCATTCTGATCACGATTGGCGGATTTTGCTCTCTTCTGCGCGCGATTGGATGTTGTCTCAGGACATTTTCTTTTCCTTGCCATGAGCACACGCTGGCGGACGCGACGCGGGCAGAAATTTGCGGGTTGAGGAATCCGCCTGCTTCAGGATCAAGCACGTGAAAGTCTTCTATGCGTGCGCGCAAAATGTCCCTTCGTCGGAGACAAACCCTTGGCGCAGTGATACACGATATTAACTCTCGAATGTTGGGTAAATTAATATGGCGTCTTCTGCTTCAGCATTCGGGGTTCGCGACTGGGTTCAGGTCAGACGCGCGGACATGGATTGGAGTCGGAGCTCACGAGAGTATCTTCGGCACATGGATCTCTCAAACACCAACGCGTGTTTCAAGCTGACCAGAATCTCTCGACCGCCGGAAAGCAATCACAAACACGTAGGGAATAAAAGTGCGTGGAACGCGCACAGTCGTATGAAGACGCGTGAAGCCCATAACCCGCCACACGCCACAATGCGATGTAGCACCAGTAGCACCAGTAGCGCTGCGTAAAGTGATCAATCCCCGCGCGAACGCGAGAACACCAAACTAGGTACCCGGACAAGCACGAGTAGGTACGAGAGTTACCCGTGCCGCAGATTTGCGCGGATTCGGTGGGGTTTCATAGGCAAAGAGTGGACTGAAAAACGTTCGACGTCGGGGCGCTATCAACCCACTATCAAGGCTTGTCGATGATGATGACGGCACGATGTGGACTTGACAGGGTGCAGTTGTACCTATGCAAAGGTTTGTTTAACTAAACGGGCATAGACAAAGCCGATGGAGGCCCCGAATGCTATCGAGATGTCCAAGAGTGACGCTAAACGCCCTGCCCAACGCGAACCTCGGGCCTCTAAGGACTCGGTTGTGGTTATCTTCGATTCCAGGGTGCCCAACAACGGACTCCAGTTGTGCGCAGTGACTACCAGAGATGGCATTGTCATTGCCACATACACTGGGCTGTTATAGACACGACTACAATCTTAGCAGGTCGATTGCTGGTCCCAACGTGCTGGTTTCTTTGTTTAGTGTCCCGCAAACAACCAGAAGCAGCGTCGAGAGGATTCCGCTTTGCGGCCGGTGACTGGAGTCGGCTAACGCTGAACTAACTGTCGCCTGTGTTCCTCTAAGCTGACCAATGCTTGTCATTGTTCCCTGGAGCCTTTGATGGTGCCCGTAAACTAGTGAAGGAAGGGACCAGGCTACTAACGCTAAGGAGTCGGCTCTACCGCTCTTGCTGGGCCGAAGTTGGCTGTCATTTTACGTTCACCATCTACCGACGAGCACACCACCACCTCATGAACCGCAGCCTGACCACGATAGCCATCCGCGACATTCGCTACCACATACCATTCCACACTGCACCAATCTATAGGGCGCGTAGGGCATTCGAGAGCTGTATCGGCATCGTTTCCTGCGTCCAACTGTCGCAGCCAGCAGACGTCAATTATCCGCCGCACTGGCTTTCCGTTACCGTCGCCTCACCGGTTCCAGAACTCTCACAAACAATCCACAACATCTCGGTCCACCCGTGCATTCACGAGCGATCCCCACGCTTTGTCTTGGCCTAGTGAGACAACCGGTATACTCCTAAGACTTCGCTGTTTCCCAGTGTGCCGCGCCCGGCGTCTGAGGCCACTGCCCAGCGGGTCGACTTGTGAGCACCACGGCTCCGCGCAAGAGAAGGATCGGCGAGAATCATATCGACAGAAAGCAGATCAGCAGTGCAGCTGAATCCAAAAGCTGACCATGGTGGGCTTGGGCAATGCATCTGGGCCGTAGCATTCTCCATCACCAGCCACGAAGGAAGGCCTCTTTCTCAAGATGCCCTCCGCGGTATCGAGCCACGGCAACTACTACTCCGCCCACCATCGTCGACAGTCGTCCCAGTCGCAGACCAATCTGCCCGATCAGATTAGAAACAGTGGGTTGCCGGCCCAGTCGCCAAATCGATCTCTTGTCTTTCTCCCCTCCACCGCCTATTCCCCGTCGCAGCCAATAACCCAGCGTTCTCGGACTTCGTCTCTGTCAACCGCTTCAAGATCGACCTCAAGGCTGGATACCGTGCGGATTGAGGAGATCCCAAATGATCCTCACGATTTCTACCGCCAGTACCAAGATCCCTTCACGAACGCATCCCCTGTAGCCCTCCACCAAGAGGCCATACGGACTGCGCCGATAGAGCCGGTAGAGGAGGTACCCCTCAATGACAGAAAATCCAGTTTCAACGCTGATGAAAGAACACCAAAGACGGCAAGAAATGGGGCAGGCGGCCGAAAGCTGTCGTTAACCACCCAGACCTTGCCGAACGGCGCCTTTCCTGGTAGCGGTTCGAAGCCTGCCCCGGCCATGCCCAATGGCTTAAGGTCGAGGAAGGCTTCGTTCAAAGATCTGGTGGCCAGATTCGATGCATCGTCTGACGATATCCCCCCTCTACCGTCCCAACCCATATCGCGTCCGGCATCAAGGACTGCTAGTCCCATGCCTTATGGCTCGGTCGACACCTCCCACTCTTTCCAGCCGCCCATGAAGCGCCCGCCATCAAGAACCTCCGAGTCAACGAGAAGGGCAGGAAGTGCAGTGGGGTTGCGGACTCCCAGCAACGACAGGACAATGCATTCCAGAGGTGCGTCTGCTGCTGGTGGGTTGAGTCAAGTAATTAGCAATCCCGAAGCGCCCGCCGATGGGCGGAAACTATTGTTCGGTGAAGTTGCGCCATCAGCAAGCGATCTTCCTGCTGCCCCAGGCTATGGCATCCACAATGCTCGGCTGAGGAGAGGCTCCGAAGGGTCGTCTATGCGTAGCCCTAATCCAATGTTTCAAACGAAGCGTGGCCAGGCTCATCTCCCAGGGCCGCCAATGTCGCCCTCAGCTGTGCATCCGCCCAGTACTGTCCTGCCGAACGAGGCACAATCCCAGCGCCGGCCCGCTCATCGTCGAGCAAATAGTGATTTCTCGGGGCCCTTCTCAAGAGCCGTCACTCGAGATGGTCGGACCCCATCGTCAACTACAGGGACCAGCGGTCATAGGAATACCGCGGACGCCACGGCCAAATCTCGTATCCCGGTAAGCACACGACATCAGCGGATAGCGTCAGATTCGGCGGCAATCTCCCCCACGGCCCCTCCTACCATCGTACCGCACCACCAGCTTCCGTTCCGAGTGCTCGAACCCGGGCGGAAACACTCGAGTCCTTCGCATTCGCGAGATCGCAGACCGCAGAGTCCTCATAGGCAGGTGCGGTCGCCAGTGCAAATCAAAAGTCCGAACAATAGAGGTCGCGGCACCACCACCGCAAATGGCGAAAAGAGTCCTTCCCTCCGCGCAAACATCATTGCTCCTCCGCCAAAAGTCTCGCCTCCACTGAGAAGTTCGAGGCCACGAATGCCTGTTTCTTCTGCCACGACAGCAGCGTCACGAGCGAAGATGGCAGAGAAGTTTCAGACGATGGCCAAGCAGCAAAGTGACAAGAAGGCTTTCAGGCGTCAAAGACCGCCGGAGCTTAGTGACATCGACCTGAAAGCCCGACGACTAAAGATTACTCAGGCCTTGAGCAGGTCGAGAGAAGGGCATGATCTGAAGGGTGGCACCACTTCCGCTCAGGGCCGTTCATCTAGTCGGTCGGATAGTATGACGCCGTCCTTCGAAGAGTCTGATGAGACTGAGCAGCACCCTCACGAGGCCATGGAAATTCCAGCTGTGGTCGTGAATGAGCCTGCCATCGACACATCAGATGAACGCGCATTCTACTCTGCACTCGGAGAGAGCCCAGGGGACCAGCAAGCATTCACACAAAATGCCTTACGGGTCGTTGAGTCAAGTTCTTCACATCCAGGCGATGAACTAGACTCGCCAACCCTCGGGCACACTGACTCCCCCTTCAGCAACATCCCATTCAGCCTGAATACCCATCTGCAACCACTGCGGGATGAGCAGGAGCCGCAATCCGCAATGACAGAGGGCACGGTGGCGACTGAGGCCACTATGATCGATGTCGAACCCCAGACCGATACCTCACGACTGCAGACTCCGGGCCAATCCCTCTATAGCCAGATCAGTATCCTCCGAAGCCAGGAGTCCACTTCTCCGTTGTCATCCACATCTCAGGCATCTGGCGAGAACTCTGATCATGCTGACCAGGTATCTGTCCACCTCATGCTTCGAAATACCACTTACCTTGACGATGAAGAAGCTGTTGAGAAGGGTTATCGACATCTCGCGCCACTTCCTCAGCCCGAACTCACCCCCTCACGAAGCGATGGTGGAAACTCTTGGACGTCGTCGATAGAAGATTCGCCTGATTCGGAAGTAGATGAGGGTTCAGCCTCTGTCACTCATTCACTCCGTCGGCAAGAAGCGGAATCAGCAGGCGTCGAGTCCGGTTCACATTTCGAGTCGGATCATTCTAGTAACGAGGACGACTCGGGCCGCGATCATCATGCCGCTGATGCGTACACAATCGTGAATAAGGTCCTCCAACAGCAGACACAATCTGGCGTGGTCGATCAGCAACTTGTGGATGACATATACCACCGCATCATTCAAGCCTCCCCCGACCTGGCCGATGTTGAAAACGTCGACGAGGAAAAGGTGCAACACCTGTGTATGCACGAACTAGATGAGTACACCCGTCAATGGGAGCAGCTGGAATCATCGCCGTGGCGGTCGTCAAAGTCCCTCCATACTGAAGAGCAGATGGTTTCCATGCACCAGAACAATGAAGGACAAGGCGATAGTGCTGACCGGCGGGCCGATATCCCCATGTCAAGTCTTGAAACTTCTCTGCCACCACCATCAAGTTGGAAAGCGCATCATAGATACAAATCGAGCCTGGATAGCCCGCAAGACTGGGCTGAAACTTCACCATCTGTCGGCGATTGGATGCAGTTTGCTCTCAAGTCACCAGCCGAACAGCGGCAACCATCCGGTCTAGCTCACGAGGCATACGCAAACGAGGGTTCAACAATTCCAGTCAGCGAAAACGTTCAAGACTTGCACCAAGACGACGACGAGCAGGAGAAAGAGATGTTCGTACCCATGGGTGCTGAGAGGGATATTCCCCGTCCACCTAGTCACTCTCCTCCCCCACCTCCGCCGATAGCCAAGCTGCCAACTAGTGACCAGTCGTCATGGTCTGCCCCGGTGGGTATCAGACCGGCTGTGCCACAAGTGCCGCCACAGTCAAGGCCGCAAACCTCGTTCTCTCAGGTGTCTGCTCGCTCAAGCATGGACCAACAACCAAGGCCGTCCGTCTCCAGCAATACAAGGCCCTCTGTGGATGAGGAGAGCCCCGAGCAGCGCCGGCTGAAGAAGAGACGACATATTCTCAAAGAAATTGTGGATACTGAGTATACCTATGAACGAGATATGAGAGTCCTATGCGATATCTACAAGCAGACTGCTGTTGCAGCCATCAGCGATGACGACATCAAAATCATCTTCGGCAATGTCGACCTTGTCCAACAATTCTCCAAAGATTTCCTCGCCTACTTGAGGCAGGTGGTTAAACCAGCATATGTAATGGAGAGGTCGGACCGACGGAAAGACGCAGATCGCGCATCTACCGTCCAGAGCTCGGCAGCTTCTATCGGTGGCGCACTTGACTTGACGGACGGTGAAAAGGACGAACTCACTAGGGTTGGCACCGCGTTTGAAGCCTCGATGGATGACATGGAAAAGGTATACACGGACTATATCCGGACCCGACACGCTGCAAACAAACGATTGGAAGTGCTTCAGACATCGCCAACCGTGAAAGAGTGGCTCAAGGAGTGCAGTGAGAACTCAAGTGACATAACCAACGCTTGGAGTCTCGATGCGCTGCTTGTGAAGCCAATTCAACGCATCACCAAGTATCCACTGCTGCTCAATCAGCTATTGGAAGCGACATTGGACACTCATCCAGATGTAGAGTTCCTCCGGAGAGCAGCCAGCGAAGTGACTGAGGTCAATGTGCGGATCAATGAGGTCAAGAAACACACCGAGCTTGTTGATCAGGTGCTCAATCGCAAGCGCAAAGAGTCTGACGTCCGGAACGGTCTGACCAAAGCATTTGGTCGCCGCGCCGAAAAATTGAGGCAACATGTTGGAATCAATGAAATGTACGAAGATCAGGAATACGCCAAGATCAAGATCAGCTACGACAACAACATTGCCCACTTATTCCTAGTCACCAAAGACTGCCAAGGCTATGTGGAAGCGATCACCAGGTGGGTTGGTCGCTTGTGCGAGCTGGCGGCGGCGGCAGAGGCGTGGGTGGACGTGGGACATACCAACCACTCACAAGCTGAAAGCAAGCTCAGACAATTCGCAATTGTGGTGCGAGGGATAAACTCGATTGCATTGCCTGACCACAATGAACAGGTGTCGAAGCGTGTCATACAACCGATGGACAAGACAGCAGCGATGTTAGAGAAGTTCAAGGCTGACACCAAGGGGCTCATCCAGAAACGAGAAAAGCGGCTCCTCGACTACAATCAATTCAAGAACAAAAAGGACAGAGGTGAGAAGATTGACAAGAAAATGACCGAGCGGATGGAGCAATGGGAAGCGCTGAATTTAGAAGCCAAAGAAAGGATGAAGCGCCTTCTGCGATCAACCGCTGATCTTGTTCATGCTTGCCAGGCCAATCTGATCCAACTACATCTCAACTGGCTTGGCATGTGTCGCCAGAAATTTTCGGCCGCGATCGACATTCCCCTGGACAAGGTCGACAATTCTGATATTGTGAAGGACTGGCAGGAAGACTTTGACTACCAGGAAGCGACGGCCTTGACACTGAGCATCTGCAATGGCTCACTGCTAGCCGAGGCGGTCAACATGATTTCGTTCTTGACCCCTGGATCGACACTGAATGGCGAGGAGTCTCCCCGTCAGCCATCGTGGAACAGTATGAAGCGAGCGATATCAGCAAATGAAGAAATTCCGCCGTTCCCAATCAAGGACCATCACCATCGAAACAGTGGAGGTCCAATGAGCTCTCAGAGCGACGATCGGACTGAATGGAGTTCTTCTACATTTGCCAATGGACGGATCCGGACTGGCTCAGCTGCATCTGGACGGCCTCCAAAGACTCCAGAGACAGCAAGTCGAGGTGTGTCTGCCTCGCTCCATACTGTTGACAGCCTGAATCCATCACGACCAGGGACTAGTCCGGGGCTTCCGGCAGACAGTGCAAAATCCGCTCCGAGGTTAAGCTTAGAGGCGCCGTCCCCGTCGCTTGGAGAGCTCTTAACGGAGTCCCCTGTGGCGCTTCGCCATGTCTCAACGTCTTCGTTTTACACAGCAGCTCCTGGTCCAAGCCACTCTCAGCCACACCTCCCTGCGCCAGGCGGAGCCAGCGTGTTTTCTTCGGCGATGCCCATGGAAGATATTCCTCGTCCAACACGAGCAACCCCCCAGCCACGTGAAGTACCGGGGGTCTTATTTACAGCAGCCAGTGTTTATGAGTTCAACATTGATCGATCACGGCAGCAAGGCGGCTTTCGATACCTTACATATGTGACAGGGGAAATCTTTGACATCATTGCCGAACACGGGGAGTTGTGGTTGGCGATCAACCAAGATGATCCAACGCGAGAAATAGGCTGGATCTGGAACAAGCATTTTGCCAAATTGGCCGGATGAGCAACAATGTCTTCTGGCATCAGAGGGTCATGCTATGGCGATATTTTGGATAGTACAATCGCGAGATGTCCACTCGAGCGGTGGAAGGGCGTACCCAATGGAGGGTGAAGCTGGGAGGAATGCCTTTCGGCGGCGTGTCGGGAATCTTGATGGGAGCAAAACCCAGCAAACGCTAAGGCCTGGAAACATTCTTTCATTTCTTGTGATTCGAGCGTTCAAGCGGAACAATGGGGGTTGGCGTTGATATGTACTACAAAAGACACAAAGGGAGGCGCGGCGTCAACTGTACAGTACCAAGGATGGGACATGACTTATGGAAGAAATGCTGAAGACACCAGCGGATGGAGGTATCTTGTAGTTGGAAAGATTCTACGTGGACCTGGGCAAACAATTGAACATCTCTCATGTAGCTTTCCTCTTTCTTTGTCTCATTCCACATGCACTCACAGCGCGTGGATGTCCATGCCCGCATTGATGTGGTACCTGATGAGGCTTTGCTCATGAAGACAGCCGGCTAGTGACGTAGAGGATTTGCTTGTGTTGCAAGTTGGGAACGGAAGGAGACTCCTTTCTCTCATCACCTTCATAGACATCCGGGCTGGCTGTCGTGGTGTGACTGTCTAATTGCATGCTTGAATTATCACCTTTATTATGGATGCAACATGAAGCTGCATTGTCAACAGTCCTGTTTTCTGGTGTGCGGCTAGTGAACAGCCAAAAATAACTGCTATCTCACCACCTGCCTGCGCCGGGCAACGTCCCTCCTCCACCACACGTTTGAGCAGACGAGGAAGGCGGGCGACATGCCTGAACTTCATCCCTTTGGAGGGAGAATGAGCAGGGCCTTTGGAAGAACGGTGGGTTGCTTTGAGTCCTCGCAGGCGTCCCAACCCTGCACAGGACTGTGCTGTGGTTCACAGCCGCCTCTCAACCAACCCTCCCTGTTACCGCCTTGATGATACTACCACACCACACAACCATCGAATTCGGCTAACATGCTTGGTATGGATGAGCAGCTGGCGCCAGAAGACGCATATCTGAGCTGTGAGTGATCCTCTCCCGGCTCTTGCAATCCTCACTTCCAACTCACTTCTTCGTGCCACATTCTAACCCGTCTGTCTCTACCACAGATTATGACATAAGATGTTGGTGCCCTTGCGCTTGCGGCGGTCGCCCCCGGCGACGCTGAACCTCCCTGGCTTGTTGGAAGAGTGCTGGGCTAAATGGGCCGTGATCCCTACAGTGACAAGAGAGGATATTTCCGTGTTGAAGAACGACTGGTTAACAGACAATGTGAGATGAGAAGATTTCTTTTTCCGGCCCCGGCGACGGACGCTGACTCTGTGCGTGTGATATCTAGGTCATCGCCTTCTGGGAAGAGTATGTACACCTCGTCCACGTCGCGCAGCGCCCACATGTCAACAGCAAACGGGCCGAGATCTGACACACTGGCACCGTTAGATATCTGGAACGCGAATACCTCACAAACTATAAGCACAGCCACATTGTCCTCCTCCGACCGACCATGTCGTTCATGCTCATGCAGACACCTGACCCACGAACCATCAAGGTATGAAGGGCATGCTCCTTCTTTTCTTCAAACTCTGCCCTCATCCTCTGTGTCTGCTCCTTCCACTAACGGCGTGTATGTCCGCGCGCGCAGGATGCCCTCCCCGACTTTACAAACGTCACACACATCTTCCTCCCCATAAACGACAACCCCACTGCCTCTGTCGCCGAGGGCGGCACGCACTGGTCCCTCCTCTTGGTCTCGATCGTCGACGGCGTGGCCTTCCATTATGACAGCATGCCGCCCGGCAACCAGCACGAAGCACACTACGCGACCCAGAAGCTGAGCAGGCTGATCAACCGGCCCTTGAGGTTCATCAATCTCAACGACTCGCCCCTGCAGGACAACGGCAGCGATTGTGGCGTGTTTGTGTGCTTGAACATGCGGCACCTGTTGCTGAAGAGGTTGCTGATGGTCAGGACGGACAACAAAGTGAGCATGTCCTTGGGTGGGAGGACCGTCGACGCCGCGGCGGGGCGCAAAGAGATCCTGAAGATCATCGACGAGTTCCGGCGCGAGGGCGAGCGGAGACGCAGTATCAGCAATTCCCCGCATCCGGGGCGCAAGTCTAGGAGTCCGCCGAGGATCGACAGTCCCGGCGCGAATAGGAGCAAGAGTCCGAGGCATGGATAGGAACCTGCCTTTGAGATGGGGAGTGACTCGAGCGATCAAGATGAGGGGGCTGAGGCTTGAACGAGAGCCCTTGAGGGCGGGAGCGGTGCCTTTTTCAACAGTGCGTGATGCTGGATGTGATGTGAGCTGGCACTGAAGAGGGCCCTTACGAATTTCCGGGGGAACATAACGACGTGATGAGATGACACGAGATCAGATCAGATGAGACGCCGATGTTGATGCTTGTTGATGCTGTGCGCACACCAGGCAGGGGCCCATTCCAATGAGTGACGATGATTGACGATGAGCAACGAGCATGACATGAATATCGGGCGGCGCTTCGACCGTACTGCGAGCGGCATTGGGAGACTGACAGCATATACCTGGTATTGGATGAGCTGTTGGACCGGGCGGCGACTTGCTTCCAACAGCCTCCACGACATGCATGAGCACCGAGTTCCCAAACTTTGACGCCTCGCGTTCGCGTGCTCTCCTCTTGTATCCACCCACCACGGCACCACCACCACCACCATACGAGCCACGCTCGTCTAAATTAGAGCGTGTAGATGAAATCCGGCCTCTTGTCGCCCAGCTTCTCAATCTCCTCGTCGGTCTTGCCTTGGACCCAAACATTCCTCCCTCCAGCCAGACGCTTCGCATTCTCTCGTCGAAGCAAGACGTGTTGCAGGACTGAGCCGCCAAGGAGGAACAAGGCTTCATAGGCCAAAACCACCGCATGGCCCGGCTTGAAGCGTGGTTTGTCTTCGGCGCGATAGATGTTGCTGGACACGATTCCTGGAGCAGGGCGTTAGTGGATGTCGATCAGATGATGGCCGTGGACAAGAAGATTGAGATGCTGCTGCTCGAAGGCTTGGGGGAACAGCCACGAGATATGGCCTCCTCATCTTGGTTTGATGGGTTCCTCGTGTAACTGAGAATACGAGCGTGCTGGGTGCTGAACTTACCATTCAGATTTCCCCACCCAATCACGAATCCCAACGCTATACCTCTCTTATAGACACCCTCGACGTTGTTGGCCGTCCAAGAGATCGTGTTCGGGATGCAAGGGTAGATTCCCATTGCGCCGAGGAAGGTGCCGGCGTATTGAACGTGCGGTTGCCCTGAGCCGAGAAGCATGGCGAAACCTATGATCCCGAAGAAGGACATGACCATGTTGCAGTAACCTGAAGGACCTGTCAGCAAGGGACCAAGGAACAGGCTCACAGTGATGCGTACCTCTCTGTCCCGTTCGATCGGCGATAAAGCCGACAGCGACGGTGACGACGGCAGCGACGGCATAAGGCGGAACACTCAGCAGTTGGGCGTGGATTGACTTGTACCCCATTTGTTGAATGATGGTCGGAATGAACAGCGAGAAGGCGTACAGTGCACCGTCACAGCCCATATAGATGATGGCTCCTGTCAACGTCTTCCAGTCCTTCAGCGCGGCCCACAGGTAGTCCAGTTTGAATTCTTCGTGCTCGGCACTCGATTGCTTGTCGAGTTTCAGCCGTCGGATCACGCGGCGCCGGTCGTCTTCGCTGAGGAATTTAGCTTCGTCGGGGAAGTCATGGACCTGTCGCTCGTGTTAAAGAGGCGTCATGGTCAAAAGCAATCGAGTGCTACTGTACGTACCATGAAGAAGGAGGCGGCCGCTACAAGGATCGTGGCGAGACCTTCAAGGATAAAGATCCATGCCCAGCCTGGTTTACCTCCAACTCCGTCCATCTGCACGATAGCCGCCGCAAGGAGACCACCGAAGGATCCAGCAAGGGCTGCTGCAGAGAAGAAAATAGCGGCACGGATACCGAACTCGGAACGCTTGTACCAGCATGATAGGTAGTAGTTCACACCTGGACGTCTGTCAGATGAAATCCCTATCGCCTAATGGGAGGGCAAGCCAACGCACCAGGGAAAAGACCTGCTTCGGTCAAGCCAAGGAACCATCGTGATGCCATCAATCCCTGGAAGTTGTGGACAAGACCCATGGTAGTCATACAGATGCCTGCAGTAGGAGGACTGGTCAGTAATAGAATTCACCACGCCTGTGAAGCCCGTCTTACTTACCCCATAGTACCATGATTGTGGGCAAGAATATCGAGGGCTTGAAGCGCTTCAACAAAATCTGGGTCAAAGGCTCGAAAAGCGAATACGAGATGAAAAAGATGGTCAACGTGTCATTGTATTCGTTGTTGGTCAAGTTCAGGTCTTCTTGAAGCCCATCGATTTTGGCATTTCCAATGTTTGTTCTGTCCAAGAAGGAAATGAGGTAGAGAAAGGCGAGCCATGGGATCAGTTGAAGATCGAGCTTCCAGAGCAAGGCGCGGTCCTGGTGAGCGTTAATGCCACAATCGCACCCCCAACAGCACGATCAAGTCGGCACCCACAATTTTCTTCCGCTCTTCTTCGCTCAAGCCTGCATCGGGATCAGGGATGTCGAGGATATCAACGGGCCGTCCACCTTCAATGTGCTTCTCATTCTCGGACGGCGCACGAGCATCGTCCGAGTCGGAAATCTTGGGATCAGTCCTGTCCATGGCGATGAGCGATCAGGCCGGGTGGGTATGTCCTGTGATAATGTGGCAGCGACCGCGCAAGCTATATAGAAGTAAAGAGAAGCCCCCAACTCGAGAAGGGATCAAGAACGGGGTTACACAGATGCGATGGGATATTTTTAATCAAGATGGACAGAGGAGGCCTGGTGACCACTTGCAGAGAACGACCTGCAGCTACTACCGGCATTAGAAGTCCTGTCGTGCGCGAATGGACGGAAGACGTCAGGCTGGATGCACATCCTGGCATGATAATGCTGTCCTTCCTCATGGGGTGCTAGCTCGGTGAACGTCGCAACGGGGATCGGAGGCATGTGGTAGAATGAGCGTGGATGATAGACAGGCTCGTGTCATCGTGCGGTGGGTGTGCGGATCTGGGCCAGCCATTGACGTCGAAGACACTCTTGTCTCTACCAAGCTCCCGTGCCCAAGACACGCTAGAAGCATGCTGGAGAAAGGTTCCACCGGCCCTACAGGCTCGACAGGGCTCGCCATCCCCCAAGGCTGGGGGCTTGTGGTCAGCCAAGGATATGCGGGGAACCCCGGGGCTGTCGGTCATTTGCCGGTCAGAGGATAGTTTGTGGGCGAAGTGCCCGAAGCAGATCAGCACAGTCGGCAGGTGAGATGGTGCGCGCATCAACGTTGCATTCTCAACCCCCCGAAACTCGCGGTCCGCCTAAGAATTTAGACGGGATGTGCGCGGTATGTGGGTGGCATGCGAGCTTCGTATCTCATGTGCCTGGAAGCCCGGATACCCGGATGAGCGAGTGGATAAGACTCTTTCTGGGTCGCTTTGCCCAGCCTTCAATCCGCCTTCAATCGAAGTTCGGCCTTTTTCAACCATCGGCTTCCGTACAATACGGTGCAGGCCGGGGTGATCGGCAAAACGTCCGACGTCGAGACTGAGTCCTTGAGAAGGCGGTCATTTCCTCGCTTGCAATAGCATAATGCAGCCAGCTGGCTCCGTGAGCATGCTGTTGTCGGTATTGTGAAGTTGTGGAAGTGAAGAGGAGGACGCCTCGACAATCTAGCTCGCCGCTCCCAACAGGTGGCGCAGGCGTGGCAGGGCCCAAAGTCTCCAATTCATTCCAAACTTGAATGATAACTGATCATACAGTGACCCTCATTGTCGGTTGTATTGGTGCCTTGATCTAGTTGGAGGAAGAGAATGTGTTGTCATGGACATCTGTTTCCAGTGTTCAACCACACTGCGAGATGAGAAAGACAGCCATCATAAGGGATCGAATCGAGGGTGCCTGATCTGGAGGAGCTCTTGTTTCAGTCTGACGTTGTTGTCGATGTTGATATGGTAGGAGCGACAGTGACCGTGACCGTGAGGCCGTGATGGCGAGTCTGCTCTTTCCTCACGCGTTCTTCGCCAGCGAGCACGGCGTCTTTCACATCATCTCCCGCTTTACCCTCCATCATCCTCGACTCTTCTCCGCTCACATGCAGTTTCTCACTTCATCCTGTCGTGCTTCATTCCTTCGTCCTCTTCATTTCTTCGTGTGCATCATCTTCCCTGTCCCTCTTGCTCACTACTCATCATGACTTCAAGGATGAGTGAGCGACTGTTCAAGTATCCTCCCATGGAGCGCCAGGATCTCAATCAGTCTCAGCTCGGGAGCTTCAAGTTCACCCCGGTCGACCCCGTGGACCTCAAATCCCTCACACAGTCCGCGAATCAATTCCTTGAGCAGCAGTTTTTCCAGAGACAGAGACTATCTGTAGCGTCAGCTTCTTCAACAGGGGCTTTTCAAGACAGTGCCAGCACGTTGTCCTCTGATAGAGGGGCCCATCAGCCAAACCAATATGCAATCGATACCGAATTTTTCAACAAACACATCAAGCCCGATCTTGGAGATTCTCGTCTGCGCCTGGGTCCTGCAGCCCTCCGATCCGCTGTCGACGGAGCCAGCCCAGCAAAGAAACAGTCGTTGATCCACGTCCAGCCGGAGCCTGACCTCTCCGTGAAATATCATCGTCCGAGCAATTCTATTAACGTAAGTGCCACGCTTCGATTGTGGCACGTTCTGGCTGACAATCCATTCGGGTTTCACAGGTGACCTCTCCCCAATACCCGGCAGCCATCATGGATCCGACAGCTGCCACTTTCATGCCTACAGCCGATGCCCTCAGCCCAGCCGTTTCTGACCCTGTTTCGATCAGCGAGACCTTGTGCAATGCTCTTGCAAACGAACAGCGTACCCATAATATTACAAAGGCGACCCTGGCACAACACATCACACGATGCATTGAGCTGGAGGATCAACTGAGGAAAAGTAAGCAACAAATTGCGAGCATGACCGTCACGATCAAAAGTCTCGGTGCCATAATCAAACACAACACCAGCAAGCAGAACTCCGAGCAGGATGGGTCACATACCACACTGGGTTATTCCGAGGAAGCTGAAGAAGTTGCTTTACGGGATTTTTATCGTGAATATAACAGGCTCAGGGGAGCAGCCCAGAAGGGAGAAGAAGGGACGGGCAAGGGAAAGGAGCTTGACAACAACGATTCACGTCAGGAGAATGATCCAACAAAGCAGGAAGCGGTTGAAGTCGTCGATGATGCCCAGCTTTACAACCTCGACCTGCTTGTGAAACCAGACGCTGGCGATTCTGCCGAATCCGTCTTGCGTCGAACCCTGCGCAAACACTTCTCCCTCGACAGCAGTGCAGATGACGGTAAAGCACCGGAGACTCCTCAAAATAAACGTGACACTCTCACCAGGCTGGTTGATATTTCCCCTGAATCAGGCGCTGGTAGCAAGGACGCCATGCGGGCAAAAGGACACGTCCCAGTGACCAACGGCAACGGAAGCCTTACTCGGACCCAGATTCGACCATCGGTGAGTGGGCAGATCTAGTCAATTGATTATCAACACTAACAATAGACAGACTACAATAGATACTAAACTAAGCTCAGTAACCGCTCACTCCCTGTGTCTGTCACCTGGCGCGTATCACTGACCGTCACTCAGAGCAGCGAAGTTGTCGCTAAGAGCGGCCACCAGAATGTTTCTCTGTCCTTGAAAGAGAAGGTTCGTTTGCCCTTTCCTCAGGCGTGCGAGGTCTTAACCCAGCATCCAGTGTAACGGTGCTGATCTCGAAATGGAGCACATTGGGAACCTTGACGCTCTGGGCCGCTCCGAGGACGCAGTGAAGCCTCCACAAGATGTGAAGGACGGCGGACTCAGTCCGATCTCCTCAGCAAATGATGAAGATGGAAGGTCGACCACTGCAGTTGTTTCTCCCACCAACCAGCCCAGGAAAGAACGCATCACACTCAAGATCGGCAGTAATCTTTACGGAGAAACGAAATGGCTCATCAACAAAGACTACCCCATCTTCGAGACTGGGGAGGAGAAGTTCGAGGCCGTCGGCGGGAACGGAACTGCTTTCCATCGCAACAGCCCCTTCCCGAACCATCCAGTTCGCTACCTGCCTGAGGATGCAGCCAGCACCATCGATGCCTATCGCACCGTCATGATCGACGAGATTCCAGCCGGAAGCACCATGCTCGACGTGCTCAATATTGTCAAGGGTGGCTCCGTGGAGTCTATACAGTTGTTCCCACCCATCGGCAACGCGACCTCTTTCATGACAGCTCGAGTCGTATTCGTATTCGAACGGTCTGCGCACAACATGATTAAGCACCAAGAGGCCAAATCCAAGGAGGATGCCGGTGCAAGGCGATTCAAGATCAAAGATGTCGTCGTTCGCTGCTGGATGCCCACCGACCCAACTTATCCACGCAACTACGAAGTCGACCACGAGATCTTTGGCGACAATCAAGCTACGCGAATCATTTTCGTTGATAAAGTCGACGAGTACGTCTACAACCTGCTACCGTACAAGATCAGGTCTCCCTACGATCAACATGTTATTGAGTACAGCTACACCGTGGAGGGCAGTGCTTCAATCGAGTTCAGCGACATCAAGAGTGCGATCAAAGTAAAGGCCATTCTGGAGAAAGATCGAGGCATGTGGCCTGCTCAACTGCGGTACGCCGAGGACTACACCTGCGTCCCGTATGTCCATGGTGAGCCAATGGGTGCTTGAGAGGAATACGGCACAAGGGGAGTTGCGCCGGAGAGGTATAGCAAATTGGCATAGATTAACCTCTATGCAGCCAATCCCAACTGCATGGTAGTTACACATTAAACCTTTGCAAGTGCCCACACGCAATCACATCAGAGATAGCAAAGAGGAGGCATGAGGTCGTCGAATGCCGCCGTAGTCTTCCTTTCCCGAACACTGCCGTTCCCCGGTAGTGATGTCGTTGGAACAGTTTAAGCTCTCTGATCGCTCATACCTCCCTCCTCTTAACAGACATCGGCTGGCTAGACTGGATGCCTGGGAGGAATCCACTCCGGTATCTCGCCACCATGCCCATAGCTGGCTGACACTTCGTCGGGCGAATTCAACTTGAGATTGAACAGATGGTCGCCTCGGATCACGGTGTGGTCTTGGCTGATACATTCACGATGCTTACGAGGGATCCTCATCAGGGGTCATTGCGTCGCCCTACTCCTTCGCTACATGATTTCCATCACTCACTCAATTTAGCGGCCGAATGGTTTCTCAACCGAAAGTACTTGAATCAGACGTGCCTTCTGATCACTAGTGAGAGGGAGCTCAATAGCATACTATATTTTCCTGTGCAACCGGCTCCAAAATAGAACAAGCCTCGATTCCTCTCGTCCCCAGACTTATCCGAAGTGGAACAGGGTCTCTCCCTTCTTCCCCTTCTTGCCCCTTTTCTTCCCTGCGGTCTCGCCGTCGTGGTCACCGCCGCTGCCGGACAATCCTGTACTGCCTGCCGCTGCGGCTACGGCAGCTTGCGCCTGCGCGGGCGTGGGAGTCGTACCACCGCCGCCGCCCCAGGGATTGAGGGGTGTCGCTGTCCCCGATCCAGAGGGCGAGGCAAGCCACTTCACCGAGCCCCGCGTGTTGAAGCCGACCATCATCGTATTCGGCTTGGGCGCGGCTGGAAGGGAAGGGAATGCATCTTCCGTCGCGCGAGGCGGGGCAGTCTGACGGGCATTGGTCTTCTGGCGGAGCGTGGATGCCGTCGTGGGTGGCGGGCGGTATGGCGTTGCGCTCATGCTGGTGTTCGAGATCGACGGAGCCGAAGTGTTCCCCCACGCTGGCGGGATTGACACGGCAGAAGCACGAGAAGAGCCACCGTTCGCAGCCGACAGCGCTGGGAAAGGGTCTTGGCTTCGGCCATTGGCGACCGAGTTTCCCCAAGAGTCTTGTCTTGCCACTGCTGAGCGAGATGATTGTGCTGTGCTTTTCTTGAGTGTCAATACTCGTCGACCGCTACCAGCGGCGCTTGACACTCCAGGCAGCGTGCCACTGGGACCGGGCAGACTAGGGTAATCCTCGTTGATACTCCGCCAATTGTTCCACGCCTCAAGCAAAGATTGCCGCTTCGTTTCGTCCTCGTACAAGTCTGCCAGTTCACGGATCAGCTTCCCCAATTCTGAGCTGGGGCAGTCAAATAGGGAGAAGAATGCGTCAATCAATTCGTTTGCAGAGCTGGTGCCACTCCGGTAGGCGGAAACATGAGTACGGAATTGGGACAGTTTCGTTTTGTCGTTCTTGAGAAGCGATGTGGCACGTTCGGTTACTGCCTGGTGGCGCAGTGCCCTCCCTTGCTCTTGTGGGGTCAGATTCGCCATGGAGACTGGTCTCTCCTCCAGAGTGAGGTTGTCCATGGTGGGAAGTGATGGAGCTGGCTGTGGTGATGCCGGCTGCGGACGGCTGACAGGAGTAGCCTGAGTGAGTTGTCCTCCGAAAGTCCTGCCTGATACGGATTGGGAACTTTGAATCGCGAGTTGACGTTGATAAGCCAGCTCTGCTCGTCCGATGGGCTGCGCACTGGAAAGCGGTAGTGGCTCAGCATTCGGGTCTCTACCTCTTCCACTGCCACGGTTGCCGCGATCTCGATCTCTTCGCGGAGGCTGGTAGGCTTCGCGGAGGTTGAATCCTGACAGATTGACCAGACGTGCGTCTCTGCGTGCATCCTTCGACAGCCCATTTGGGTGTTCTGAGAGTTGATGTGCTTTCAAGTCCATTTCGGACTCAAAGACATTCGTCTTGTTGGCCTGACATTCGGCATCCAGGCAGACAAAGTGCTCGGCTGCAAAATGTTTTTCGAGTTCCTGGTAGTTTAGGTAGTACTGGGGATTCCTGCCGCCATTTCTCCTGTCACAGATGTGGCACCTCTCGTGCTTCTCTCGGCAATGGCTGTAGAGCTCGTCGTCCCCGTAGAACCGCTGCTTACAGAAGCCGCATTCAGGATGTCCCTTGAAGCCAGACTGGTCTACGGCCCCTGGGTTGTCGTCCCCGAATTTCTCATGTTTCCGCAGGTCGCCAAATGTGAACAGCTCATGCTCGTGGGTGAAGACTTTCTTGTTCCTTGTGCACAGATCGCACATCATCTTCCCATGTTTGCTTCTGACGTGGCGATGTAGGTCGGGCCAGCCGAGGCATGCGACATCACAGTCTTTGTCTGGGCAGTTGTACCGGAGGAGCAAGACGGTATCTTCCAGGATGACATCTTTTTCATATTTGATCCCAAGATTGTCGTCGATCTTGACAAATTCATTGTCCTTCCAGTCCTCGTATCGTTTCTCGGTATTGTCAGTGAAGATCACGAAGGGTGCTTCTGTCTGGAGGTCTAGTCAGTGTTTGCTCATGAAGAAGAGCTACGGGGCTACTCACCCGGCAGTGAGCACATGCTCGTGTCTTGTAGAGTGCCCTCAATCTCAACGAACAAATATGGCATGTCTGGTGGTTGCAGGGAGCAACAGAGATATGCTCAATAGGACTGGCACAGATGAAGCAGAGTTCCTGTTCTTCGGTCGCTACAACTTCAGCCTCTGCGACGTTCTGTCCAGATCGAGGGTCTTTGGAGTCGCCTTCGGTTCTCGAGGCAGCTTCGGTCAGGCGAGCACCGAAGCCGCCTCCCGGTGGTCTTCCTGAGCTGGCTTCCGCAGCAGATTGAGGTGAAAATGTGGTGAGGGTGGATGTGCCGTCTCGTCCATGTCCTCGCCCCCGCCCGCGCCCTCTTCCTCCTCTTGTACCTCGACCTCCTCTCGAGCTGCTACCTAGGCCGCCGGTGTCAGGGGAGTCCTGGTCGAAAGATCCGTTGCGATTGTGTTGGTGCGATCGATTGCCTCGGCCTCGCTTCCCGCCGCGGGGCGTCGAGGACAATTGGGTCGTGGGTTCTGTGTCGGCCATGTTGAGGTGTGCAAACAGATCCCTGCGACGGCTGTTGTGGGGAATAGGTTCGTAGTAGGTTGAGGAACAATTCGTGGTTGCCAGTTACTAGTTACTTTAATTTACTCGATATATTCAGCGACGGCTTCAGCACAACCACGCAGTGGTGGGGCAAATAAATGCTGGTCACAGCAGCTTGCAGCAGCGTGGAAGTCAGAGTCAGGAACCGGCAAATGAGATGCCAGGGATGCACCACTCCACTCTCTGGATTTCTTCCAGATTCCCTTCCGGGAGCTGCGCACCAAAAGACCAGTTACAATGTAAGGCACTTGCGGTCATTCATAACATGTCCGAGTCACGCCGAGTCAAGTGAGTCATGTCATGCTCGTCCATGACTGCAAGCGAGATGGTCGCAAAAAGCAGCGAGTGTTGGTTAGTCAGCAAGGCTGTCGCTCCTGACGTCAAAAACTGACTGCTAGATTGACGAATCTACCCTATCGTCCCCATTGTCCAATATTCGTGGTAACCTGTCCGTCGTCAAGATGTAAAACCATATGCTCAGATCCATGCGAGCGAGAGGAAGCTCGCCTCAGTGTTTTGATCCCACTCCTGCCTTTACAGCGCCTGTAGAGGGAAACGCCGACCTGTCGTCGAAGCATTATGTCGCTAAAGAGCTCATCAAGCACGGATGAAGCACACAGAAGGCAATATTGCTCTGATACGCCAAGCTCATTATCACCCGCTCCTCAGCACGACACCATCAGAAGCTCATTCGTCCGGGTTGTAAACCTGTTGGGAGATCAACTTGGTCATGGTGAACATATGGACCTTATCTTGCTTGAAGACCTCTCGCATTCGGGCATCGCAGATAATGAAGCGCTTGTCGCTCGGATCCTGCAGGTCGTTACCCTTGATGTAAGCCCAAATCCGTTTTGTGATCTGAGGTCTCGACATCTGCTCGGCGTTAGAGGTGGCTAGTCAAACCAAGCGGCATTCCTTACCTGAGTCTCGCCGTCGAAGAGATTTGAAAGTGCTGGAGATAGATTCAGCGGTTTCTGAAACCGTCAGTAGGTCGTTCCACTGTAGTGACCCACACAACATACGTGGAAACCTGTATCCCGCTTCGGCTTGGACTCTTTCTCCTCTCCATCGATCTCCGAATCATCCGATGCCGTTATGCGATCTTTCTTGGGCTTCTTTTTCTTCTTCGTGGGGGCCGATTTGCGAGTGCCGCCGCCCCGTGTTGGTCGCGCCATTTTATCCTCTTCAGCCTGCAGCTTGGCCGCAAATGCGGCATCGGCGTCGACCGTAGATTTCTGCTTCTTCTTCGGTGGGGATGTATCTGCTAGATCCGAGACCTCGTCGCTCTCTGCCACGCGTTTGGAGGGTGAGCTCTCGGATGAATGGTGAACACCATTGGTCTGAGGGGTCGTCTCTACGGGTTCCGCTGGCTCGACAGACGGTACCACTGTAGGTTCGCCATTTCGCTTCGCGTTCGCAATGTCAAACCGTTCGCCAATCAAAGCCTTGATAGCATTCTATTCTCGTGAGTCAAGAACTCCTCTCGAGCGAAAACCCCATGCCAGCACCCACCTTCTGCGGAGTGATATCATATTCCACCTGGTCTTGTATGCCTTGCCGGATGCTCTTGGTCGTGATTGTGGTGAGATCAGCATTCTCGAGAATTGAATCTATGATTGTAACATAGCGTGCGTGGACTTCGGGAGGCACTGCTGAGAGTCAATAAACGGAACCGAGCATTGCAGCCACGGCAAACTCACATGACATCGTGACCAGGTTTTCCGAACGGGAGAGAGGAGCCAGAAACAAGGGCAACAAGTCAAAACCCAGAGGCGACGAACGAGTCGAAACAAAGTGAGTGATAAGTCATGCGCCCATCTACATCCTCCACCTCCCGCACGTCGGCTAGTGACGGGCTTAGGCTGAGCAGCAGAGACGTGGAATGATTTCGGCGTTCTGAGGCAGGCAAGCCACACACCGCGCAATTCGACCACGCAGATAGAGCAAGGGTATGCGACAGGCTGGCCAGAGGAACCTCGCTGCTGGAAGGTGTTTGGTGGTGGGCTTCACAGTAAACCGCGATGGTGAAGATGCGGGATCGTCTCCAACTTGAATGACTAAGCATTGCAGATCACGTGGTAATTTACTCTTGGCACCGACACAGAGACCCACACTCGAGAACTTCAAGTTCATCAAGTTCATATCAGTCAGTGCCTGAGCCGTGTTCTGCTGCAGACCACGACACAGCATAGCCAGATCCAACGAATACCGCAAACATGGCTCCAGGATTCGATCAGCTGTCGGACCACGACTACGATGACGATCTTGAGAACATCGATTTCAGTGATCTCAAAGAGCGCTACGATGTGCGCATGGAAGAGGGCCTCGACACTTTCGTCGTACGTATGCTGGAATTCAAGGCCCGTGAGAACACGCGCTGACCTGAACAGGTCATTGACGGCCTTCCATTAGTGAACCAAGAGCAGAAAGCCAAACTCATCAAGTTCCTGCTCAAGAGACTCAACTCGGTTGGCAGAATCAAGGATGGCGAGGAATCTATTTTTATGCCCATGAATGATGAAGGCATGTCTGAGGGGTATGTTATATGTTGTCAATTTTCGCTCCTATGCCTGACTCAATACAGTTTTGCCTTCGTCGAATATCAGACCCCCGAACAAGCGATCGCCGCCACGAAACAGCTGCACGGACAGCCACTCGACAAGAGACACACCCTCGCAGTCAACAAGCTCACCGATATCGAAAAATACGGCAGGGAAGGAAGAATAGACGAGGAATACCACCCGCCGGAGATCGAGCCTTTTGCGGACCGAGAACATCTCAGATCATGGCTCTTCGACCCGCAAGCTCGAGATCAGTTCGTCATGTTCCGCGGCGACAATGTCGGTGTGTTCTGGAACAACAAGAAGGAACCGCCTGAGCCCATCGTTGATCGCAAACATTGGACACAACTGTTTGTCTCGTGGTCACCCCAGGGGACATATCTCGCCTCGATCCATCAACAAGGTGTGCAATTGTGGGGCGGATCGTCGTTCAAGAGAATCAGACAATTCCCACACCCATTCGTCAGCCTGATCGAATTCTCCCCTGGCGAGTCATACATAACCACCTGGTCGAACCAACCCATCGTCGTTGAAGAAGGAAAAGGACCCCTGACAATTGATGAAGAGGGCAAACACATCATCATCTGGGATATCGAGACGGGAAAACCACTCCGAGCCTTCCACGCTCACGATTTGACGCCTCCTCCGGGCACCGATGTGGCAGCTCTTCCTCCCAAAGCTAAAGTTCAATGGCCAGCCTTCAAATGGTCAGCGGATGAAAAGTATGTCGCTCGCATGAAACCCCACGAAAGCATTTCCATCTACGAACTGCCTCGGATGAACCTGCTGGACAAAACTTCGATCAAAGCCGAAGGCATCATGGATTTCGAATGGTCTCCGGCCATCACCCAGCGCGAAGGTATTAAAACTTACGAATCGCTCCTCTGCTATTGGACCCCCGAAATTGGCTCGAAGCCTGCCAGCGTGGCATTGATGTCGGTGCCCAGCAAGGAGATCGTCCGCACTCGCAACCTCTTCAATGTCACCGACGCGAAACTGCACTGGCAATCCGAGGGCAAATTCATCTGCGTCAAGGTCGATCGGCACAGCAAATCGAAGAAATCCGTCGGCACGAACCTGGAGATCTTCCGTATCCGCGAGAAGGGCGTCCCGGTTGAAGTCGTCGACTCTCTCAAAGACACCGTGATTAATTTCGCCTGGGAGCCTAAGGGCGATCGCTTCGTGCTCATCACGGCGGGCGAAGCCGTGGCTGGGAGTAACGTCCTTCCCAAGACGGCGGTCTCGTTCTTCGCCCCGGAAAAGGTCAAAGGACCGGGGATCGGAGGATTTAAGCTCGTCAAGACGTTCGACAAGAAGAACAGCAACGGAATCTACTGGTCGCCCAAGGGTCGATTCGTGGTTGTCGCGACAGTCTCGGTGCAGCAGCACTCGGACCTTGATTTCTACGACATGGACTACGAAGGCGAGAGGCCGGAAAATGATACCGCCGCGCATCTAAATGCGAACCTCATGTTGATGAACAGTGAGGACCACTACGGTGTGACGGATGTCGACTGGGATCCCACCGGTCGGTATGTCACCACCAGCGCGAGTGTGTGGACACATCAGGTAAGAAACGGTTTCACCCTAGTTTTCCCTTCGTACAAGACTGACGCTGCTTCTTTAGATGGAAAACGGCTACCGCATCTGGACCTTTTACGGCGCCCTGCTCGCCGAACACCCCACGGAGAAATTCAAACAACTTCTCTGGCGACCCCGACCGCCGACGCTCCTGTCCAAAGAAGAACAACGTACCGTCCGCCGCAACTTGCGCGAATATAGCAAGGAATTCGAGGAGCTCGACAAGGAAATGGAAGAGGGCGCCAATCAAGCCGTCATCGACGCGCGCAGGAGGCTGTACATGGAATGGTACAGCTGGGTGCAGCACGAGAAGGAACTGTTGGCCGAGGAGAGGGAGCAGCTCGGGTTGAAAGATCCCGAGGAGGAGTTGGCACTGCAGCGGACCAAGAGCGTCGAGGGCGAGGCCGAGAAGGTCGTGGAGGAGGTCATCGAGGAGGTGTTGGATGAGACGGAAGAGATTGTGCAGTAGTCGCGGGTGGCTCGCCTGCCTGATGGTTGTCGCGAGATGAAACCAGCAGAGCATGTCAATGGCAAAGTCCCGAAGTCATGAATGATCTTTTACACCAAAGGTGGGCAGGAGACTTGTCCGCGCTTTGGATGCATTCGTCTTGTGCAAACGGAGGAGCTCAGGACAGATAAAACAAGCGCGCTGATGCCGTCCCGGGATCTACGCAGCAAGCATAGATGTTTGCATGAAGACCAGCGTATAGAGTTCCAGTAGCAGCATAACGACGGATGCTCGAGGTCGCGAAGCAGGTATCAAGAATACTTGTGTCGCATGGAAGATCGTCAAAGGCCTTTACCGAGTCTCAAGGTGAAATAGAAATGTCGGTTCCTATTTCGAATGCTTTCTTAGCATTCTCTCCTATTGAAGCCCCGAGCGGTCCCTTGATCGAAACACTGTTGAGAGTCTCATTACGAATGCCCAATCCCCCAAGTCCACGCAATGCACGCTTTTCCAACCCAACCTACGCGAACAATCGGCATGCAATCAAAGCAGTCATAGTCATAGACGGACATGGGCACAAGAAGACATAGATAACCCAGTGCCTTGTAAAGCCTCATCCACAGCTGGAATCACCCCAAAATCCCGCCCCGGCTGTACGATGCTGCCTCACTACTGACTCTCGTCGTCTTTCATGCCCTCCTCGACATCCCTCAATTGATCCAAGTTGATCCGACACTCCTCCATTTTCTTGGACCAGTAAAACAGCTGTTCACTCGCAGCCGCATGCTTCTTGCTGTTCAAGGGCGCCTCAATCGCGTCGTACTGCTCCCACGCAAGGGCATGCTTCCGCTTGGCTTCCTCGAATTGATCGGTCAGAAGCTGCCTGACATTAGCAAGAGCGTGCCATGGGTGGATCTTGGGCCGCAATGTAGGTTCCTCGAGTATGTTTTCTTTCATCAAGTGCGTGACCTGGGCGGTGAAGTCGGGTTTGGACTCAACTGGCGCAGATGTGGCGCGTGTGTTACGGTGAAGCTTTTCGACGGGGGCGGATGTGGCGCGATTGTTGCGAGCAAGCTGCTTTGATCCTCGAGCTGGAGCTGTAAGGCGCTGGCAAACGGTGCAGTTGTCCATGTGACCTGCGTCGCCGCCATGGCGGTGGAGGACATGTCGAGCCTCTTTGGAGACCTCAGCTCTCGCGGGCTGACTAACAGTGATATCGGGGATGATGTATGCTGAGGTCATGTTGTCATCAAGTGCAGCGTGTCGTCGGCGGCGCGAAGTGTTCGATGCAGCAGTAGGATCTTCCAGGACGCTGTTTTCGGTGTCATTAACCGTTGGTCTCTGGTAGGACTGGATTTTGCTCCTGGCGTTCGCCTCGTTCTTGCTGCCCGGTCGTTTCTCGGTGTTAGGAGACACCGGTCGGTTGATATTGACGGGCGACAGGACGCGGGCCTCGTCAGAGATGGCTGTCTTGGCTTCTTCTTTGGTGTCTGCGGTCTTCTCTCTGCGTGAAGTCTGCCGGACTGGACCTTCTTCTGGGGTCATGGATCGACTGATGTCAAACAGCTCCTCCTCAACGCGCGAAGCAGCTCTGTTTTTCCTGACGGGAGTGCTTTGTTTCTTAGATGCAGCTCTAAGCAACCTAAGTTCAAGCAGGGCTTCGTCGCGTTCGCGGGTTAGCGAATTGATGGTCTGTATGGCTTCGTTGAGATCGCGTTGGAGAGTGCGTAAAGACGCGACAATCTGTTTCTCGTCTGCGGGCACGGAGTAATGGATGTTGACGTTCGGCAATTGACCGTGGTCGGGCATAATCATGGACGTGTTGGGTATGTTGGGCAGTATGAAGGACTGGCTGGGCTGCGACTTGGACGAGGCCGCTCTGCTAAAGCGAGTCGACTTCTTGGGGCGGTTCATTTGTGGAGAGGTTGACCCAGGAGTGTACATGACCTGACGACGTCTGTCAGTGGATTTCAGCGACGGCAAGGTTCCCGTTGTACCTGGTATTCGCCAACGAAGGCTTCATGCGAATGGATGCTGCTGTAGTTAGTGTTGAGGGTCCCTGGGTCGAACCGTGAGGGAGCCATGACTGTCTGGTTAGTAAGTCGTATCGACGATGCTAAATCAACGGATGATGAGGTTGCAGAGTCGAAACCTCTAAACAGATTGTTCGTGTTCTGTGTTTTGTTTATGCGATGCCGAAAGAGGAAAGACTCGGCTTTGCCAAGAGGGGCGTCAATCCGATTCACTTTCAGCTCACTAGACACTTACCACACTAGAGCTACAAGTCTCCTTGAGCCCCGAAGCATGTGATTCTGCCTTACGAGGACTACTCATACAATGTCTCGTCTCACCTAGCATAACTCGTACTCGGGGCATTATTGTTCGCATCTCAAGCCTGTTCCGGAGCATTTTTCGCTCTCACAGTTTGCTTACTGTACTGTGAAGTGGAGGCACCGTCCAGTCCGAGAGATCATGGCGGTGCCCACTCCAGCGTCATTCAAGTAAGAAAGAGACACCGAGAAAGATTCAGCTTTCTTCCGCCTGAGTGCGATGGGGGACAGCACCCGGACAGTCACCCATCAGTAGCAACTTCTCAGTACCTCGTACTTGGGGTGACATCAGGCTCCTCTGGTTCTGTAACCGAAGTCGACCCAATTCAGTTCGGCGATTAATTACGCGAACAGGAGACGGGCTCGACGGGTTGGCGCCCTTGGACCCTTGGCTGCGTGTCTCGCACAGCCTAGCTCTGCACCACCAATCCGAGGCTGTTCAGCCCTGAGCCATGAGCGTAATCCTGCCGCTCGTCGACGCCTCTGGGAGGCTGACGGCATATGGCTTTGCTGTTTGCGAATTCCCTGCGCTTGCTTCTGCCCGGCCAACTCTGAACGTCTTCGAGGCCGCCCACTGCGATGGCTACGAGACTGCATCCAATCTGACCACGCTTTTGTTGCGTGCACTTTGTACACAGTATATACTACATTGACACTTCCGTCACCCGTACCACTATTCTCCGACACGTTCGCGGGGGATTCCCCGTTTGCCAGGTCGTACAAATCTCTCGTCCCCGGTCTGGCCGGTCACGCTGGCTCGTGAGCTTCCGCGACCTCCATCAAATGTCGGGGTAGAGTCCTGCCGGGTATAGCCATCGATCCGACTGCTCCTCGCATCCCTCTACCGCTATGGCGGCCGCCTCGACTATACGAAGACGGGCGAGCCGCAGCACAGATGCAAGTCAACTACATACAAGGCAGAATAACCGACCGCTCGGCGGCGGCGAAGACGGAGGCGGGATAGGTGGAAGTGCTGTCATCATCGGGGTGAGTAGGTCCAACATCTGGCAAGAGAAAATGTTCCTGATGTTTTTAGGCGGTCGCTGGGATAGTTCTCTTCCTCACCGCCTGCGCCGTCTTTTATACCATGCTCCGAAGATGGCGTGTCCAAGGAAAGAAACCAAAGTATCTTCCTGGGAAATTCCTGAAACAGAAATGGCAACAGTGGCAGCCTAGTGGAAAATACAATGCTGTCCGCAATCGAGATCTTTCTTCCACGAATACCGCATACAATGGCAGGGAACTCGAGTCTGGAGCTGGGGGTGGTGCGGGTGTAGACCGGAACACGAGCGTACGATCCGTGATGACATTGCCTGCGTACTCAAGGACGCCCAAAGATACCGAACAGGTGATCGGGCGAGAAGGCGAGCGAGGTGGTATGGATACCGTCGTGGAGTTTCCGGAGACAGTGGACGAAGAAGAGAACCGCCGTGAAGAACAGATGGAGTCCTTATATCAGATCCGCCTCGCCCGACGACGAGAAATTGCAGAACGGGAAGAACGACGGCGGGAACGAAGAGAGGCTCGTGACAGGGGAGACACGGCTCGACTGGAGCAGCTGAGGCGAGAATCTCGGCAGCGGGCCAGTGAAAGCGCCGCTTCCCTCAATGGCGGTGCCAGCGTTTCTGCTGCCACGCTCATTGCAGAGCACCAGTCCCGCGGCCGCGAAAGCAGAGTATCGAGTGTGGCCTACGGTTCCCTGGGCGAAGTCCGACACGACGGAACCCGGCTTCGAGCGAACAGCAACGACTCGGAAAGAGGTGGACTGTTGAGTGGAGCAGCACCTATGGGGCAGAACACTGGCCGAGCTCGTGGCCTTTCAGATGCCACATCGATGCACAGCCGCGAACGCTCGGGGAGTGCTATAAGCATTTCAACCATGGGTTCAGACAGCTATCCTCAACCTACTCCTGGCTCCGAGAGAAGACAAAGCGATGACCCACAAAGTGGTGGTACATCTAACTCTTCTCCCACGGCTAACCGATTCACGCCTGATGAAAGCACCGGCTCAGAGGACATTGGCGAATCCCGGTTACAGCCCTCGGATCTAGGCGACGCAAACCGTCCGCCCGACTACGAGTATCTCGAATGGGGCGATGCTCCTTCCTACGAGGCTGCCATCGCACGCCGCGCGACTGCTGCTAGTCGGCGGTCAGGTGCTCCCAGCAGAGCACCGACGAATGCAAGTCTTGCACCTCAATTACCACAGCTGAACCTGCCGAGGATCAGCGTATCGGGAGCATCGGAGCCGAACACACCTGTATCCCCCAGTATCCAGTCCGCTCCCTCAAATACTGTGTCCCCAACTTCGCCTGTGGCAACAAGTAATATGGACACAGTAGTGGAGAATGCACGAGCGGCGGTGAATCCCAATTCCCAGGTGGGGAACCGGCCATGATCCAGATTGTCTCGAGCAAACGGGTGTATCCGAGTTTAGAGGAATCTGCAATGAACGCAATGAGCATGACATCAACGACGATGGTTTACCTTCTGGCTTTGTAATGGCAATGTAATGCATAAAAGCACGGCGCTGGGATCGAGGAATTTGTCAGATCTGACTGTGTGGACTTTTGATACTGGGTACTTTCGGAGAGAGCGTCCGACTGCAATGTCTTGTGGGCACACAATATCATCATGCCTCCTGCCTGTCCTGCTATAATCTTGATGCCCTGCCTGTTTGAGATCAGTGATAAGTATTGCATCCCAGACACGCCGAAGCAGGAATCGGTGGTAAAACATCCTTAATTTTCTGGATGTGCGAGAGGTGAGCGTCGATCACCTACGCTGGGCCAGTGGATATGATCATGAAAGAGATAAAGGAGACGACTACAACAACAACAGGAAGCACAAAATTTGGTGGATTGCTTGAATTCTACCAATGCCGCAGCGGCAGCTGGGTGCTCTGACACCCTTGCGCAGAGCTGGATCGGATCCGATTCTTTTGGCCAGAATGACTGCTCTTTTGGCTTTGCAGATCTGCTCTCCGCGAGTCCTCATTTGTGGGCGCTGAAGTTGTGGGCCAGGGCCACGGTGTCTCGTAGCTTCTTAATAACGCCAGCGATGATGGTGATCGTCTTCCTTTTACACATGCCCAACCACATCGCTACCACGGCTCCTCATTCGTAGTGGTCCGCATCTCGTTTATCGGACAATACCCTCGAACCGTGTCTTGAACCACTTGATGGAATCATCCTTGCTGACCTGGTGGCTGCGTCCAACCTTGGCCTTTGCGCGTCTCCGCTTCGCAACCCTCGCACCCGGCCGTCCCATGCAGCAGTAGAAATCCATGCCATAGATACCGATCGCGGGGTCGTACTTGATGCCCAGATCGATGTGTTCCGAAATGCCGAAGCCGAAGTTGCCGGTATCAGAGAAGTTCTTCTTTCGCAGCTCGTACTCCTTGACCTTCAGGCCACGTTCGAGGATTTCCTCGGCCTTGGGACCCCGGACCGTGACGTGCACAGCGATCTTTTCGTTGCGGCGGATGCCGAAGGAGCGGACGGTGTAACGGGCTTTGCCTGTGCGAATGTGTCAGAGAGGGTAGCCCAGCAGGGGTTGGAGCGGAAACTCGTACTGTAGACGGGCGTTTGGCCAGACAATTGTTCCAGCACTTTGGCAGCGCGAGTGAGACGATCGCCAGACTCGCCGACCGAGATGTTCAGCACCAGCTTTGCGATGCGGAGTTCCCGCATGGGGTTGGAGCTCTTGTCATTGCCTTCCGCCATTGTGTCAATGGTGGTGTTAACGAGTGTGACAGAGTTATGTGTGCTGGTGCCGGTTGATGAGGTGCAACTAAATGACTTGCAGATTCGCCCGGGTCGAAAACTGATGTGCGCGGAGGAAGGCTTGGCAGAGAGGCTAAGCCCAATTGGGGGAGCTGGGGGCATCAATTTCCTAGCCTCCAGTCTCGCGACCATCACGCCGTGCAGCCTGCACGACAGAAGCAGACATTGCGAGTTCGGGCCTGCCTCATTTCTTGTATCGTGAGAGTGTTGCAGCCATCGTCTTGCAAGCGAAGTCGAGCTGCGGCTCTGAACTGCGCATTAGCACAATTTTTTAAGCATTCAATCTCCGACATTGTTACTTCGCCGCGGCGGGAGAAGAAGTCGAGCCAAAGGTCAAGTCGCATTCGTGCGCAACAGTACCCGGCATGGCGAACAAACAAGGGAAGATGGTAAGCCTGGCAGATTACTCCATGATGATACACGGCAGACATGCTAACACCATTGTAGCAAAACCTAGTGAGACCACAACAGCAGCGAGAAGATATTCGTCCCAAGCTAACGTGACCGTCAGATCAACTACCGCATGCGCGTTACGCTCAACGACGGCCGCCAGATGACCGGACAAATGCTGGCGTTTGATAAGGTCGGCTCAATTCCCGTTCTCTTTGGCCCCAATACTTTCCTTCCCTGATCGTGCCCGCTAATCTCTTTGTATTGTAGCACATGAACCTCGTCCTTGCCGACACTGAAGAGTTCCGCAAAGTCAGACGTCGCCAAAACAAGCCCTCCGCCCCAGGTGCTCCTGGCTCGGCTGCCGCATCCCAAGCCGTCGAGACAGAAGAGAAGCGCACCCTGGGCCTGGTGATTCTCCGAGGGACAAATATCGTAAGCTGTTCCGTTGAAGGACCTCCCCCATCAGACCCGAGCGCGAGACTGGGCACTTCAGCCCCGGGAGGAGCGCCGAGCGCATTACAAGCCGGGACGGGGATTTCACGACCAGCGGGACGAGGCCTCCCGGTTGGACTGGGTGGACCGGTTGCAGGCGTGGGAATGGGCGGTCCACCTGCACCAGGCGGAGGGCCACCTGGAGGCGCACCGTTTGGATTCCCTCCTCCAACACCGGGAGGATTCCCTGGGGGTGCTCCGCCGCCGGGATTTGCAGGGAGGGGAGGACCTCCCCCGGGCTTTGGAGGCCCCCCGCCTGGGTTTGCAGGACCACCAGGTGGACCACCTCCCGGGTTCGGGGGCCCGCCTGGCCAGGGGAGAGGGTTTCCCCCACCAGGATTTGGTGGTCGTTAGCTGAAGGAGAAGAAGCAAGGGTGAATAATCGAGATCATTCTAGATCTCTACACGAGTACCAGGGAACGATGCGAGAACCTCGGACGCCTCGCGTGCAGTATGCATCGCCACAGCGAACGGCAACCCAATCCACACTGGAGAGGTCCATGCCCTACCTATTGCATTCCTGGACCTGCGTGCAAGGCATCAGCACATTGAAGTGGGACAGGCTGGCCATCACAGTTGTGTGGGCTCCACAGCTCTCAGGCACTGAGATTCAACGCGGTGGCTGAAGAAATAGGGCTCATCAATCTAACCTGCACGGACACGGCAGAACAGCCACCCGCCGCAGGGCAGACCCTGAGCCAGACTTGACGAAGCTGCAAGGATGACGTGGTTTGCCCCGCCGAGATACACGAATCAAACAGAATTCGAGAAGAGGCTCCGAAGGCGCGAAGGTCGGGCATAGCCACACGCTGCGAAGGACGCAGCATAGAGTACGTACTCGTACGCGATCGATGGCCCAGATATTATTGCGGGCCTTGATGTCCCACGATTCGCTATCCTCGATCCTAGTTTCGCTCCTACAAATATGTTCTCGTGCATCATCTGCTGTCGTCGGGATGGACTCTCTCGGAGCGCTAAGCCATCTCTCAGACCGTATGTCCATGGAGTAATATACTATGTACATTACTATACCGAGTGTCTGAAATCGTCATGCATGGCTGGCCATCAGTATCTCGCACTCCCATGCCCACTAATCTCCCGGATCTTGCCCTTCAGCTCCCTCACGACTCGGTGCTCTTCGCCCAACTCCGTCGTGCCCTCATCCCTGACCTCCTTGACTCGAGCCTCGTACCCGCTCAACGCCCTCTGATACAGCTGGTTGGCCTCCTCCTTGCGCTCCAAGGCACCATACATCTCCGCGAGATCCAGCGTCGCCTTGAGTGTTGAAGCGTGCTGAGGCCCGCGAACGCGGGCAAACCCTTCCATGGCTTCCTTCTGAACGCGTGTGGCGTCCTGGAAGCGGCCGAGGTGGCAGTAGACGCTGGAGAGGAAGTCGAGCGTCTCGAAGGTCTCGGCCTGCGTATCCGTGCCGAGTGCCTGAAATCCCTGCAGCGCCCGGTTCGTCCAGGTCAGTGCGTCCTGATACCTGCTGACACGGGAGTACAGTGCGGCGATCTTGCGCACGCTCATGAGAGGATCGCGATGGTTGCCGCCAACTTTGGCGGTCTCGAGGTCCAGGAGTGCTTGTACGTCTCGATGGCGGCGACGTATTCGCCCTGCTTCTCTTGCGTGTTGCCGATGCGCACGAGTGCGCCCAGGCGGTACTCGTCGTCACCGCAGCAGATCAGTCGGTCGAGAAATGAAAGTGCCAGGTGCGTGTTGAACAGCTTCATGTGGCAGGTGGCAATGTCTGAGATGCACGCGTTGCATAGGTTTGTAAAGGCCGCCTCGTGTCTATGGGAAGACTTCTCCACCGCTTCGAGCACGGTGGTGTAGAGATTGAGTGCTTCTTGGTATCGGTGCTGCTCGAGATGGACATCCGCGAACTTGTACAGGATCTTTAGAGACTTGTAGTTGTCCTTGTTGACTGTCCTTTGGAGCTCGTCGAGGGTTTTCTGGTAGTCTCGAGCGACGAATGTTGCGCCGTCGATCTGCAGATAGAGCTCGCTCTTCTCATCCAGGATACTCTCTGCAAGCCAGTGGTCGTCTCCCAGACTTTTTTTGCATTCATCGAGGGCCTTCTGATATGTCTCCAATGATTCTTCCAGTTTGGCTTGCTTGGAAAGAATAACCGCCGTCCTCCTCATGGTGGCGAGCCGTTCTTCTGGCCTGATCTTGTCTTCCAGGTCGAGGATGCGGCGGCTCCATGCCAATGATTCGTTGTACATCCCCTTCTTAAAGCACGCCAGAGCCAGTTGGAAGAGGTTGAAGCTCCACTCCGACGGACTGTCTGATAATGATTTCTGCTTGGATGCTATCACGCGCTGGAACAGCTCGATGGCAGTGACCCACTCTTCAATCTCCATGCAGCATCGCGCCACTTGCTCCGCGGTGTAAATGGTCTCCTCGTGGGTCAAGCCGTGCTCGCTTTCTTGGATAGTCAACATCTTCTTGTACCAGGAAAGTGCTTCAGCATAATCACCGAGAGTATAGTAACACAGTGCAATGTTTGACATCGTGACAAGCCCAGCAGTTGGAGAGTCGGGCTCCTGGTGCTGGATTCCTTCGAACGCTTGCTGGTAGTAGACAACCGCGTTGCCCGGTCGGTCGGTATTCCAGTAAATCGAAGCAAGATCCAGAGCGACGGAGATCGTCAACGAGTGAACACGTCTGAATGTCTTCTCTCTCCCTTCGAGCACACGCTGAAGGTGCGTGATGGCCATATCGAATTGCTTCATGCGGCGGTAGACGTTGCCCACGGCGCGCTCCGAATTCAAAGTCACGGCGTTATTGGGACCGAGAGTGGCGATTCTTCTGTCCAACACTTCTCGATGCAGTTCGAGAGAACGCTGCAGCAACGCCTTCTCTCGATAGACCTCGGCGAGTTTGTATTTTGCCGACAGAGTGGCACTGTGGTCGGCACTGTATCGACGAGTATAGCCGTCTACCGCTCTGAGAAGGAGATCTCTCGCCACGTTATTGTCTCCTCGGGCACTGTAGACCATCGAAATCGCCACAACGGAAGACAGTGTCTGAGGGTGATCATCACCGAGCTTCGTCTCACGACGGCTCAGAGACGTGTGATAATGCTCGAAGGCCTTGTCCAGATCACCAAGCTCTTCGTACGATGCTGCCATTTGGTGAGTAGCGTCTAAAGTCAAGGGGTGGTCCGGCCCAAACACCTTGGTTCGTCCTGTCACAACTTCTTGAAACCAGCCTATCGCATTTCGGTGTTGATCAGCGCTGGAGTATGCCACAGCAAGCTCGTACATCTTGGCCAGGGTGTCGGGGTGCGACCTGCCTAGCACTGCGCCCAGCTCTTCCAGCTGTCGGCGGCATGTGTTGATTAGCTCGGCGTCCTTCGTACACAACGCCATTCCGGAGCGGTCTCCAGGTTCTGATTCCTCGTCCGAGGTTTCAGTCGTGGGCTCGGGTTTGTCTTCTTGGATCTTTCGAATCGCCGCATCCGCTTGTTCTGCGAGGCGCTCGCCCCCCTTCACGTTTCTGGTTTGGTCGCGGAGGGCGGTATATGCTATGACGGCCTCATCAAGCTTGCCCTGAGCTTGGTAAATCTCCGCAATCTGCAAACGAACCGCGAAAGCAGGCAAGGACTGACTCTTGTTCTGCGACGCATATGCTGACAGGACGTTGGCGCATTGTGTGGCTGCCTCATCGTGATGACCCAGCTGTTGCTGCATCCTCGCTACCTTGGTCGCGGCTGTGAGAGTCGAGGGATGGCCTTGTCCAGCCTTCGGATCCTGCATTCTCCCTTCCAGTAATATCTGGTAGCATGCCAATGCGTCTGACCAGCGAGACTGGATCACATGAACCTGGGCGATACTGTCCCAGATGTTCAATGTGATAGAATTAGTGGCGCCGAAGATGGCCTCTCTAGCAGTTAGAGCCTCCTTGTAGACTTGCAGGGCATCTTCGTAGAGAGCAGCATCACGATAGGCTTTACCTAAAGCAAGAGCCGCTGAGGCTATTTCGGGGCTTGTCAAGCCTTTGGTGGCAGCTTCTGCTGCGGCCAAAGATCTCACAAGCGATCTTAGGTTCTGGTCCTGCTGCCGTGTAATACCTCGGGCTACCTCGGCCGCTTTTATTGTAGCATACCTTTTGCGAGCTAATTGCATCTCGTGGCCAGAAGAGGCTTTCAGAAGCAGGGAGATGTTCTTCTGCTTTAGTAACGGAGCAGGCGCAGAAGGCTTGGACACCGCTGACTGGGATGCATCCCTTGGATGACTGGAGGTGCGGACATCGACGGGCGAATCGGAATCACTGTCACTGTCCCTGGGTACTGTCTGTGTCGCTGATGTCCCTGGGTCGTCTGCTTCGGCAAGGTTCGCCGTTACCGGCGGTAGACCAGCCTCGCGCAGTCGCGTCACGGCTTCCTGGAATTGGGCGTTAATGCCCTCAATCTGTGCCCTGAGTTGCGTGGTCTCGGCTCTGATTTGATCTGTCGTGACACGGATAGCTGCTGCATGTGACTGTATCGTACTGGCCTGGACTCTGAAATATTGTCAGTATTGGCAGCAATGCACAATGCACTTGCGTACCTAGCAAAAGTATCAGACACTGAAGACAACGCTTGTCGTCGCTCTTGCAGTCGCAGCAACAGAGTCTGTACAGAGCGTTCACTCCATTGATACCGAGTCCGTATCTGAAGCGAACGCCATGTGCCCTTAGATTTCTCAGGCGGCTGAAGTTTCTCAATTCTCTTTCGCAACTCGGTCAAAGTCTTGTGCGTGTCTGCAACCACTCCAAGCGCTTCCTCGCAGAGGCCCTCTTTTCCCTCGAATTGACCAGGCTCTTCTGCAAGGATCTTGAGCCGTTGGACAGCATCGAACGTGTGTTTGAATGCGGTTGACAGATTTTCTATCCCTGTCGACACGTCCGAGGAGGAAACAGCCTGGATTGCATTGGTTATCACGGCCGCCGTCTTCGCTGTTTCCAAAGTTAGCTTTGGGCTACCAACGGCACCAAAAGACCGGTGGTACCTAAGGCAAAGATAGAAACCGTCAGTGAAACAGGATCCATGTTGTCTGGCGGCCACCCCAAGGCCGCAGGTCGTCAGAGCTCACGCGGGTCTTCTAAATCAGGTGCTGGGCAAGCAGGAGGGACATGTAGTAGGATTCTGGACAGGCATGCGCAGCGTGATATAGCCTTGTTCAGAATACACAGGACGTGGTGCACGGCAGCTTCGAGCAAAACCCACCAATCCGAAGCACCTCAGACGTTCGCGAGCGTCGTGTTGTCCGCCTCGCGTCCGGAGTAGTCTCAGCCTGATTAATGGCTTGCAGCCTATGCGCGCAGCCAGGGCAAAAGTAGAAGTAGTTCAGAAGAAGATAGCCAGCTAGCGGGCACAGCCTCATTAGGATGAGGGGTTCGCTTCGAAGAATCCATGGCAACGGGCTGGACTTTGCATTTCGGGCAAGCTCTGGTTGAGGACGGAGGCAGAGCTGCGCCCATTCTGTGGGAGTCGCACAAAGGAGTGAAGAGAGTTCTCGTATTGCTGCGGCGAGCTAGCGAGGCACGTTCAAGCCATGAAGCCAGAAAGGGCGTCAATATTGACCCAGGGTTGGTTAGAAGGCCTGGGCATCAGCCACAAGCGACGGCAGTATTACAGTCACTGCCCATCAGTGGTCCCGAAGGGAATCTGGAGCGACGAAGAAGTCACCAGGGAGCTTGAGTCAATATGATTCGAGCTTGATCACTGGAAGGAGTACTGTATACGGAGTAAGGAGTACGCAAGAGGCAGGAGACGACGACAGCGAGGCCCAGGCCTTTGGGGCCTTCTGGGCCTTCAAGCTCTGAACGAGATTGGCAGGTGTGCCGCGGGCGGCGCCCAGTTCAACCTTGTTGGTTATTTCCTCGTACTGACTACGTAGGCTGCGGCTACTAGATGGACCTCTGCCTTTTCCCCCTTCGGAGAAGATGCTCGGCGCGCATTGTGGCATGTCGAAAGTGGTCCTCCGTAAAGACAGCGTACAGAGTAATGCACAGGCTCGGAAGTATCACTCCATCTCCAGAAACCCCCTGCTGCCACTGCTTCTGTGCGTGCGGCAATTGCGCTGGATTTCGAGGCTAATGCATCCCCTACAGCGTCCGAATTCCAAAAATTCATATCATCATTGGGTGACTCTTTTGGATGGCTAACGGTTGAGCAACAACCGGGGCTTTAATTTGTAGCTGTCGAACTCAGTGCTCGGTGGATTCGACCGCTTGCGACAGTTAGCGAAGGATGGAGGACGAAGCACTCGTGAGAACAAGCAGGACGCGACCGGAGGAGCTGCGTAAAGATCATTATGCTTCGCCCTAAAATTGCCTTTCCGCAAGAATTCTACTGCCCGCCCTCCCGCCGTAATATGGATTAATACAGGTGTAGACGAACGCAATATGCCTCCTCCAACGAAGCGCCGGAGGGTTGAGCCCACTGTAGTCGAAGAGATCGCTTTCGACCCGGCTGCTCGGTATGACTTTTTGACCGGTTTCCACAAGCGCAAGGTGCAGAGGGCCAAGCATGCGCAGGAGGCTGCCGAGCGGAGGGCCAGAGCGGAGAAACTAGAAGGGAGAAAGCAGGTAGGCCATGAGTGCCGTCGTCGCTTCTCTTCTCGTGCTGACCATCCTTAGCTGAGGGAACAGAGGAAGGCCGAACTCGAACGGCATGTTGAGGAAGTGAACGCAATGCTGGGATTGCCTGCTGCAGCCAATGATAAACAATATGGCGAGTCAAATACCGATTCGGACGAGGAATGGAAAGGCATCTCAGACTCCGACCCACCGCCGATCGACCATGAGGCGGAATATGTTGACGAGGAGAAGTACACCACGGTGACGGTCGAGGCTCTGGACGTTTCCAAGGAGGGACTATTTCGGGCGCAGCAGGACAGTGACAAACAAGATCCGGATAATGCTCAAGAGACTCCCACAGCCACAAACGAAGGTACTTCGTCGGGCAAGCAGAAACGCCCTTGGACAAAAGAAATACCCAAGGACGGGGTGAAGAAGCGTAAGAAGAAACGGAATTTCAGGTACGAGGGCAAAGCCGAACGGAGAGAAGCACGCGCGAAGCAGAAGTCTAGGAACTCGAGGCAGGCTCGAGAACGACGAGCCGGTGGATCGTAACACTGGTGTGGAATCCTCGTTCACCCGAACTGTCAACGCTTGCCTTCGAATTCGCCCTGTATCAAATGCCCGTGGTATCGTAGGTATGGCTGTGGGTCTATGCATCCTGCCTCCTCCATCCACTTGTTCCGACACTTCTGCCGACCCCAAGGTGTGTCGTGGGAAATTAGATGTTGCCCATGCTCTGCTCCAGCTCTTGCAGCTCTTTCTGAAGGTCGGCGTATTTCTTAGACATATCTTCGTATTTGTTCTCCCATTCATCACGAGCCTGCTCCAGTGCTTGAACCTTGCGCTCGAAGTGGCCGGCTTTGACATCGGTCTGTCGAAGTCTGTGGGGACAAATCAGAACAACTCATGGCCGGGAAGATGGTGGTCTTACTTCTCATTGGTTTCTCTCAAGGTCTTGTCAGCTTGCTCGGCTTCCTCCTCGAGCACCTGAAGCTTCCGCTGAAGGGCTTCATTCTGAGTGCTGTGGCCGGCAGACTCACCAGCGAGAGCCTTTGCCTCTTTGAGGCCGGTCTCGAGTTTCTCGACTTCGGCCTCGAGGAGCTGGTTGCGGTGGTTGAGAGAGGTGATTTCTTGTTCTTTCTGTAGATTGTCTTGTTCGAGCTGCTTGACTTTGGCCTTCAGTTCTTCGGCTTTGGCAGCGTTCTCGTCCGCCTCGATGCGGAGAGAGTTCATTTTCTGTTGGAAATTAGCGAATGCGCTCGCCATGGTGAGTGACCGTAGGATCGTGAACGGGCGATGGGCACGACTACGTGCGTTGCTCTAGGTTTGAGGATTTGGAGAAAGAATGACGGCTGGTGCTATTTTGAACACGACTGCAGCAGGAAGTGAAATCTGATTGAAGGTCTCCGTCGTGGGTGCAGCAGAGGTAGCCGCGAGTGAATCCATGGTGCCTGGCAGGAGCACGAGGGAGAAGGTGCAGGGTATGGCAGACGTACCTCCTTGATTCGATCCATTGTGAATGTTGGTGATGGAGTTGTAGCTGAAGTTGAAGTGAGGGCCGTCTGTGTACAAGAGCGGTAGATGCCGTTGATAAGAATACCTAGGTACTTGTTCAGGACGAATACAACAGGCGGTCACAGGTGCGCTCCGTTGTCAAGTAAAGCCTTAGGAGTCAGCGGCGGAGGATGGAGGGGAAGCGATCCCTCATCAGGCCAATAGCAATCGGCTTCTCAGACTGAGGCTGCCGGAAATTTAGGCTTCGCCGTTTGCGTCTTTGGCGTTTCAGCCCCCCTTTTCAGCCCCAGTCTCTGGCTCGGCCAAGGGCCACCGTTGACTGTAGCCTCGGTTGCTGGGGCAATCACGTCAACAATTCATCCGCGTCCTTTCACTGATCAGGTTGCCTCCGGTTCCAGCGTCTAACAAAACACGCCGACTGCTACAACGAGAAAGGGCATCAGGATTATGCAATAGCTACGAGACATCACCATGGCGAGTATACTAGCTGCTCGAGATCAGGAAAATCTCATACATGCCCATCAAACCACGGCGGCTGGGAAGCATCTCAACCAGAATATTAGAGCACTACATTCCAAGACTCCAGCCAACCTTAAGACTCCTTTCAGATCAGCAAAGAACGATGAGAACCTACCTATCACACTCAAGGCTCAGAAGAATATTGGCAGAGATGGGCCCAGCAAAGAGGACAAGGGCTCCTTTGTCACACCAGTAGCTCCACGAAATCGAGCGCCCCTCGGGGCAAAGACGACGAATGCTAGAGCTTTCCAGACCCCTGCACCTTTGACATTAAAACCGGGCAAGACGCACCAGAAGGCTTCGACGGGCGGTCGACGCTCGAACCGATCAAAGATTGCAGTCGCTCGATCAGAACCCGTCGATACTGATGTCCTATTAGAGCAACCACTAGAGGAGGAAGAGCCGGATTTCGGATATGCTCCGCCCGCACCTGTCGAGCTCCCAGACCCTCCAATTGAGTTCGAAGAAGACCATGAGCTTACAGAAGAACTTCGACGTGGCTACGGCCTGGCCTACCCCGTTGACTCGCCAAAAGATGAGAACGGATTTTCCCTCAGACTGAGAAAGGAAGAGGAGGAATGGAAAAAACAAGACGAAGAGCGGATCCAGAAGAGTCTCGAGGAGCTGGGGAAGCCCATATTCCCTACGGTTGCCGAGCTCAACAAGCAAGTTAATAACATGATCGCTGCAGGCCCGAAGAAGCGCGCTCCGTTATCAAGAGTGGACTCGACTGAGGCAAGATGTGCTGTTGCTGCACTCTCTGAACCCCAGCCTCGACTGCCATCCGCTGCCACAAGATCTACCCAGGCATCAGAGCAGAAAAAGCGGGATCTTCTCTTGGGAACGAAACCTGCTTCTCTGGCTGCACGGAACCCACCAACATCAACTCGACCGAACCATTCCGCCCTCTCTAGAAACACCATCGGGTTCCCGAAAGCAAAGAAAGCTCCGTCCATAATGCCTAGAAGCGTCGCCATCTCGGCCCCCAAGCCTGTCAAGATCGACCAAGGGTCCATTCACCCGCGAGACTTTCGAGATTTGTACGGTTCCCCACCGGTTGAGAGCGACATGTGGTTCCGACTGAAAAAGTATGAGTTGCTCGAGGAGGACCTGGCCAAAGACAATGCTGATATTGAGGAGGAACTATTTGAAAGCGATTTCTTCCCGTTCGACAACGCAAAGTTGGACGACGAAGACTTCCAATTACCCATGCCGGAGTGACATTGACCCTACCTCTACATACACCTTGGTGCGGCTCTGCTCAGCTCTGTGAGCATTTGACATGACACTGGACGAATGACGATACTGATACCCATCCTGGATACAATGGTCGAGGCGTTTGCAAGGACCTGAAGGAACATCAATTATTGCAATCGCCGTTGATAATAGGCTGAAAGGCATGGGTTCTCTACAGGCCGCTTTTGGGATCCATGCTACTGTTGGGGCTATTCTTGCTTGCGCATGAATATCTTCCTGCCCGTTTCTTCCATCGTTTTCCCAGACTACTTCCTGCACCACATCAAGACTCAGCGCTCGTCACATGCAGCCATACAGCGTTCTCCACTCAGGGTAACTCATCAACCGCACCGTTTATACCACCGTTGGTGGCAGCCTTGCCAAAGTCCTTTGGTGGCTCTGTGACCGTGAAGTTCCAGCCAAATTGATCCTTGACCTTCCCCTGCTGAATGCCCTTGAGCGTGCCCAGCAACTGCGAACAAACCGGGCCAGGGTCCAACTTCTCATTAACGGGATACTCGAACTTGTCATTCTTCGACTTCATCGTAATGCTCTTAATGGGGACCAGACTCGCTGCCGTGCCCGCCGCCATAACTTCCTTGAACTCACTCAGTTCATTATAATCAATGCGCCTCCTCTCAACACTGTAGCCAAAAATGTCTTGTGCGATCTGGCATGCGGATTCCGAGGTGACGGATTTAATCACATTCTTCGAGTCTGGAACCACAATCGTGGTCTTGTCGCCATCCTTCCGCACGCCCAGGAAACCCGAAGTAGAAAATTCGTCAATCTCGCTGCGCGTCTTGCTGTCGAGGTGCAGAGTGATTCCAAACCCTTGGTTTCGAGCTCTCTCGCTGTGTCGCAGCACAGGCGCATAGTTTCCTCCGACCTTGGCGCTACCTGTGCCCTCTGGCGCCGCGCGGTCGAAGTCTTCCAGGATAAGGGCATCGACAGCATGGACACCGTGGTACACGCCTGTTGGCATCACAAATACCACGAAGGTATATTCATCAGGGGGGTTGAGACCCAGCTGAGCAGAGGACCCGAACAATAACGGACGAATATACATGGCCGCGCCAGTCTCATGGGGCGGGACAAACTCGGCGTTCATCCCTACCGCTAGATTCACACATTCGACGAAATGCTCCTCCGGCACGGGCGGCACAGAGATGTACTCGGCGGACCGTTGCATTCTCAGAGCATTCTGGTCGGGTCGGAATATGGTGATACTCCCGTCCGGTTGGCGGAACGCTTTCATCCCCTCGTAGCATTGCACGCCATAGTTCAGGCCGGGAGCCATGCCGTGGATTGAGAGGTGAGGAGACGTAACAAAGCGCGGTTTGCTCCATGTTGGCTTGTCAGAGGAGGAGTAGCGGAAGGTGGATTCAATGTGGCCGTTCACTTCACGGACTTTGAATCCGACGTTGGACCAGTCTGGCGATAGATACGTTAGAAAGACGCTAATCGGAGAGATTTCTGCTTCCCTTCAAAAAGACGATTGCCTCTTAGGGGTAGAGGGCAGGAGAGGCATACCGATTGTGCTGACCGGTGGAGGAGGAAAAGGTGCCATGGTTTTGATACGTAGTGAGCTCGAGATGGCCTTAAAAGTGTTCTCGTCCCTTGTTACTCGATCGTCTGTTGTCGCTCGAGGACTTGGGCTTGGATAGCAATAGTGTTAACCAGCGTTGGCTTCCCTAACCACAGGCGCAAGGTCTGAAACGCAGAGGAGTCACAGCGGAAATGATACTCTTATGTTTTTCCAAAAACCTTTTTCCGTGGTGGGATTCCGATTCCAAGGATGTAAGCACAACGCTGCACAAGGTTTTTCCCTGTGGCAAGTCAAATACGTATTCGTGCTCATCTATGGATCGAGCTGATGGTAATTTGTCTTTGCGGCCGTCTCTGGACGATTTTTCTAGATCTTGGTTGGCATTGTCAGCGCTCTTTCTCATTCGGCAGAAAATCGTCTGTTCCTGAGGCCAGGCCAGCGAGATCGGAGGAGAGCATGATCCCTCGGTTGTCTGCGTCCAGCCACATTTCAGGGTCCAGGATGGGTTGGAGTGACATCACGTGACTGTGAATCACGTGATGCCGCACCTCTCCGGATCCGTAATCAATTACTGTATGTAGGTGGCTGTGGTGGCTGCTGTGGCTGTCTGGCTGCTCTCACGGCGAGCCTCGCTTGCCCCAGAATTTCAGATGAAGCCGAGTTCATCTCGCACTTCGCATCTCGCATCTCGCAACTCGCAGTCTCCTCGGGTGCCGTGCGGTTCTGCTCTTATTCATCACCTGACGGCATGGAGATGCCTTGATTATTCAACGCTCCTTCCCTCATAGCCTTCTTTCCATCGCCATAACCTGTTTCCGGGACATCTTCGCTCTCTTACATCTTCGTCTCGAGTACCTTCACCATGCCTCGTGGTCCGCCCCCGTTTATGATTGTCTTAGCTGCCATTGCCTTGTTTCTATGGTACGTCGTATGGACACGCGACCATGAGCGTCCCCTGGACGGTCTGTCGTACTCCGACCGTTTCCAGGACAAGTTGCATCGCACAGGCACCGCAGACATCCCAACTGTGACCGCAACCCCAGATACCCTTCATGGCGAACACGTCATGGGGAAACTTGGGAACGAAACTCTGAAAGCAGAACTCGGCCGAGCAGCCTGGAAAGTCCTACATACCACTATGGCCCGGTTTCCAGACAAGCCCACCCAGGACGAGAGTGATGCCTTGAAAAGTTACGTCTATCTCTTTGCCCGCTTGTATCCCTGCGGCGAGTGTGCCGAACACTTCCAGCAAATCCTCAAAAAATACCCTCCACAAACCGGTTCGCGGTCGAGTGCAGCGGCCTGGGCATGTTTTGTCCACAATGTCGTGAACGAGAGCAAGGGGAAACCTTTGTTCGACTGTGCGAATATTGGTGACTTCTACGATTGCGGTTGCGCAGACGACGAGAAAGAAGAAATGAGCGAGGCGGGAAAGATTAGCGACGTCATTGCTACGCAGGGGGACCACACAAAACATGACCCCGTGGAAATCGAGGTAGAGGGTGAAACAAGAGGTGGCTGACAACATTGTTGTCCGTGTTGTGCATTTGATCAAGCTATGGGCACATTTTCGGAATATGAAGGCTTGCTCCTTCCCCTCGCCTTTTCGAAAACACCCATTAGTGTGGCGATTCACACCGAGCTGGGATGACTCCATTGACACGATAATCTCGTCCTTCGATCCTTGTCGCCTCATACGGTCCTTCCTGGGTCTGGCTAATGCAACATGGAGCCGGTTTTCTCAAAGTCAGTCGACGAAGCAGCTTTCGGTAGATATTGGATTCACTTCCATTGCTGTTGCTCGGAGTCGGCGGTGGAGCCAACGGATCTCCGTCAATTGATTGTCTCGGTGAAGGCAGGGCGGCTGATGTGGGTTCCGACACCTCCTTCTTGAATGGATCAAGCTTCTGAAAACCGACATCGACAAAGCAGCGGCTGGGAATGTACCATATATCGCCATATTTCGGTTCCTGTTCTCCAATATACATCGAGGGCAGCCCCCGATTTCGGCACTTCTGGCAGGGGTGGCGAAGATAGACGTTATAATCTCGAACTCGGCATCCACGAAGGCTCGGAGAGTCGCAGATTTCATTGCGGAAACGATGTGTGGCCGGATGGGAGCATAGAAACAGGTACCTCCGAGTCGTGCACATTTCGGGGGTGAGATCGTCGAGACAAGGCTTTCTAGGTGGTTAAGAGGTGATTGATCGTCAGCCGCCTGATCTTGTACTGCCTTTTACATCCGGTTTGCAATGGGCACTTGTCAATCTCGGTTCAACCCACTTTTCCAGAGTTCATTATGGAAGCACCACGAGATCGAGACGTTATATCAGCTGAACAAGCAGAGTGATTCAGATGCCAACACTGTCCGATGTTGATCGGCTGCATCAGGAAGCTGGAAAAGAGGAAATCTGGATTCCAAATTTAGCTCCAAGAATAACAATGGCTTTGTTTATTCTTTGTTCGGGCACCCGACTACATTATACATATCATCACCGTGCTCAGAGCGTGCACCTGACCGAGCAAGCACGAGCATTTCAACAAAGGAGAGCCGACGGAAGAGCGAGAACCACCTCAGCCACCAGGTTTGAGTACAGCGAACAGCAAGAGCATGTTGGCTCTGGCGTTGCCATTGAGCAGTTCTGCATTATTGGCTAGAGGCGTTGCGGAGGTCATCCTCCCCTCGATCCGGATCCATGATGAAGAGATGGTTAATCAGGGAATTGCCTTCGTTTCTTGATGTTCTAGTGGAGCAGAATTAGTATTCATAGAGATATGTCTCTGAGGAACCAATGACACCAGAGCACCAACAGGCGACGAGCCTCGTGGCTCTCGGCTCAGGCATTGGGAGCCTCGCAGCCTCGCAGCCTCGCAGCCTCGTAGCATTTGCTTGGGGAAGCGACGCGGGGAAATTTCATGATTTGTTCTCGTTGCTCTGCGAGCGTGTCAATTCCTGCTCCGGCGCGTGTCCATTAATTCCTTGTCCAACACCTTCTCCTCCGGCATGCGTACTGTCGAACATCGTGCTCGCAGCTTCTTCCTCCAATGTCGAGCTTCAGCACGATGCACGAAGCCCTCCGCGGCCTGGCATCCTGCACATTTCCAGCGACGAGGACTCGCTGCTGCCGTTGAACCAAAGGCATCCTCAAACCTTGCCACGAGCAAACCTTACTACGTTACGACTCCTATCTTCTATGTCAATTCAGGCATGTAATTTCATCATTCACTCTGGGAGCTCCCTTCTGACGTAGACACTCAGCACCCCATGTCGGCCACCTTTACTCCATGCTCCTTGCCGATGTCCTCAAACGATGGGCAAACCTCCGCGGCGACGACGGAGCCAAGATGCTCACGGGGACGGACGAACATGGCATGAAAGTGCAGAAAGCTGCGCAAAAGGCCAACACCGACGTCAAACTGCTCTGTGATCATCACG